CCTGCAAGGAAGGACTTTGGCTATGTCATATCCTGTCAGAACTTCGACTCCGCCCAAGTACAGCCATCCCTCTCCATGTCGACAATGAAGGAGCTGAGGCCCTCGCCAAGAACCCCGAACATCATGCAAGAACCAAACACATTCATGCTTGTTATCACTTTATCCGGGAATGTATTCAACAGGATGAAGTTAGTCTTCTGCATGTCTCCACAAAGGAAATGCTTGCGGACATGCTCACCAAACCACTCAACAGAGTCCTGCTGGAAAAACACCGTTTGATGTTTGGCATAGTTCCCTAACTCACCCTGGCCCTAGTAGCTCCAATGTCTCTGAATTTCTATCTTACATTTCTTTCTTTTTTTTATTTTTTTATTTTTTTTCTGTCTCCTTTCATTTCTTTTCTCTCTCTATATACTTTTTTTCTTTCCTTCTCTCTTGATTAATTTTTTTTACTGTTTCTTCTCAGGTCTGCAGCAAGGGGGGGGTGTTGAGTTTCACTTGTGTTTTGTATGCTACACACCTGTTCATCACATGTCACTTCAGTTTCACATGTAGTGTAGTATACCTGGGGCAGCAACTCACTCGTGGAAGGATTCTTTCCTCATCCTTCCACATTTCTCATCTGCTGTCCCAGGTATGAGTTTTCTTTCCTTTCTTTCTCTTTTTCTTCTTTTATGTTCCAGTCTCACTTTTCATTACTGATGCAATGATATCCTTCCACATTTCTCATCTGCTGTCCCAGTTTGTCTCATCAAATATATCTTTCTGTAAAACTTCCAAGAGTCAAAGATTAATAAAAGAGGTTACATAATCAAGTCAATTGATCAATTTCACACTTTTATTTGTCTGATTCTTGATGACAGATGTCAAGTCTAGGATATTCTCCTGTCAATAGATATTAAATTAGCTAACTTTTTCTTAGACTTTGGTTTTCTTTTTCTTCTTCATTGAAAACTATGATTTAGTAACCATCAAATCAAGATAGCATAGAGAATTCACCTCAGACTGAACCTATTTATGTTCATACAGATATTGAGGTACATTCCTGCCAAATCTTGTGACAGTTGGAGCAACAGCAAACAGGGGTTGGGAGCACCTGGTGATCAAAGCTCCAAACATTTGACAGCCATTACATCAATCTTAATGATCACCTGAAGCTGAAAGTCATGAATCAAGTTTATGGTTTTCAGAGATTGGAGTTTTTGTTGACTATGGCATCAACCTGATGAAAGTCAAGCTCAGGTTACCCAACCATCTGCCAACTGCCAGGTGTCACCCTGGTTGATACGTGATCCAGCTTGCTGGGAAGTAACCTGTCTTGGTGGGCTCAGGTAACTTGTTGTCATTACGTGCAAGATAAAAGATGATGTCAGAGGCACCACACTTTCCATTCACCCTTGGTGAGCTGCTCCTGTTGTCTATTTGAACAAAACAGATGGCCAGCAGTATATGTAAGAACTTGGCTTGTGTTATTTCAACATGGCTGAAAAAAGAAACACCAAAGAATTTTGGCCAAGAGTGACAAGATGGTAAACAACAAAGGGTGACAAAGGCATCTAAGCACAAGACTCAGAGATCAAAAGCAGTAAGACATAAATAAGAAGACAGAAGTGAGTATTAGCATGATTGGGCAACTGGGTCTATCCTCCTCAAATTGGAGTTAAGGCTTCACAAGTGCCAGGTTGCACTGAAAGTTTCTGATCATGTTGTTTCCTTTTCTGTCCAAGTACAGGACCACATAGCATGCATTGGTATTGAGGATTACAAACACATTTAACAAGGGAAATTTTAAATGTGATTGGGTGGGCAGAAAGAGATGGCAGCAAGATTGAAAAGCAAGATGGAATGAGGGGGAGAAGGTTGTATCTTGAAGCATTGCTCATAGTCAAAAATCCCTGGGACAATAACTGTTCTGTTGCAATGATAGGGGTGTGCAAAACTCTTTTTTGGTTGAAACCAGCTAGTTTTCTTAACCATATGTAGAGACAGACAAAATGAAGATGTGTCTGGTGAGATTCAAACTCACGACCTCAGCTAAGCTGAGACACATACTAGAGTGCTGCCTTTACCAACTAGGCTACAGACGCTTGTGACTGCCAGGGTAGTTGGGTGGTAGTGCTCATGGGTCAAACCAACAGCTCCTCCATACTGTGGTGATACATCATGGTAGCAGACTATCATACACCTCAACACCATAAACTGTAAATTCCAGAATGGTAAAATGATCAAGAAACAACCTCTCCTATCTTGAGGAACTCCTCTGAGCATGTACAAGTTTAAATCATGAATATAAACTGTAGGAGTACACATTTCAGATTAATCTTCACTGGTCACTACTTGTTGCTCTCCAGATGAGCATGGTTGGTATGAATGAAACATTACAATGGGGATCTACACCCCTCACCAAAAGATTGAGGACACCTGATGGCAGTTGGAATGCAGAAACTGATACTAATTGTGTTTCACTCTTATCTTACTCACTGAACTTTGATGCACAGTCACAATGACTGTTCAGAAGAAACATATTTTTGGAATACCTTGGAGTAAGAATTATAGTTAGGCAGAAGTAGCCTGTATTTCAACTGTCAGCAGGTGTCCTGACTTCTTTTTTTGGTGCTTGGATGCAACATGCATACTATCTGTTTGGACAATCCTCCACATAGGAAAGGAAATTGACCAATCAGTGCATGTGTGGTTGATCATTGGCTCTGTAAAACATGACCGGCCAACATAATTTTGGATTGATTTGATTTGTAGTTCATGTCATGCTACAATGATGGGCCCACTACGCTAACGGTAGTGTTAGCATAGCCGAATTCCACTAACACTTAGCCTAGTGCAGTGGAATTCCACCACAACTGCGCTAAAACTACAAGTGTGAGCCTCAAAAAAGGGCCCACTATGCTGTGCTACAGCACATTTTAGAGGTTTTGAGGCCTTTTTTGCTGCTAAAAGTGCTGTAGCGCAGTGTAGTGACCCTAACAGCACACTAACACCACAGGTTTGGCATGCTGTTTTGAGGGCTGCTACACTAACGTTAGTGGGACATTTAGTGTAGCAGCCCATTGTTGCATGCTATTAGCAGGGTTCATGAACAACATTTTGAGTTCTGTTCCTAACTCAAATTCATGCTCACTCATCATGTCACCTTTGTTCTCTGATTGGATCCAGACGTTCAAGCTCAGAGATTGTGAAGGTTATATAATTTTTTTCCTTCAGTTCTAAATCAATGCCAAAATCTATTGAAATCATCCACCCTACTTACAAATCAGCATTCAAAAAAAAATCCAACTGGCTGAAACTCAAGATTACCAGACAGATGGGCATGTTTTTGATGCATATATGCCCATTTTAACTTCAGTGTGATCATGTTGGGCTGGATTATGCAAACATGAACCAAGTTAATGGCACCCTGGACCAAAAATTACCCAGATAAGACATCCCATCCAGTCAAACTCTTGTTATATAGGATTATAACCCACAGTCAAATCCCAAAGATTCAATGGCTGGGAATATCTTAGTAATACACCAGTCTCAGTCTGTCATATACAACATCTGAATCTCCTGAGACACAAATGAGCATTCAAAACTGACAGTGCATTATATATATATATATATATATATATATATATATATATATATATATATACTAGTATATGCCCCCAAATTTGGGGAGGCGGTTTGTTTTTGCCCCGGATGTTGGGGATTTTGGTCCTATGGTGTAATAGCCTTCTTTTTTTTCTTTTTTTTTTATGATTGTAAAGTCTTATGTCGGAAATGACATTGAAATGTGCAACATCGACGCCGGCGTTAGAAGCCGCATGAGAAATCGATACAAATACCTATTGAAGGCTGACAGTTTGTTTGGCCCTCTGAGGCCATTTTTTTAGTTATATGTAGATATATATATATGTATGTATATATTTAAATGAATCTATTGATTTAATAAGAGGCAAGGGAAGATAAGATAGAAACAAATACAAACCAGTAAGAGATTGGTAGAATAGAAAAAGAAACAGTCATGTGGAATCAGCCTTGAGATAATAATATTCTACAGTGTACAAGTTTGTATGGAGTTGGTCAACACCCAAGCAAGGATGTGATATTCTGTGCTCAAGACATATCCTAGAGATGAGCGGTTCTTTCCAAATAGATTCATTTTTGGTCAAATCTACTTTCTTGTATTCTCCTTTTAATCCTTTTCATCCTGGCTTTAGGAAAGTATTCAATTTCCAGGGGGAAAGTTTATTTTTTTGGAGAAGGTCACGGCTGGGATATCATCATGCACCAATAGCTATCTAGAGTAATCTTGAGATATTTGTGATATTTATGAGAAATATGATTTTAGTTTCATGTATGTATGATAGCGTGTAGGTGTGTGTGCTAGATCGCGCGATCCAGCATTCGTAATGCTTGGTCCAAAGACTCCTTCTCGACGAATTTGACCTTTTTACCGGAAGAAGGATGAGTCTCATTACTGGAGGAGAGATCGTGCTGTTGCTGCTGTCGATGGTGACTGAACGCGCCATCGAAGCTGGACAGATGATTGTTGTTAAGAGAATCCTTAGAGGAAAGGGATGTATTCTCGCGTTGTTGTTGATGATGATAACTATGGTCTTCATCGTCGAAATCGTTGTGTGTGTTTTCGAATACGGTGGAGAGGGTCACGTGAGGACTGAAGATCGAATCTTCATTTTCAAGCATGGACTGAGAAGACGGCCAACTTGAGTTCGATTCCCCCTCGTGAGGATGGCCTTGCTGGTGATAGATTGATGAAGCGTTTTGGTCAATGGAGGATGAAGAAGACGAGTGAGGTGCAGATTTCCGAGCAACCACGTCGGCCAATAGTTGAAGATTAGCTAATCCGATGTTTGGATGAGCTTTCAGTTGCCTCCATGCCTCTGAACACGAAACTTTCCTCTCGTTTTCCACGGGAGTGGGCGATGGTGCATTGTCAAAACAGTTTTGTGAGCCGCATAGTTCGGGGTCGCCGCAACAGGGTATGCTCATATACGCGTCAACTATTGGGTCTGAGCGTTGCATTCCCCTCGTAGCCCGACTCCCAGCACCTGTTGCCGTTTCAGTCGTCGCTTCGGGATTTGATCTAGGCTCTTGGGTGGCGGTTGCTTGATTTAATGCCGCACAGAATGCCTGTCCAAATCTGAGCATTATAATGTTCGAGCGGAATGTTAGTGTGTTTTATAGTCAAGCAGGGACTACAGATGCTGCTCACGGATCATCACGGCACGCCGGACAGTCCTTGGGGTTACCATTACATTCGCGCTGCAAGACAGGTTCCGGTTCCATCTCAGGCGAGGCTGCTAAGGGAGGCACAGAGTCGTCTGCAGTCACTATCCTCCATACACTGCTTGTTGAAGGCTGGGCTCGTCTACGAATCGGCACCGCCAATGGATTATTTCCAAGGTCCTTCGCTGATAGATTGACGCTCTGCAATGGTGGCTTCAGCCCCACCTGTCGACAGACACAGTCTAACTCTGATGTACATAATCCACAATAAATATCACTCGAGGTAAAGTCTGGAACCCTTTTGGTAGACGGGTTGTTCGACACTGTAGCCAATGCGACAGTGTTTTCTACTACGGAAATGCCTGATGGTATCTGAGGCGAATTGAAAGTCTCTGGAAGAGTAACTACAGTTGGCTGAGGTTCATTCATTTCGTCTGGCACAGATGGGCGGCGAAGCTTTTTGACAGAGGCAGCAGGTCGCTCCAGGGAACAAGTGCTATCGACATCGGGATAGGAGACTTGCTTGCGAACTTTGGACTCTTTGGAAGGAGACTCCTCGAATTCGACGACGATAGGCTTTTGTTGGTTATCTGGTGCAGATTTTTTGACGAGTTGCGAGATTCGCTTCCGCAGCCTTAGGACCTCTCCCCTCAAGATTTTGATCTGAGACTGTAGCACATCGTTTTCGTTTTGGATCTTATCGATTTTTGAATTGGATTGGGAGGCGAGAGTCTTGTAGTAATTTACCTGTTCAGATTCTTGAGATTGTAAGCTTTGGACCTTTGCTTCTAATGAGTTGATATAAGCTTGTTGCAGAGCTCCTGTAGAAGTGATTGTGTCGAGAGCTTTTGCCTTTTTGGTTGGCTCAAGTTGAATGACAGAAGGTGGCTTGTCCTTGATAGTGCTATTGATAGCATGACCATCGATATACACGCCGTCCTGCTGAGACTGATGGGTTTGTTGCTTTGATTCTGGGCAGGGTTTCTGTTGGATCACGGTTGAAAAGAATGAATCTCAAGCTCATCAGCAACTGCCAAGCTCTCACTTCCTACCAAAAAATATACAGACGCATGGGGAATGGATAGGCACTCACCTGTTTAGGTTTTCTACCAGGTTTCGGTCGATCAGGTATAGTCCATGTCTGGGTGACAAAACTTCTAGGACCTGCGACGTCCTGAGATGAACCTTGATGAGGGGACGCATGTGGGAGAATCAGCGGCGGTTGTAGATTGCTATTCGGAGCCTTGATGGACTTGCTAGCCACTGTTTTGTCTGTGTAAGGCGAGAAGAACCAAGCGTCAGTCTGATCTACTCAGATGACACCGTGAAAGCAACAAAATGTCCACTCGATTCTGACTCACTGGGCTGGATGGATTTGTTCATGGTTTTAACTCTTTTTCTCCTGAGTTGATCCCTTCGACTAGGACTAACCAAATGGTGCCAAGATGCGGTTTTCGAATCAAAGCGGGGTGCTTCCGTATTCCCAAGCTTGGTTCTCCACCAAGAACAGCCGATCGAAAATGAATCTATCGGTAGAAGTAGGCTCAGTTAATAGCAGGAAATCGGCTACTATTCAGACTGGTAGGGAAGAAAGACTTTGATACCTTTGCAAACAAATGAAGATGTGTTGAAGTACACTCACAGGCACGACTTTGGCCGATAGTAGTGCAGATCGGATGGAGCTTGGACTTCAAACGGGGTCCACCTTTGCGCAGCCGGTCAACAGGATCGCTGCGTAAATTTGACCCCGCATCGGCATGGCCGCATCCTGCCGTGACATTTTGATGACTGGTTTCAGAAGACGACTAATTACATAGAGCCTGAGGCATGACCATAAATTTCAATGAGAGGCCAGGAAACTCAACAGGTAATTGACTGCTTAGAATATCAGTTTGCATGAATCCTACCACCAGACTTGGATGCATTTTTTGCTTTGCGGGTGGGCAGGGCTGGAGCCAAGCTCTCAGGGCAAGCCTCAATGTGAACTTGACTCCTGTCACTGTTTGATTGAAACAAAAAAAATGACATGCCATGTGTTTTCTAGCTTGCTTCTGAGAAAAATGAAATCACTGAAAACTGAATCCATATTTGGCAGTCCGGCATGGACAGGGATTCAAAGTTTATACTCTGAAGCCAGACTTTGGATTCTGACTTCATTGAAACTTTTGATCTACAATCATTTGTTTCACTAGACATCCTATTGTCTTGGTAACGTGGCTGGCCAATATTTTTCTGGTTTAACTCACTAATATTATTTGTGGTCTACATTACAAATAATACATGATTCAAGCTGTTGATAACTTGATAATATTAGTATGGGCAAGAAAAGCTGACCAGCTGTAAAATATTCTATTTATAGAGTGCAGAATTGTATTGATGAAGTACATACTTTGATCAAATCACCATAATGTTGTCAGTAATGCTACTCTTCCATGCCCTTAATTCTTTTCCTCCATTTCACACATTCCCTTTCCTTTGATCTCACCCAATTAAATTGATTTTAAACTCTAATGGAATAATGGGGGACTTCCCCTCAGATCTGGGACCCTTGAAGATGTTGATTTAAACCCAAAAGTTTTAGAATTTCTCTGGGAAAGCTAGCTTTTGAGACTCTAAATTCTTCTGGTAGACCCACAGATATTGACAGGAAGTTATCCAATCTGGCCTGATTAGTCTTTTCTTGGCCAAACTGTAGTGTGTATCCTCTCTACATTTGTTTCTTTCATTTTCCATTATCAATTACCTTGAAGTTTATCTGCTTGATGCCCATTATCTTGATTCTCAATCCTATGATAATAATTCTTCCAAGTGTTGCTCACTTTGGACAAACATCTCAGCCTGATTCTTGTTTGATTGCTTCAAAAATTATGCTGCAGATCATTGGGTGTTCCAAGCTCTCCTGAGGTGACCTTTTCCCCTATTGACAATATTATCATCATGAAGAAGGAATCATAGTCATTTCAAAAGCAGACATCTGCAACCACTCCAGCAGCAGGATCAATCCAACATGATGCTGTCTTTGGAAATCATGTGGCAATGACATAATTGAATGACTGAAGGGTCAGTCACCAGATGATGGTCAGAATGCCACACATGACTTTCATATCACTGGACCGGTTGGTTTTGATGTGGCTTACATCAGTATGTTGTCATGGACCAACTGTCCTATCAATCAAAATGAGGGTGAGGCATCAGAACAGACTGCAAAGTGTGCCGTCAGAAAAACAGGCAAGCCTGGTGGGAGTTTTACCAACCACTTGACTAGATCAGATGTTGCTGTGGGTGAACCAACTATCCTATCAATTAAAACGAGGTTGAGGCTGATTTTTCTGTCCAGCTTTCTTTCCCTTCTCATTTCCTGTTTTCTCATTTTTTTGGGCAAAAATACCCACCTGATAGATTTTGGCACCCACATCCTATCAAGGGCCACTGATTGCCCCCCGGGGGGTGAGAAGCAGTGATGAGCAGCGCATCGCCTTGGATCGGGGCATCCGATGTGATGTGCACCGCGACATCAAAAGCCACGCATGTGCTCTCATAGGAGATCACATGGTGTCATGGTTAACATCAATAGACACGTATTCACCACGTTCAATTGTTTTCAACGTGGTTGGAGCTCATGTTCACAACGTGGTTAGGGCTCGATCTGGCGTGATGATCATCCTCACGAGGAATCCAAGCTCGCAAAATTAAAAAAAACAATGCTGGCGTTGTAGCGAGTCCCGAGTTGAATCAATAGGAACCGCCGCATCCTTCCTAGAGCGGATTGCTTCACCAAAGTTTGCATTCCATGACCATGTTCATAATAGCGGAAAATCGAGCTCTTTCCAAGTCAGTCACATCCTGGTCGGTATCACTAGGTAGACGAGCCAAGGCCAGGCCGATGATCACAGGTTTTGTAATTCGGTCAGGACTGCATGAGCGCTGATGGGAGGAAGCGTCGGGGGTGAAGCCAGTGAAGACGAGCATGGCTATTTGATTGAGATAAACGTCGTAGAGAGCTTTAAGTTCGGGGGGCGTCGAACTTAGGAGGGGAATAAGCTGGAGGGATGTGAACGGGACCGGCAGGGCAGGTAAAAGGCCATTCTCTGAGCCGGACGACAGCTCAAAGCCTTGCTCGAAGCTGGCCAGAGGGATCGTCACCTGTGTCTGAAACAACGAAGGGAATCCACGTTTCAATATCCTATCATTCGATTAGTTGGTAGAGGAATATTCACAAGACGAGGACTGCTCACCAGACTGCCAATTTTCCCAGTTTGGGTTACGAGTACCAAGGTCCTGTCGGAATAGCCTTGAGTCATTACTTCGGTATGGATAGAGTCGATCATTCGTGCGCACTGCCGAACGGGAATGGGAGCTTTGATCGTAGACGAAGCAGCAGCCATCATGACGATGACACCGATATTCGACCTGTCGGGACTGGTATGTAGCTGGTATGTATGTGTGCCGAGCGGAAGCGGGAGCAAGTTTCGCCGTGTAGGCCTTTCGGAGAGCCTCGCATTCACCCCCGCGGAACGGGCCCCGGCGCGGTCACGCCCCTTTTACATCAGGGGTTCAGGCCTTAACAGACCTTAACAGACTCTTGTCACCGCCCACTGTTGTAAAATTGTAGATCACAAGGACGCTCAAGGACGCTCCTAGCCCGGCGGCGGCTGTGTATGTGTATGTATGGTACAGATATCCTAATCCTTCATATGCAACATTCCCCGTCCGACTCGGAACAACAATATTGGAGGCCGGAAGAAAGGTTTTATGATTTTCATTTCTCTTTATGTACACTTTCTTTCTCCCGCGTATGTAGTTCATGGCAAGTCATGGCTGAGATATGGAAGACAGACAGATGCGTTGAAGTTGTTCGGTATGAGTTGAATATAATAGTACGTACTACATATATTCCGTCTCAGCTGTAAGAATTGTAGCCAGTACTGACTGTTCAGAGTCTCGAATCCCACTCGGCCAATATGTGGTGTCAAGTTTCAATTAAAGCAGTGTTTGACACATCGCTGCTTGTTTCCTCACGGGAACTGAACCACACCATGAGCCAGACTTATGTATCCAAAGAGTACACACGCCATATAGAACCCTCCCATGAGTCCAGCATTGGTGGCAGGTGAAATAAATATAAGCGGCATGTAAAGATAGCCTGCTCGCCAAGCAGGATCCCATGCACCAGCGCCCCCGGCTGAAATACCCATTTAACACCCAGAAAGCTTCGATTTTTCTCAACAAGTTTTTGATTCATACACTCAAGAAGAAGGAATACAAGATAGACTGCGATCAACAGGAAGTATAGAGACCAGCTGATAGGCAATGGGTGCACCTGCACGACCGGTTGCCCTCCTTGACTGGCAAAAGCCGGAGTGGCTCTACCTGGCCGCTATTTTTGGCTTCATCTTTCTTTTAATCATTCGCCGGATCGCACTCTACTTAATCGATCACAGTCTCAGAGGAAATCACAAGTCCGGCACCAAATCAGATCTTCGGCTTCATCCAACCCGATGGCACAACATCGTCTTTGGCTACGAAGCATTTCAAACCAAATACTTGAATCGCCCAGCAATCTGTCGGATAGCAGGTACAAATATTTTCGGATGTTTGGATTGGGCGGAAGTCATGATGATACTGCTGCTATACCTGATTAATATTCTTTTGATAGTTGTAAGACTCTAGTCTTGATTGTCATCAAAATTTTGAACCTCAAAACAAACTAATTCGGACGGCGCGTGCATGTTGGTTATTGTAGGTCCCAATCAAGTACAGCACAATGGCGACGCTGACAGGAGCACTTCGTAGGCAGTTTTACTCAGAGGTTCGAAGATTGATTTAAATGGAGGCATTGATATTTTCCTATGACTTTTCACCATGATTTGTAGGAGAAAAGGTGGCTCTCCGGGCGACGCGTTGCATAGTTATTCAATTGCCAATCCTGTTCGCAACAGCTGGCCGATGCAGTCTCTTATCATCTTTGGTCGGCGCCTCTTATCGCTCAATGAACTTCATCCATCGCGCCATTGGCCGGTTATGCTTTCTTTTGGTCATCGTCCATGTCCTGTGTACTATCTCGACTGTAAGCATTCCAAATAACCGAACCAAAACTTTTGACCCCCGCTGAATTTCTCTTTAATTCTCTGGGGCTGCAGCTCTCAATGATGCTTGGCCCAGCAACAGCTGCCAAAATACGCACCTCTCCTTCGTTACGTTGCGCCACGGGGGTCAGTTCAATTTCTTGCTAATTGCCGGTCAGGTTTCTCAGTACTTCAAGGATGAGTGGCTCAAGATAACTGTAATCTAGGCTGTTTGTTGTGTTTTCATCTCGGCTACGCTGAGTTTTCAATGGGTGCGACATCGTCAATTTAACCTTTTCTTGATTACACATGGTAAGACCCCCCCCCCCTCCCAGATAACAGATTAAATTAACTGCCAGCTAACCTCATGAAAATCCAGTTCTTGCAGCCGCAGTCCTCCTTCCTTTGATTTACCATCGTAAGTAACTCCCTATCATTCAATTTCCAGCCATGTGGTAGGCAATCCCATTCATTCCATCTGTCCCTTTGAATCTTTGCAAAAATAATTTCTGCAGACAGACCAGTGGTTGCCCCGTGGTTAACTGCTAGTGCCGTCATTTGGGCCATTGATCGCTTTAACCGCTGGACAGGAATTATTCTCAATCATGTTCTGGCTTCCCTCTTTGTTCGCTCGAATGGGATTGGGACAATCACCGCGACGGTCGATCGTCTCGAAGGAGCGATTGTCCTCCGGATTCCGATGCATTTTACCTGGTCGCCCGGTCAACACATTTACATCAGCTTTTGGTCGTCCAAGATGCTGACAAAGCCGTGGCTCTATGGTCGATGGCACCCATTCACACTTACCAATCTCTCATCAGACGGCACTCTCCGGCGAAAGGATGGAACAGAGGTTGATCAGAATGATCGACGATCGTGGACGGGTTGTTGTTTGGTTCAAGTCCGAGGAGGGACTACCAAGTGGTTAGAAGAGCACGCCGGAGCAAATATCCAAGTTCTGATAGATGGTCCCTATGGCGGTAATGGTGGCAGTATTGCCGCCTACTCAACCCTTGTGTTGATTGCAGGAGGGGCTGGGATCACTTACGTCTTGGGGGTACTCGAAGGGGTGGCCATTTCAGCTCGACGCAATCAGGGTGGACAATTACGCCGAGTGGAGGTTCATTGGGTACTTCGGAAGCAATGTACGCTCAGCTCAGTGTCGCAGGAAATCCATTGGACTTGCTTGGATTTCGCCCGGGTACTGACAGCTGAAACTACTTTTTTTTTTTCTTTGACGATATAAGCTCAACTAGCCTGGGTGGAGGACCGAATCAGCGAAATACGTGGCATACTGGAGGGATTTGACTTGGAGATTATAACACATGCTTACATCACCAGAGGTGTTCGAGTCTCACCCGGCGTTCGCTCCGATATGGTCAGTCGGCCTATCCCAATCGCGGTAAAATTAGGACGTATGGGCAACCACGAATATCTCAAAATGCTCAGACAGGCCCCGGCGCCTCCATCACCACCCATGAAGAGTGACTCGACGGTCGTTGATAAGGAGAGGGTGTCTGCCTTTAACCAGGTCTCTGGTCGCCCAAATCTAGACCACCTAATTGCCACGGCTTGCGAACAGTCTCTTGGAAGGGTACTGATCCACGGTACGATAAACGTCCAAATGTCTAATATCTAAAGGCTCTTCAAAATTGGCTGATTTATAATTTGATTTGCAGTATGTGGCCCACGCAGTTTATCCGACGCAGTGAAGCTTTCAGCAGCCCGACAATCCAGCCCACTCGAAGCATGGAAAGGCAACCTCGGCCGATGCATCGTTTTACATCACGACCTGTTCAACACAACATAAGCTCTATCTCACGGCCTGTTCAACACGACATGAGCTCTCTGTATGAGTAAAAAACAGTAAAATATTGCTCAGTCTTGTTGTATACGTCGGTAGATGAATTCTTACATATTCCCCTTCGTCTACTCGTCGGCATTTTTTTCATCTGTCGAAAAACTCATCAAGACATTAAGGGACTTCTAAATTATCCACAACTTTCCATGTCTATTTATTATCATCCACGATCGTTTCATTCTTGTAATCAGGTCCATATCAGATTAATCTCTTATGTTGTATTGAGGAATCGTCATAATGATTTCAACTCCTTTCCCTTGTCATCAATGACATTCCCTAAGAAAATCATTTTTATTGGCTTTAAAAATTATTCAAAAGTACATCATGCACTGTAAAAGGATTTGGAGTTTAACTGTGATACCGGTACAGTTGGAGTATTCTGTATGCACAGACAACATGTTGTTGATTTTTTACAGTGAGTGGGTTGGTGCACTCTGCACTAGAGTGACTTGATTAATAGAGGGGTTTCGGCCTAGACAGTAAGTAGACATAACTTGATTATATATAGTAGATCAGTTATAACATCAAGAAAAAAACTAACTTAACTAAGTCCCACTGGCAGTTTCATCCAATGGCTTGCCAGAGAGACTTATGGGCTATGTTGCCCTCATAACCCAAGAAGATTAAGAGTTTTGCTGGTCACTTTTTTATAACTTGCCTCCACCACTCATATATGCACCAAGTTTCTTCTAGTCTTTGAACACTTGATGGCCCAGCTGTCCCCCTCATGGCCATGTCTTCAATTTCTCTTGAAGTCACCAGCTTGATGGAGAAACATCTGTTCCACCATTCTTGAGATTAGGGATACTGAGCTCCTGTATTTGCTGTGTGGCAGTAAATACAGGAGCATTCTCTGAATCCTAAATCAAAGATGAAAACCAAAAAGTGAATGTGGGAAAGGCCCAAGTGGCCTCACAAACTCAAGAATAGGATAGGAATACTCCCCTGGAAAAGCCCCTCCTATTGGTGAGTGACTTTGTATGCAGCAATCAATAAGTGTATGCAGGAGAAAGGATCAGAAACTTAGACTGATTTTTCTAGTCCTCTCAGGCAAGAGGGGCAACTTGGTGCATAAGTCCCTCCTGCAGAGGGTCCCTGAAGGACGGCAAGCCCCCTCCCATAGAGGGACTTAGTTAAGTTAGGGAAAAAAATCAGCTGACACTTGGTGTCAAGTGACATTCAGAAACAGCTGACACAGCTCTGTCACAGCTGTTGTTGTACTACTACTACTCAGCTCCCACAAAGGCCCCCTTGTATCTTATAGGGGGCTGACAATTTGATGAGATTGATAGCTGATATACTTGATGATGTCACCTATAGTATTGTTTAACCAGATGTCTCTTGCCTAGGGTTGACGGCGCGCTACCTGAGGCGCGCCGATGTGCGGGCGCCGCGCACGCGCGCCCTTGGCACGCATGAAATCTGTAAAAAGGGGGGGTGGCGCGCACTTCTAACCCTAACTTTTTCGGGGGGAGTCATCCATCAACTACCCATAAAAGCTGTATTTTTTTGGGTTTCTTGGTGGTTGAACTTACTTTTTGGCCCCTGAGAACCCGGTTTGACCCCCAAATAGTGTGAAGTGCCGCATGGCACCCACCGATTGTGGCTACCCAATAAAGCAAAGTCAGACTTTGCTGTGGTAAAAAATTTAGGTTGAAAAAAAAAAATATAATTAAAAAATTAAAAAACATGGAAAATAGGTGATATGTACATGTTTTTTACTGCGGAAAATGGCGCCCCTGGCGCGCCTCCAATGTGCCTGCCAAAGGCGCGCATCGCTGGCAGTTTTGGAGGCGCCCTCCGGTGCGCACTTTTCCAAAAGTGGCGCCGTCAACCCTACTGAGCTTGCCTTATAAGAAAAGGTGCTTCTTTATTTAAAATAGTGGTCTGTGTTGAAGAATAGGCCAGTTCATGATGGCCATTTTTGCTTCTGATACCACTTTAACACAGATAAAACACATGCCCCTCCATTGCAGGTGATACAAGCCTTTGCAAACCCAGACACCAAAGGATGGGCTTGTAAGTTGTTAGTCTATTCAATTTTTTGGCTTGAAAGCTTTTGACATATTGGTAGTAAAACATTTCCCTGCATTACTCGTCTTTCTCTTGGAAATATTGCTTCCCTGTTGGGCCATTAGAATTGTGTTGATCTTGCCTAGCATCCAATGAAATTTGAATTTTCCTTTGGATTTCTACAACAATGGGTCAGCTATGCTAACAGCAGGGTTAGCGCAGCATAACATGTTGAGTTGTCATTTCATTTTTCACTCTTCTCTTTGTGTGTGCTACATACCTGTCACTCAGCTGTCACAGATCTTGTAGTAGACCTGGGCCAGAAGTGAGTGTGTGGAAGGATTCTCTTTCCTCATCCTTTCCACTATCTCTTCTTCTGACCCAGGTAAGTCTCTCTCATTTCTTCTCTGTTTCACTTTCACTTTTTCTTTTGTTTTTGTGCTGCTTCAAGATCTATTATCATCACTAAAATTAATGCTAATATCCTTTCCACTAGCTCTTTTTCTGACCCAGACTTATTCAGTCTCATCATAACATAGCCAAATTCCCCTACAACTCACTCCAGTGCATTTTAGTGGTTTCTGGCCCTTTTTGCTGCTAAAAGCACTGTAGCACATGTGAATGCTCAAACTTAAGGATGTATTTCTAATGAGCACAATGTCAAAGAAAGAAATACAATACAAGAGAAACAAAGAAGTGAATCCTAACCTTAAGGCAAACAATGAATCAGAGAAGAAGACAAGGCAGGATGAACACAACAAAGGAGAACAAGGAGAGAAACTAAGAGACAATAGGTTAATCATGTGATTATCACAGGCTGTCAGCCTTTCAATGAGATTCAAGCAGAACTGAGAGTGAACCTACTAAGGCAATGAGACCAATAATGCTCTTGAGGATTGACAAAAGAAGCAATATGGAAGGGGAGCACTGGTCTGATTGGTGGAGTTTGTCAAAAGGAAGGGAATTTCTAGAAAAACTTTCTTGGCAGATGAAAAACTAGTTACAACGGTGAGCCACATCAGGCAGAGGAACAAGAGATGATTGGATAAGGTGATGAGATCAATATGGGAGGTTGTAAATTGACAACCTGAGTTCCATGAGGGAAGAACTTTGATGGAAGCAAGGTGAGTTTATATGTCTGGTGTTTTGCGCGTGTTTCAAGGTTTATGTTTGGACCCAATGACATCATGGGTCCCAACATAAGGAAGAGTTTTGATTGATAGGGTTATTTGCAAGAGAACTAAGAATATTAAGATGATGATGCAAGAAAGGTTTGAGTGCACAGGCTCAATATTCATAGAGGGAGGCTTGAGCATAGAGGTACAATGTTCAGATATCAACAGCACAGTGGGAATAAAAGTGTGCTAACACTACAGGGTTAGCAAAATGTTTTGAGGGCCGCTATGCTAACATTATTGAACTGTTTAGGGGAGTGTAGTGTAGCATAGCGGCCCATCACTGATTTTTATGGCATCCTGTAAGTACTCTGAATGTACTTCACTGGTTCTGGGATCTTTGAGGTGTGGAAAGGGGCAAGTTTAGAGCCAGAGGCTGTATTGCAAGAAACTAGACAGTGGAGAGATAAATCTCTGAAAGTACTTGTTCTGAGTCTAGCAAGAAGTAAAAGAAGAGATAACATAAGGATCATGAAACAGAACACTTACCTAGACAGTGGAGAGAGAACTCTGCAGTCTAGGTAACTGAAAGGAAGAGAAAAATAAATACACTCCGGCTGCTTATGTCATCAGCTGTGATGTAGTCTTGTGAAACCCAATAGAGGGGGAGGTTTCACACATCCAAAAAGCCTTTCCAAGTCCACAATCTTTTGGATCTGGACCATCTGTACATTGCTGTATTTGGATGTACACATAGATGGCCTGGATCTAATAAATGAAGAACATTGACAGGCTCTTCTAATGATTCTGGGAGCCAAGGGAAGGCTCATTGTGAGGCTAGATCCTTTTTTTGATAATGGCTCAACAGAGCATCAACATTTCCAAGAGAGAGGTGGGATGGCAACCCAGGGAAATTGTTTGCCGCCAAAAATTCAAAAGCTCTCAAGTCAAAAAACTTTATTTTAATCACAAGCCCTTCATTTTGTAGATTGCTATGCAAAGGCTTGACAGGCCATTGAGGGGCTTGCCTTTAGTGAGTCTGATTGAGGGGCTTGTGTTAAGCTAGTGAAAGTTCATAATTGGGGGCCTTTGGTGACTGGAACTCAGAAACAGCTATTAGCTTTAGCTGTAATATAAAACTACTATGACAAATCTAATCAGTGGACTGTTGAACCTAATTGGCTGGAATTTGCAGCTGAAAATTCACTTTTTCACCAAATATTCTGCAGCTGTAATCATAGCTGTGTAAGAGCTACAATGTGATATCACCTTGGTGGATTCAAAAATTGCTAACTTACAGCTGCACTAGACTAAATGTAATTTACTGGTTGTGTTGTTGGCCCCAGATCCAATTGGAAGCCCCCATTATCTGATATATCAAAATAAAGCTCCAGTGCAAAACAGGTGGATGGTTTTGTGTTTCAGAAAAAGAAAGGTTATCCCCCCCCCTCCCATGTCAACCTTTCTTTTCAACTTATCTTTGACTTTTTACTTCCTGTTTTCCTGTCCTCTTTTCTCTTCTTATTTTATTTTATTTTTCTTTTTTTCTGCTTATGTTTTTTTTTCTTGTTATGTTTTTTTTTCTTTTTACTTTTTTTTCTTGTTATGGTTTTTTTCTTCTTTCCCTTTATTGCAATTTCTCTTGTTTTTTTATTGAATTCATGCACTTTCTTTCTTGAGACAAATCATGAGATTTCATTTTGCAACATGAGGGACCAACTGATGACAATCACCTTCCTTTCTGTCTTGGATCATGGATACTAACTTTCCCGGGCACATGGACACATCAGGTCACGATTGGTGAAATACAATGGGTGGGTTTTAGAGCAGCCGCAGCATTGTATGTGAAGGTATTCCCTTGTACGAGGGCTTTTACATCTGTTGCACATTGCGCCTCCTGCAGTGGTTATAGTTGAAGTTCTAATTTCAGAGTATCTGTTGCAGGTTGGTTTGTGCCACCTGCGGTTGGGCTCCTGACTGTTACACTTGTTGCATATCGTTGCCACTTCCTGATGTCCTTTACCACATTTGTGGCAAAATGTCAAGATTGAATGTATCATTTTGTCAGAGTTTTGACCACAGCCACAGGCCCTAGATTTAATGTACACGCTGATGTGACCGTCACAGTTTCCATTGGGGTCCCAATGCATGTTGTGTATGCTGCACAGTATCATTGACAGGCTGACAAGAATCAAAGGTATCATGGGGGCAATGAAACACATGTTTACTAAGGTGATACAGGCTCTTGGATACTACCTCCTTGAACGAGTTTTGAACTGGCGAGCTTCTGAGGATTCAAAGGAGTTGAGGACGTGTAGAAACTGTTTGACTAACCATTTGGTCTGTGGGACCATGTCAGATATGAAAAAGAAATATCTATTTAATTTGGGAAAAAACAAAGTCCAGAGCTCAAGTGAGGCCTCCAAGCTACATAGAACATTGGAGGACTTCCTGTCAAATTTACAGCCCCCTGTAAAGCTATTTTTACAAGCTCGTGAAACCGTTTTCCCAGCAAAAAATTAGCTTTACAGCCTGTAAATCTAGCTTTACAAGGCCTGTAAAACCCACGGGAAGTCCTCCATTGAGAATGGAATTTATAATTTACCAGGTGCAACAGGGGGTGGCCAGATGGCTTTAATTGGGCACATTTGTTCAACTTCCCTAATTCACTGAGTAGCAACCCCAATTGTCACAAGCTACTGAACCACCCATATTCAAGGTCTGACTCATCAAGCCACCCACTCTTGAGAGAGAATATGGTCTGTGATGAATGATAGGCCTGTTAATGATGGTAATTTTTGCTGCTGATGCCACTATACCCTAGATTGACACAAGCCCCTCCATTCAGCCTCCAGAGGAGGGGCTTGTAATTTGTTAGTACTGTTGAGAGTGTACACTACACTCTCAATGGCTGAGAGTGTACACTCTCAATGGCTGAGAGTGTACACTCTCAATGGCTGAGAGTGTACACTCTCAATGGCTGAGAGTGTTGAGAGTGTACTCTCTGGTGAGAAGCAAAAAACACTCACTATTGTGAACCCGTTATTGCTTCTTGCAAGAAGCTATCACCTGAATATGTGGGGCAGGACTTGCTCTATCAGCATCACAGAGGTTTTTTTTTGTGCACAGCTCAACCATAGGTTGTATCTTATTATACTTTTTGTTCCACTGGGTAGATAAGACCAATATTGCAGTTTCTGGTGGTGGTAAGACCACCAAGTGGACAGCTTGTCCTTTCCTGTGATCACACTGTCAACAATTTTTTCAAGCTACAACTGGGAAACCAATTGAATATGTCTTGACGAGGAAAGAAAAAAACAATTGCAGCTTTGGGAGGTGGATGATGACATTGTGTTTTGTATGTTTGTTCAGGGCAGACATCAATAGATCAAGGATTTCGACTTGAGTGTGATCTACATCTTGAGCACAATGGAAGTCGGGTCAAGGAAGAGAGGAAATGTATGAGGATACGTAGTTCAACAGGTTTCCTTATCTGGCTGGTTGTCGTTGTGGTTGTTATACTCGCAAAACGTTATTATAAGGGGGGTCAAACACATTTGCATGCGTATCTCCTTCCCCTTCGATCGCCAAGTTAAGCCGAGGCCTCGAGGAAACGTTAACGAACCGAGGGGAAAAGTAGTCATTCTTGGCTATAAACTTAACTGGCATGGATTGTTGTTGACCTTTCGTGATCAAGCACCCACCCATCGATTCTAATAATTTTTTTTTTTTTTTTTTCTTTTTCTTTTTTGTTTTTGATATGGTGATGGTGATGATGTCGCTCTAGAAAAGAAAGAGAGCTTCTCGTCGTTATGGATCAGCAGACTCTGAAGCGGAAGCAGACTTCAAACCCTTTCTGATGTTGGAGAACGACTGATCAGCTCTCTGTTTATAAAAACCATCGCCCCTTCCCAGTCAACAGTCCAACTTCCTCATCTCAAGAACTGCTTGTCCTTCATCAATCAAAACCAACACCATCTTCTTACAACCACAACAACAACCCCTTCAAGCCACTTCTTAAACCCTATACAGACAAGAAACCTTCTTCTAAACATTTACAACAATATTAAAAAATACAGCCACACCGTACAAGAACAAGCTAACAAGAACAACAACAACTGCAGTATTTTACTTACAACCAACAAGATTCGAACTGCAACTTTTTGTGTATCTGTTCATTCTCACGGCTTGTCCAAATCCCTGCCCAAAACCGACTTCACCTGCTCCAATCACTTGGCGCTCACACACACACACCGGCCATCTCTCCATAACCCCCCCTCCTGGCCCACCCAGCCCTCTCCAGCCCTCTCTCCCTCCTCCCCCCTCCTTGTGACTGGTCCCTGCTGCTGCTTCATACACAACCAATCCAGCCTGCATATATACAACCCTGCTCACCCACACTCGCTCTTCAGCACAACCCAACACACATAAATACACTCATTTTGATAATAACTCCCTCTACCTCCCTCCCTTCCTCACCTTAACTACTACATACACATCCCTCACTCTTCTTTCAACCAACCAACCAATCAAATAAAAAAACAAACAAACCGACCAACTGAACAAAACCACCATCAAGAAGAACAACACTCAAGCTTACAGCAAGATGATTCTCAACCTACGACGGCTCACAAGATGTCTATTCCTGAGCAGCACTCTAGCACCCTCATTCACTCAGGCGGTATCCTTGGACGTCAACGATCTCTCGGCCCTCAAGAATGCCGCCTCGACAGCCCTCAAGAATCTGATGAGCTTCTACACCCCCAATCCGAGCGGAGTCTTCGACCAGGCCTCAACCCCCTGGCACGAGTCCGGCATGATCTGGGGACTCTTCATGGACTATGCTAAATATACGGGCGATACCCAGTTCCTCGACGTCGTCACCGGCGCTCTCGTTAATGCTTCATACGGTGCTGAACAGTAAGCCATCTTCCTGTTCCCTCCTCGTTTCCCTTCTTAATCTTTCATCCACTTATTCCTTTTTCAACGCTGTGCTTTCTGTAGAGATCTTCTCGGTGGTGCAATGTCTTCAACAGCCGCTACTCTGTTAGGACGATGGAACGACGATATTCTATGGCACAGTTTGGTTCGTCACCATCGCTTTCCCTCTCAAAATGATTGTTTCGGATCACTTATCGATCCTCCCGCTTGATCATCCTACTCTTTTTCCTTCTTCTGACTTATCAAATCGACTTCACAGGCTAGTGAGTAATCCTCCTCATTTCTTGAGCTTCATATATCTGTCCAGCTCACCTCTATGCACTTCTTCTTCTCTTTTGGTAATTGATCAGCTGTTGGTGGGGCTGAAATCTATGGTGCTGAATCAATCATGCCCGGGTCGAAGGGCTCATGGATGACCCTTGCTCAAAAGACGTACGACCAAACCTATCAACAATGGGACAACGGATGTGGTGGAGGAATCTACTGGGTATGCAAACAAACACCCACACATAAATCGACACTTTCCAGTTGACATCTTTATTCTGTTGTGATTTCAATAGTCTCGGGATAGGAATGGAGCCTCAGCACCCTACAAATCTCTGATTACCCAACTGGAATTCATCCAACAAGGCGCGCGAAACTTCATGGAGAACAAGAACAACACGGCCTTAGATCTGTCGAAGGCGGCGATGGACTGGGTGTTCTCATCGGGGCTTGGGAACGCGCAAACAGGGATCCTGTACGACGGGATGAACGTGGGCGAGTGTGGAAAGTTTACGACCCATCTATGGAGTTACAACTACGGCTCGCTGTTGGGTGCCTTAGCATGGATGCACAAGGCCACGGGAAACAACACCTATCTGGACCTGATCGGGCCGTTCTACAACTATGCGAGCCAGACGTTCAGTGGACAGAATGTGTCGAATGTGGTGACGGAGACCTGCGAGCCCGGGGCGAGATGTAACCGAGACCAACAGGGCTTCAAGGCGGTCTATCTACGCAATCTGGCCTACACCTATCGAGAGGCGAGCTCTGATTCGATCAAGAACTCAATCAAAACCACCGTCGATGCGTCGGTTGCAGCCATGGTCCAAAACTCGTGTGACAACGAATGGTTCTGTAACGGCAACTGGACCGCCGATGCCAGCCCGGTCAAATACGTCCGCTCCCAACACGTCTCCGCCGCCCTCTTAGTCTCTGCCCTCGGCATCCATCTCAATCCTGAGGGCGGCCTCTTGCCCAAGATCACCCCCGGCCAGCTCGTCGATACCACCAATGGCGCCGCTGGGCTTGGGTCTGGTAGCACTAAGAATCCCGGGAAAGTCACCAGCAAACCGCTCGCGGCTGCCCCCGGCCTTTCCGTCACCTTCTCGTCCCTCTTCTTCGGCTTCTTCATCGCTTCTATTTCGTCCTTCTCTCCGCTAGACCTGATTCCTTCTTAAACCCATACCCCCCCTTGAACTCGTCACCCTTCTTCCTGCCTCTTCCTACTCTTCCTTTTCTTTTCTTTATATATCTCCTCTCTGCTATTCTTCATCATTCATCTACCTTTCTTCTATCTTTCCTTTTTTTTTTGTTTCCATTCACATTCCATTACTATTGCCCCCCCCTTTATTTCCTCCTTTGGATGGCTTGATGGATGGACCTCTCTTTCCTCCCCCTCCCCCCCTTTTTTTCTAACTTGTTCTTTTTTTTATGTTCTTTTTCCTTCTCTTTATAAGGAAGAATTATTTGCTTTGCTTTTGTTTTTTTCTCTTTGGTTTGGATGGGTTGGAAACACCTGACAACAGATACACACTTACATACATCCATAAAGGAGGGGATCATGGATCAAAAGACCAGCCCAAAAACAAATTCTTTTGTTCTCCTTTTTTTTTTTTTTTTTTTTTTTTTTTGAAACAAAAAGATCTTATGCTTGGTTGGTTGGTTGGTTTTTCTTCTTTTTTTGATATAAGATTACAATTTAATATGGTTGGATGGAAGACCAAGAGACCATGGTAGTTGGAAAGGACATTGTATATATACACACATACACACACTCCTCATTTTTCATTTCAGTTTTCTTCTGCAAGATGGTTCACTTGAGAAATCTTGCTCAAGTTTGGATAAACCAACAAATGGTTGGCCCATTCATAGTTTCTATTTTTCTTCCACATTGGTTGAGCAGATTAGTGAGCTTGCTAATGCTAATCTGAGAATTAGCAAGGACTGAATTTGATACCCTGTGTGCTCCAGATTTGGCGCTGGAGCGGGTTTGGTTGAATCTCTGATTCCACCCAATGTGGTTGACGAGCCAGCCGATCCTATTCCTGTCTGTACTCTGCACACCGATTGGGATGCTCCATGCTCAGAAGTTAAGATGGATGGGATAAAAGGAAACGACAGATTATGTGTGCGTGGAATATGCAGATTGGGTGTCAATTAAGGATTTCCTCTTTTGCACAAATCAACCCCTCCTTTAAAAAAAAAAAAAACGTACAGAAAAATAAGTGCACATTGATATGGCTGAATGAGTGGGAGTACATAACTTGTTGAAAGATTTGAAGTGAATGAGAGAACATCAGTGTGGTGAGCACTAGAAAGCAGAAGCAGTGGGCTGAGGTCATGTCAGAGGGCCTGTCTCTCTACCCACCCCACAGCCAACCGTCCAACTAAGCAACAGGGGTGAATCCAGCATTCATTTCACTTGGCTTGATCAGCGCATACCTCTCCTTCACTCTTGGATTCCATCCCTGCAGCCTTATAAATCGAATCAAGGAAAAAAAAAAATTAAAAAAACTGGGTGGCCCAAATGCCCCCAAACCAGCTACCTTTTTTCATTTTTTCTCTCTCCTTTTTTTCTCCTTTTCTTCTCCTTTTTTTCCTTTTTTTCCCCTTTTCTTCTTCTTTTCTTCTCCTTTTCTTCTCATTTTTTTCTCATTATCTTCTCATTTTTTTCTCCATTGTCTTCTCATTTTTTTTCTCATTTTTTTTCTCCATTTTTTTCTCCATTTTTTTCTCCATTTTTTTCTCCATTTTTTTCTCCACTTTTTTCTCCATTTTTTTCTTCATTTTTTTTCTCCATTTTTTTCTCCATTTTTTTCTCCATTTTTTTCTCCATTTTTTTCTTCATTTTTTTCTCCTTTTTTTTCTTCATTTTTTTCTCCTTTTTTCTCATTTTTTTCTCCTTTTTTTCTCATTTTTTTCTCATTTTTTTCTCATTTTTTTCTCATTTTTTTCTCCTTTTTTTCTCCTTTTTTTCTCATTTTTTTCTCCTTTTTTTCTCATTTTTTTCTCCTTTTTTTCTCCATTTCCCTTTCCTCGAGTCCTTTTTTTCTTGTTTTTTCTCCTTTTTTTCTCCTTTTTTTCTCCTTTTTTTCTTCCTTTTTTTCTTCCTTTTTCTTCTTCCTTTTTCTTCTTCCTTTTTTTTCTTCCTCTTTTTTTCTTCCTTTTTCAATATTTTTTTTTGTTTTTCAGCTTCTTTGCACTATCTTCTTTGAGAAGCAATCATGAGAACACATGATTCAACTTGAGAGACCCACTGATGACAATCATCTTTGTTTCTACTTAGGATTGTGATTTTAGATTTCACCTTCCATAGGTACATGGGCACTTCTGGTCAACACTAGATGAATAGGATGGATGGGATTTATCGCAGCCATGGCATATTATTAACCTTTTTTCCCTCCAGTGCTGCCTATTACATCTGTTGCAAGTTATGCTTTCTTGGTAAGCTGAAACTTCAATTTTAGAGTCTTTAGGGCAGTTTGTGAGGTGCCAGGAACGGTTAGGCTTCTGTCCTCCACATTTTCCACATATTGTAGCCACTTCATTGTAAGATTTTTGACATGGGATGCAATAGGCTGAGATGGATTGTATTAAATTGTTTGAGTTGTGATTACACATATCACATCTTCTAGATGTAACAGACAATGAAAGTCCACCATTGCATTTGGGGCAAAGATGCATACACTGTACTATTGACAGAATGACAAGGGCCAAAGGTATGATGAGGATGGTGACATGCATGGTGACTGGGATGATGCAGACTGTTCTTTTTTTATTCCTAGAGCAGGGTTTGAACTGGTGATCTTTCAAGGCCTATGAAGAGTTGAGGATGTGGATATTCTGAATAGTTTACCAATTGGGAGATGGGACCATGTCAGAGAGAAAGAAGAAAGAGCTATTTAACTTGGGCAAACACAAAGCCAAGAGCTCAATTTAGTTCCCTAAGCTACATATAATTTACAGCACAAGAGGGGGTGGTCAGATTGCTTTAATTAGATGCATTACCCACATTCTGTACCTCACAATATAGTGACCACAGTTGTCATGAGCTGCCACCTGCCCACAGGGATTGGATTCCTAGAGCCATCCACTCCCAAGAGGGTATTCTGTGTGTCCTCTGTTGTGTGAGCCTTGAAATATACAACCCTTCAGGAAGGCCAGTACCCCTTGCTCAATGGTTAAATCTAATGGAAATGAGACACTCCACTGAAATTGATACAGGTAAATTGGGGAGGTGACAGAACTTTTCTGCCTTCAGGCAATCCTAGGCTCTCCAGATTGTATAGCAAAAATCTTGTCTTTAGATGTTGCTGGTATATGGCAGGCCTACCTCCCAATTCACATGTCAGGTGGATGGCCTCTGGTGTGGTTTTCTTAATCCAAAAGCCTTATCATCCTTATTATGTAAAGTGTAAAATTGAGCTTCCTGATCATTATACATTGCTGGCTAGGTGTAGAAGCAATCAAAGTTAGATTCTGAAGTGGCTGTGTGGATAAATATTTGATGATCCTTTCTATTTTCTTCTTTCATGAACAGTTCTGAACTGCCTGTCTGCTCACATATCAAAGGGCTCAATAAATAACCACTTTACATAACCTAAGTTGAGCTTGTATTGCACTATTTTGGTGTTCTTGTCATCAGCTGTACCATTGAGATGAGTCTTTTCAGAGTTCCATCAAGTGAGGGTTGGCTGGTTGCTTATTCGATTGATGTGTGTTTTGGAGGTTTCCCCAATTGCCACATTCCAACACCAAGAAATGCCAAGCCTGTGATCTCAAGAATATGATGAGATTCTATGGACCCAATGTAAGTGGAGCATTTGACCAAGCTTCAACCTCTTGGCACAAGTTGGGTTGGATCTGTGGTCTCTTCATTTATCCATGTTGTCACTGGTGCTCTTAGAAAGAATGATCTTGTTAATGCTTCATACGGTGCTGAAAGGCAAACAAACACACTATTCTTAAATCAAAATCTAAATTGACACCATTAACACTTATTACTGAATTCAAAAGTATTGGAATATGAATGGAACCTCCACACCCAAAAAACAACTGATTAATCAACTTCAATTCATCCAACAAGAAGTAGAAAAAGTTATCAAGAACAAGAGGAATGCAGCTTTATTCTCATATCTTGCAAAGACAGAGATAGACTGGGTATTCTCTTCAGGGATTGGGAATGTGTAAACAGGGATCCTATACAATTAAATGAATGTGGGAAAGTGTGGGAATTATACAACCCACAAATGGAGTTAAAACTACATATCCAACCCAGAGGGTGGTCTCTTGCCTAAGACCACTCCTGGTCAGCTTGGTGATACCACTAATGGTGCTACTGGTCTGGTAGTGGGTACCAGGAAACAGGTGCGGGTGCGGGTGCGGGTGTGGGTGTCAACATTTGGGGTAAAAAAGGCAGGTACCCGGGTACCTGCCTTACCCCCACCCTGGGAATGCTTCCCCCAAAGAATTTAAATTATCATTGGCGGTCCAACACTCCCTTATTTGGGTGTGTTGGCTGCACAAAGGTGTCAGAAACCCATGTAGGACAGTGGCTGGTGTCCTACATGGGCTGCTGGACTAGTCTGGTTGCTGTGTTGAGGCCAGAGGGAGCCCTCTGGCCTTTGAGATGGTGTACAATATCAACAACTGGAGGAATCCCTCCAGTCATCAAGACAGATTTCTGGGTATATTTGCCTGCAAAAGATCCTCCACACCCTCAGGTACCCAACACAGGTACCTGGGTACCCCCCCCCCCTGGCAGACCTGACAGGTGCGGGTGTCCAAAATATTGGATTTTTGAGGCAGGTACCTGCACCCGCTACAGGTACCCGGGTATGAAGCGACATCTCCATCTTGTTTCCAGTAAAAACTAATAATCCTGCAAAATTTACCAGTAAACCACTTGAAGCGTCACCCAGCCTTTCCATAAACTTCTTGACTCTCTTCCTTGGCCTGTGCATTGCTTCTATTTTGTCCTTCTCTCCACTAGACCTCATACCTTCTTAAGCCACACCCTCTTAGTACTACTTGCAACTTTTCTTCCTCTTCCGACTTTTTTTATTGATAATATCCTCTCCATCACTCTCCATAATCCATCTAGTCTTTATTCTCTTTTCCCTTTTTCTTATTTAATTTCACATTCCATTACTACTTCCCCCCCCCCCCCTCTTATCTGCCTGTTAATCTTTTGCATGGTTTGATGGAAGGAACTCTCTTCCCTTTTTTTTCCTTTGTCTCTTCTATTTGTGTTCCTTTTTTCTCCCTTTGGTTTTGAGTACAACATCATCAAACAATAATAAAAAAGATGGATGCATGAAACCAGAGGAAAATAAGATTTCACTCCACATGTCTTTTGTTGAGTTTTTTAAGAAAAACAAAAGGTTGGTGGTAGTTGTACTTTTCTTTTTATGTAATATTACAATTTAATATGTTTGGATGGATGATCAATAGAAAACATGGTAGTTGAAATGGAAATTTACACTTTCACATTTTCGTACTTACTGCATACACTTCAATTCAAATTTGAGCTTTCTTATAAACTCAGAGCATCTGTATTGCTGGCTAATTTGGCGCAAGCTAAGGACTTAAGCCACAAAATTTGACTACACCCGGCTAGTCTAAGCTCAAACTAAACTAGCTTGTGGCTGTGATTTCAGCTAATCTTCTAGCAACAGTTATCTGTTAAGCTAGCTAAAAGGACACACCTGTGCATTTGCTTCAATTTGGTGCCCTCCCACAAATATTACACCCCTCAACTTCAAACCACTCAGTGAAACTTAAACTCAACTTCTCAAGCCACACTGTGAGACTGAACTTTGTTGGAATGTCATTCCTTGTTCTAGCCCTCAAAAGAGGAGATTCTCAGGTAAGTTTATCAACCTGATTGATAAGCTTCCTGAAACGTAAAATTATCATTGCGCTGATCAAATTGATCATTGATCTTGCGCAGAGCTAGACTGTTCAGCAGATGAACAAGAATGAGCCAAGCTTCCAGCTTGTGAATCAAGAAATGATGTCAGTGACGTCAGAAGACTAAAGATGAAAAATGATTGTGATCATTTATCGGGCTCTAGGTGAGTTACAATTGATTGATCACAAGAGAGAAAACAGACTGAAATGAACTCAAACTTCTAGTTCTCATTTCTTTCTTCTCAATACTAAAATCATCTTCACTTTATATAGTTCTTCATCAAACAAAGTCACTACAAACTATTGTCAACTTATCAACCGTATCTTTACGCCTTTAAGTGATTCATTGAACAATCGTCACTAACTCAAGTTTTAAATACAACAAGAATTAACTTCTTTTATTCAGAAAGTAAAGTACCTTCTACTGATTTCAATAAGATAACACAGGATAACTAACATTGATTAAATACAATCAGTTATCCTTATTCTCTTATAATATAAGAACAGATCAGTCAAATTATCTCTTTATTGTTATCTTAGCATCGACATCAGTAGAAATTGCAGATTAATTCTGCCTTCAGGTATTTTTATTATTTTCTTTATAGTCTTTATCTAAAATATTCAATTGTAATTTGTTAAAAAAATTAAATACTTATAAAGAAATAAAAACTTCAGTTTCAAATTCTTTCAAATTTTTGTTGATGCTGTAGCTTAGCAATAGCTGCAAGATTAAATTGCTTGATTTTAGCTCAACTGGTAAAGGTGCTCTCACCTGATAAATCTTCCTTGCATTTGCACACAAAACAAAAGGTTGGTAAAACATAACTTGTTTTTGATGTAAGTTCAAATTCTAATATGGATGAGAAAGCAAAAAAGAACTTGGAATGGACATGGCATACAAGAGGCCTCCAGTGGGGTTCCACATTTTCACATCTTGAACTTTTTTTGGTTTCACCAACATGCTCATGCTCTTAGTGGGTTTCACATGTTGGATAATTTGAGACAAGTCAAAGTACACAATAGGGGGTATCAAATATAACCAAATCCACCATTATATAATTGACTGGTTTCAAAAAATCCACCCTTTTTTAAACATGTTGGTTCTTCATTTAACCCCTTTTGGGGCCCATTTATGCAAAAAAAAGTTTTTGGAAAAGTGACTGGTTTCTGATGGTGGATTTCCTATATTTGATACCCCCTAATGCATACTCACTGTCAATGGTTGATCCCAAATCAATTTAAATTAACAAAGGGGCATAGTAATACAACTCCCAACAACTGTTGACACACAACCATTGCAAGTTGTTCCTCCAAATAACTGGCTGGATTTAAGATTTGGCCATAATTATTTTGAAATTTGGGATTTGGCTGCCCATTTCATAGTAGGAGCATTGATAAACGCAGGCCCTCCCCCCTTGCACCCACTGTAGTGTGCTGTGCCTGTTCTAATGCCAAAATCATACAGCAGAGGCATTAGGATAGGATTGTTACATACATGTGGCAGTCATTAAAAGAGGATTGAAAATCATTATGGAGGAGTTATAGTACAGCCCCTTGACAGAAAAATAATGGAACCCTTGAATTGGAGTCTAGAGGGCATACCAATTTACTTCAATTCATGCTTCTTGGTGAAACTGTATAAAATTAGTTCCAAAGAATGATTCTGACACTCGGGGTAGAAAACCATTTTGTAAAACATTTGTATATTTTGCCTCTGATTTTTTTTTTTGGTATTTTTCAATCAATTTTCAAGTTAGCTCAAAAAATCAGGATCAGCACAATTGCACGTGAAAAGATTGATTATGAATGATAAATTTAAGAAATTGATCAACAGCTGTTTTTAATCAGGTTTTGATTGTGTCATCTACCAGACCAACCCTGCAAGTCACTGAAATCAAATTCAATTCCAATCTAAATCCAGCTTCTTCTACTCTCTAAACTTTGGATCAATGATTTTTTTGTTTAATTATTCATTTATAACCATTCTTTTCACATGCAATTGTGTTGATCCTGATTTGATTTTGAGATACTTTGAAAAATGAGTAAAAATACCTAATTTTACAAAAATTTTTCCTATCCAAATAGTCACAATAATTTTTTAGAACTCATTCTATAAATTTTAATCAGGAAGCACAAATTGAAGTACATTGGTTTGCCCTCTAGAATCCAATTAAAAGGTTCCATGTTTTCTGTCAAGGTACTGTACCATGTAAACACCTCTTCTGCCTGTCCAAGAAACGTATTGATTTTTCAAAAGCCTTTTTGGCTTTATCAAAATTGAAGCAGCATCCAGATGGATTATTTGATGTATTTACAATGCTAAGATGATCAGGATACTTCACAAGATTGTAAAACCTATGTTTCCCCAAGGGCCTGTTGTTTGGTTTAATTTTCTTCCTCTGCTGAACCTTGCTGAACTAAAGGGCTTTTGGGCAGATGAACAAAAGAAGGCATGGGGAGGACACAAGGTGGGGTAAAGTGGTGGCCCATTATGGGTAAACCGTAAAATGGGTGGTTGTGAATTTTGTCTGACCATGACCACAAACCAAAATCTCAAGTGCAAAACAGGTGTATGGTTTATTTTGTAGGAACATTAGAAAAAAGGTTTCCCCCCCCCCTCCCACCTTTTTAACTCCATTCCTATCTTTTTACTTTTTTAGAAAAAAAGGTTTCCCCCCCCCCTCCCACCTTTTTAACTCCATTCCTATCTTTTTACTTTTTGATCAACCTTTTGTACTAATTTGCACTTTCTTTTATATGGTTTTCCTTTTCCTTTTTTTTTTTTGCTATTTTTTTCAATTTTATTTTTCCTTAATTGCAGAGACATTTTAAGCATGCCAAGTCTTTTCTGGATGAGCAGGATGGGTGGAGACGATTGCAGCCGTGGCACTGTATACCCCAGTGCTGCCTAAGACGAGGCCCTTTACACCAGAAGCACTGCAGATTTTCTTCCTTGGTGATAGTGGTTTTGAGTTCGAAGTCTTCAGGACAGTTTCTCGCATGCCACGTACGGTCAATATTCTGATTGTTGCATACTTGACATATTGTTGCCAGTTCATTGTTTGATTTATGGCATGTGCTGCAGTAAGTCTCGATGTATTGTATGAAGTTGATCGCGCATTCACACTTTGAATCTTTAACATATAGTGAAACATGACCGGGGCAGCTACCGTAGGCATGCATTTTGAGTGCGTTGCACAGTGTCATCAACAGGTTGACAAGGGTCAAATGTATGATGGCGGCGATGAGACACATGGTGACTGGGGACGGGTGATGCAAGCTATTGATGCCTACTTCCTGGAGTGGGTTTTGAACTGGTGACCTGTGAGCACTTTTTGAAGAATTGGTGATAGGCCTAGTTGAGGGTGTATGGCTTCTGGACAATTAACCGTTTGAACGATTGGGCCATGTCAGAGGGGAATGAGAAACAGCTATTTAGACTGGGTAATCACAAAGCCCAGAGCATATTTTAGGGTCCCAAGCTACTAGAATGTTTTTTCTACTTGAAAAGATTGCCAAGTAGTGTTATATTTGACTCTGTTTCTGGCATATAGAAAGCCCATTGGGTCTAAATTCTGAAAGATGAAAAATTTCATTTGGGATGCTTTTTCTGGATTATCTAACTCCAAAACAGAGCTCAAGTGCACAACAGGTGTATGGTTTATTTTGTAAGAGCATTAGAAAAAAGCCCCCCCCCCCCCATACTCCTCGCTTTTTTAGCTCCCTTCCTATCTTTTTACTTTTTGAACAACCTTTTGTACTAATTTGCACTTTCCTTCATGGGTTTTTCCCTTTTCCGGTTTTTTTTTTTTTTTTTTTGCTTTTTTTCAAATTTCCTTTTCCCTAAATTCCAAGACATTGTAAGCATGCCAAGTCTTTTCTGGAACAACAAGAAGGGTGGAGACGATTGCAGCCGCGACATCTTATATTCAAGTGCTGCCTGAGGCGAGGCCCTTTACACCAGAAGCACTGCAGATTTTCTTGATTGGTGATAGTGGTTTCAATTTTAGAGCTTCTCGGACAGTCTGTGGCATGCCACGTGCGGTCAAGATTCTGATTGTCGCATACTGGACATGTTGTTGCCGGTTCCTCGTTTGATTTATGGCATTTGGCGCAGTAACTTTCAATGTATTGTATATTGTGGTCGTAGGCGCATCCACATCCACACTTTCCAGAGGAAACATATATCGAGACATGACCGGGGCAGCTATCGTAGGCATGCATTTCGAGTGCGTCGCACAGTGTGATCAACAGGTTGACAAGAGTCAAATGTATCATGGCGGCGATGAGACGCATGGTGACTGGGGACGGGTGATGCAAGCTATTGATGCCTACGTCCTGGAGCAGGTTTCGAACTAGTGAGCTGTGAGCACTTTTTGAAGAGTTGGTGATAAGCCTAGTTGAGGGTGTATAGCTGCTGGACAATTAACTGTTTGACCGATGGGGCCATGTCAGAGGGGAACGAGTAACAGCTGTTTAGGCTGGGTAATCACGAAGCCCAGAGCTCATTTTAGGGTCCCAAGCTACTGCTTCAACGGGCACGGCAGAAAGAAATGCGACATGTTCCCCTGAACCCCTGATACAGGTGACTCGAAGTTGGGCAGGCAACGGAGCTCTTCTGCCTTTGGGCCAGCCAAGGCACCCAAGATCATAGGATATCGGACTTGTCTTGAGAGGTCGCCGTCATATGGTAGGCCTCATATCTACGGCGGAGTCAATTTTATTCCACCATGCGCCTTGGCACTGGTTCCATCTTATGCATTAGGTGGACGGTCTCTGGCGCAGTCTTTTTAAGGCAAGATGCTTCTCATCGACGGCTTAGAGGCGATCGAAGTAAGATCCGAAAGCCACCTTGTGGATAAATTTTGGATGATGCTCACAAGAAATTTTGCTGATTTGTTAAAAGTTCTGGGATGCGTCGTGTCTGCTCAACATCTGAAGGGTTCCTGGCGCAGCTGCAGCCAAAAGAGGTTGAAATCAACCCGGTCGGAGAGTCGCTTCAAACAAGACACCCTCCTTTTCAAAGGTAAGGTAGTGTTATATTTTGTAACATTTTGGCGCGTCCTTGTCGTCAGCCCCCTCGCGGCGAGTCTTTTCGTCGCGCAAGGGTTGACCGGTCGCTTGGTTGATTGATGAAAGTTTTGGCTGTTGCCGGCATGAAGAGGTGCCGAATCTATAGGATGCCCACCACAAAAATTAAGGGTTGCCTCGACGAGCCTAACGCTCTGGTTGTCTGCGCAAGACAGATGAAGAAGACAACTGATAATTATTCAGACCACGGAAGAAGTATGTGTCCGTCTCCCCAGATAGTGGGGTGGGCTCGGTGAGTCGCTACCCAACATGGGCACCCGGGAGAGGATGGCCAAACGACCAAATACAGATCCTCTTGGATTGTTTCATAGCCATCGCCAAGCCAAGTCAGCTGCCTTATCAATCTGTAACCGAGTCATCCCGTAAGTAAATACGTATTTCTCCCCGCGTTGTATCGGGACTCAGCTTCATTTTGTATGTACGCTTCAAACTTTCTGAAAGTGCTGCAAGAGGCTCTACAGCTTACCGGGCGACCGAGTCCACGATCACATACACTATTTGCATACCATATTGCTCTCCAATCGTGAAACATTGCACTGCCAAGAGTCTTTTGATATCTCCGGGATCCAGCGAGACGCTTGCGCTTGGGCGAGTTGGTAACACAAGGAAGAATCCATCTTGGCCTATTCCCTCTGACCCAACATCTACATATTTTTACTCCGCGTGGATTGTGTTTTCCCACCAGACATCGCCATCCCCTATAACCGCCTCACATCCAGATCTGCTTGTCCCCCCCCGTATTTACCAATCAACGACCCTGACCAATTAGACCGATGTCTCACGTCAAAGTCTGCACTTTCCTACCGCCGTGTGGCGCTGCAGTCGCACTTTCACTTGCGACTATAATCTTTCACACCATTCTGTGCATTTTGCTCAGTTATTCGATCCTTGACTTGATCTCACCGCATTCGAGAATCAATGCCGGAAGACATACAAATTCGACGAGTGAGTAGAACCCCGCTCCCGCATTACAATATTGGCTTCACTCTAATAATGCCTGGCTTTCTGTGTTTTTGCAGACTCCTCAGCTCCCGTGGTTGGAAATTTGACTGGTCCTGGCCCGGCTTCGAACACTACTACACCGGTCGCATCCACCACGACTACGAATGCGAATTATTCGACCCCATCATCCTTGACCTTGGAAAACGCACGCACCAATGCGCCGCCCACTCCGAGCCCCGACCCTGAGGCGCCGTCACCAGACGCCAACAACTCCTCTCCTTAGCTGCCTGTTTCTTGTACCACTTACCACAGTAGCATCAATTTTTTGTCTTCTCTCCGACACATCCCAAAACAAAGTACAGGGGGCCCTGTCTCTCTGCGAGCAAGTCGAATCTGTCGGATTTCGAACCTCGAAAATCTCGTTGAGGTTTTGAACGACCCCTCAATAACAGCTGGCTCTTCTCACTTTTCATCTACTGTCCTCTATCCTTAATGTTTGATTGTTCGCCTTAGTCCCTCCCCCTTTTTTTTATCTTTCACAGCCATGTGTTATTTCCCTATCTTTTATTCTTATCCCTTTATTCTATTTTTAGCTGTGTCTCATTTTTTTTTATATCTTTAAGCTTCATGCTTGAGATAGTTTCGAGATTGAATGTTTTATTCTTTTCATCTTGAGAACCTCGCCAAGCTCCCTCCTCCCTTCACAAAAGCTTAGCACATAATCTTTCCAGCCTTATAATTTGTCGCATTTCATAAACAGTGGTCGTATGAGCAACCAGTAAGAAAAAAAGAAAACAGGGACTGACGTTTTACCTCTAATTCCATTCCAGTAATGTATATCTTTATATCTTGAAAAAGAAGCCTTCGACGCATACCTCTTGCGGAGCTTCACTTGGATCGACCCAAATTGCCAGAGAAAACATACTCGAGTGACTATCCAGGGTACAAATGATCCCTTTCATCAGGAACACAACAGGTGTCTCTGATTAATGAGCGCCGCAAGTATATGTATATAAAGACCACGTAGATGATCAAGGAAGGATTGTTGACTCATGTGGGCCACAGAGAGGCCAGATGACAGTCACCAAGCACCGCGAACAGTGTCTCACCTGGCCATGATTGATTCGCAGTTTTATGTGTGTGGGTCTCCCAGCGATCTTGGCACATTTGGTTTATCAGAACTCGATATGTATGTAATAGTCCACAACTATCAGAAATTTGATTGGGTGCATCTTATTACCGCCTCCCACCATGCATAGTGTCCGAGTGGTGGACCGCTACTTAGTTGCACTACATAACTGGAGGGTGTTATAGCACAATATGAGCATAGCTACATATCCATACTTAATATTTCTCACTAATTGTCTGTTCCTGAATTTAATCATTGGAGTCTCTCAACTTCAAGGGATTTTTTTTTTTTTTGGTTGTTTACTTTCTTTTTTGGATCTTTATGCCACTCAACATGTTACCACAAGTTGACATGATGAACTCGAAATGGGCCTTGAAAACCGGCGCTTAACAAAATCACAAGCAAGTGTTTTCTAGTAAGTGTTATCCAGACAGATGAAAAGCGACACCTCAAAAAAAAAAAAAAAAACAAGACAATGGAGGTCTTCCCGTCGCGATTTAGAGTGCTTTTTAGACCTCACTCAGTCCTAAATTAACAACACGATTAAGATTTTAACCAGCTGACATTACAGCTGTTTCCGGAAGGCTTCAGAAAAAATATTTTTTTTGATGAAAAAAATAGATCTAAGGGGTGTAAATCAACTTCTGGGAGGGTTGTAGATTGCGACGGGAAGTCCTCCAATTCATTTCATTTCATTTCTTCTTTCATTACAAGACAAAACCAAACAAACACATATAGAGGTATCTTTTTAAAAAAAAAACAATGTTATTTTTAGTCATACTATTTTTAATTTAATTTTATACATCATCACGACGATTGAATAAGACGATAAAAAAAAAAAACACAGAAAGAGCCACGATTCCATAACCTGAGCAGTCTCAAACTACTGAGTAGAAAAAAGAGAAGGGGGGGGGGGAATACAAGAGAGGAGAGATTAATTGACGTCTTCGATTTTGATCTCATCATCCGAAAGGACGTCCTGTTCGTCATCGATATCCATGGGGAGGGGCTCATGATTAGGGAGAATGAGGAGCCGATTGAGTTTCCAATCGGCAGAGATCCGAGCGGCCTCGCCGTCGCGGATCCGTTCGTCGAGGATCATCCTCGAGAGCGGATGGAGGAGCTCGTTCTGGATCGTCCGGTTCAACGGACGGGCGCCATATTGCGGGTTGAAGCCCGCTTGGCCCAGCCAGTTTCGCGCTTGATCATCGACCTCTAACATGATGTTCTTCCCATTGATTTGCAGTCGCTTTTGGATCTCGGCTAGTCGGACATCTACGATCGATCGGATTTGCGCTGTCCCAAGCTTGTTGAAAATCTGGCGCGTAAAAAAGGGATACATGATCTCAGTGGACTGTGTCCAGATCTTTCAGGGAAGAAAAAGAGGCAAGTATGATCAGAGATAAGAGAGAGCTTGCTTACGATTGTCGCATCAATACGGTTGATGAATTCCGGCGCGAAGTGAGAGCGGATGGCCGCATGAACCAAGGAGCGAGTCTGCTCGGGGATCGGGCTATCCTCGTCGAGTTCATTCAAGAAAGCAGCACCCAAGTTGCTGGTCATCACGATCACGCAGTTGCGGAAGCTGACGACCCGGCCTTGACTGTCAGTGAGCCGGCCATCGTCGAGGACTTGGAGGAACAACTGGCTGAATTCTCGCGAGGCCTTCTCGATCTCGTCGATCAATACAATACTGTACGGCTTTCGACGGACCCATTCGGTCAATGTTCCGCCTTCTTCATGGCCTACATAGCCCGGTGGACTGCCGATAAGCCGGCTGATGCTGTGTTTCTCTCTGTATGAATGACAAATGAAGATTTCATGAGCATCGGAATGCGTGGGAATTTCAAGATCAAGATATGAAAGCTTACGAGTATTCACTTCCATCGATCCGACAAATTGCCTCTTCACTATCAAAGAGGAATTTTGCCAGGGCTTTAGTGAGGAGCGTCTTACCGGTACCGGAAGGGCCACCTGGAAGTAGAACAAGTCAGTTGATGATTAGAGCGGAATGAGGGGTAACACACAGCAACTTACAGAAAAGGAAGGAAGCAATGGGGCGAGATTCGTTTGATAAACCGCTGCGACTGAGTCTGATGGAATCCGCCACTGCCTTGACGGCTTCGGGCTGCCCAACGACTTGCTTCATCAGGGCCTTTTCCATCATTCTAAGCTTGACTTTCTCTGTGGCTTTCAAGCGGGAAACGGGGACCCCAGTCCATCGGGCCACGATCTCCGAAATCCCATCACTGGTCACCACATCGTCTTCCAACTCGGACGGTCCTCGCTTGGCGTCTTCCATGCGCTTGTGGGCTTCTAGATGAGACAGTTGTTCTTCCATGTCTGGAATCGCGTAGTGACGTAGATCGGCAGCACTGTCATATGTAGAGTCGCCAGCAAATATCTTAGACCGTGGATCAAGAACAAAAAAACAATCAAACTGATGTACTTACGTTGAGACATCATATCGCCTTTCCGCGTCTTCCGCTTTGGCTTTCAAAGATTCAATTTTCTCCCGGACAGCTCTGATCTTATCGCCTCGAGATTTGGCAGCTTCCCACGCGGCTTTGAGAGGCTGTAATTCGTCGTTGATGGCGGCGATTTCTTGGTTGACGGCTTCAAGTCTGGCTTTACTTTCATCATCCTATGGAAATGAAGATTTGTTGTACATAATGCATGAGTTGCCTGAGAAGAACCTGATATTTTTAAAGTATCCTCCTCACCTTTTCCTTCGCCAAGGCATGGGCTTCAACTTCGATCTGAAGTTTTTTACGTTCAAGTCTGTCGACAGCTTCGGGTTGACTATCTCTTGTGACTCGGACTGCAGCAGCGGCTTCATCAACCAAATCGATGGCACTGTCGGGCAATCGACGAGCTGTGAGATATCGATGAGCGAGAGTAGCGGCAGTGACGATGGCATTGTCTAGGATGGTGACGCCATGGTGAGTTTCGTATTTCTCTTTCAGGCCTCGGAGGATGGAAATTGTCTCTGGGACTGAGGGTTCATTGACGATGACTTGTTGGAATCTGCGCTCAAAGGCCGCGTCTTTCTCGATGTACTTGCGATACTCGGCAAGAGTGGTAGCGCCTAGACAGCGGAGTTTGCCTCGAGCCAAGACAGGTTTGATGAGATTGGCCGCATCCATTCCGCCGGAACTGGCGCCTTGGCCGGCCATGATCAGATGCATCTCGTCGATGAATAGGATGATATTTTCGCCCTTTTCGGTGGCCTTTTCTACTTCATTGAGAATCGATTTGATCCGCTCTTCAAATTGGCCCTTGTAGCTTGCGCCGGCCTGAATGGCACCCAAGTCCAGCGCGAATAATCGTCCGATCAGTGATGCAGGCACATCCCTGTTGACCATCCGTTGAGCCAATCCTTCGGCAATCGCTGTCTTTCCAACACCAGGTTCACCTATTAGTACTGGGTTGTTCTTCGTGCGACGGCACAATATTCTGGTAAGGAAAGACACATGTCAGTACCAAATCAAAGATAACCGAAAAAAAAAACCGGGGACATACCTAATGCAACGCCGAACCTCATTATCCCGTCCGATGACCGGGTCCAGTAAATTTTCTCTTGCTTTCTCGGTCAAATCAACGGCGTATTTGCGAAGGGCATCAAATCCTGCATATCACAAAAAAATTGAAAGGTTCAGAACGAAGTACAACCAAAAAAATGAAGGCCACATATATATATACAAATCGATGAATGGACAGAAAGAAACCGATCACACACCTTCCTCGGCGTTTTTACTATCGACCTTGCGCCCAGCTCGGACGGCTGAGATTGCAGTCCGAATGGCTTGATCGGAGACATTGGCTTCTTTGAAGATTTGCTTGATGACGGAGTCGTCGAGGAGGGCGAGGATCAGATGATCTTGGGCGATGTATCCATCATTCTAAAAAAAGAAGACGCGTGAAAGTTTTGATTTGTTGAAAATTGTACCAAGAAAAAAAAACATCGAGATGGGAGTTTCAGTTGAGATGTCTTTATGGTATGCAGAGAAGATGGTAATATTATCAATTAAGATTTTACTGACCTGCTGACGCATGAGTTTTTGAGCCTCTTTGAGGACTTTAGTAGAGGAAGAAGAGAAGCCGACTTGATCGGGAGGAGGGTCTTGACTGGGCTCACGGACCAAGCGCTTATTAAGAGCGCGGGTGATTTCGCGTGCATCGGCGCCGGCCTTGTCGAGGACATTAGCAAACAGACAATCCCCGCCTGCCGAACCGGTGCCGCCGTTGGTGCCGATGACCGTCGGATCGAGAAGGGCTAGGGCGATGTGGATGGGCTGGACGTGGACGTGGGAGCGCTCCCGGGCGAGCCCGATGGCGGTGGTGAGAGCATCGTTTGTTTTGTCGGTGAAGGAGAATCCTGCACTAGAGGACATATTTTTTGGGGGTTTTTCTGGATGATGATTGTTGTCTTCTGGTCAATGGTTGTCTGTGATTGATGAGGTGCTTGATGAGGGGGTGTGATTTTATATTGCAGTAGGCAGCAGGCTTCGTTTGAGTGGATGTGCCAAGGAGTGCTTTCTCGAACCTTGGAGCAGTGTTACTGTATCCCTTCGAGAGAGTCCTATTGGGCACTGCAAGGTACTACAACAATGGCCAGCTCACCACACTCTTCTACTCGATTCTCGAACTATCTCCACGGCTTCCAGAATCTTCGAGCTGCCGAACTTGCTCAAGCCGGCCGCCGTTGACGTTCTGAACAGTTTCGGGGTCCCCGGGAGGACTTGACAGACCGGGACCGGAGAATCCCCCGGCCGAACTCGCCGTAACATCCATCTTCCTCCAACTTGAACAGTTTTGGTCATTTGGGATGGGCGGAAACTTTTGGGTATGTAGACGAGCTTCCCTCTGAGACTTCCTCAAAACATAGAAACCCAAACATCCCCCATTTCGACGAAAATAGGGTACTGCGAGCCACCGATAATATCCCATCCCACCATTTGGGACAACTACCCTCTCTCATTTCTACACTACTAACCAACAACACATTATCCGCTCACAAGATAAATCCAATACCACCTCGGAAAAGGAAATTACCCCAAAAACAATGTTGTGTGAAGGATTTTCAATCTCCAAAACAGAAGCGCAAGCCATGTAGTGGGAGAATGAGCAGTAACCGAGGAGCACGTTCTCGGTGCCTAATTTGGGTTTCTCAACGGAAACGTTTCTTCAAGAGGCTATAATACCATCTTTCACAAGGCGAGGGTGACCAATCCAGAAGGACATCATCGGATTTCACGAGACTAGAATGACTTGCCTTTCGTGTATGATTTCTGAAAGTGGAGCTTGAGCAATCCAATGGTCATAATCACTGAGCCTCAGAATGACGCATGAGAGGTATATTGGCTGCTTATGTAGATCCTGGCTCAATCTTAAAAAAAAACAACATCCCACATATTCGCATTCATTCATCTTAGTGAGCTAGCCAGTGTCTGAGTATCAGGGCGGATAGCTGCAAAGTTTCGGAAGATTTGTCTGATTGCTACCATTGGTTTTTTTTAGCGTTTACATCGGGCATCGTTCGTCATGGGATGACCTTAATTTTTGTTCTGCTGAGGGGTGAAGATCATATCCTTGGTCTTACAGCCAGCTTCCGATGTAATCGAATACGAAAGGAACTGCACACCAACGTGGAAATTCCCAAATCGCATATACATAGGGAGTCAGTACAGGGCAGGGCAGTCTGAGTCGAGACAAAGGAAAAGACGGAAGGCTTGTGTTCCAATTTTTTTTTTTGAGATGATGAATGGAATAGTCGAGAAAAAAAAAAGGGGAGTGTTTCAACTTGAGTGATGAGATACTCAACTGGCACGAATGGTAAGGATCGTGTACACGAATCCCTTCATAGTTCTCCGGGCATCTGCTTGGGCGAGAGCGATCTGGGCTGGCGAAGGAGCTGGTTGACCTATGTTGTAGTTCATATAACCAATGATCGAAATGTTTGTACGAGGATCATTGTGTTAGCTACTCTGAGATACAGCATTTTTATTTCGGTAAATAGAAGACTATCTTGGAAATGATCAGCTCCGAAGACTGACCTGCGAACATGATGGAAATCAGACGAGAACTACTTGCAAGAATCGGAAGATTCGGTTAGCTTTCGACCTTCAATAAGCAACTTGGGTGGCTGGATTGATCGATAGAACCGCTGGAAAGTTTGTTGCCTGCTGGCGATGTACGCTTTGATGGATTTTCTGATCGCGGTCCGAAGGTTTTCTGAAGTTTTCGAGTAGGACATCTTCTTGATGACAAACCCCTTTCACAGTGCTCGGGATGAGGGCGGCCCGCGCAATACAGAATCGCGCGGCGCACAACAGAGGAGGGAATCCGGCAGATGGATGAGGTCCAAACCCTGGCATGCTGTGTGTACTCGAAACCTCACTCAGTCAACCACTCAACTCGTTATCATCAGAAAGCATGGGTCAAGGTCGAAGTTCGCAAGCTCGGATCACAAATCAAGACAGGGCCATACTGGAGTAAGTCCAGTCTCCATTCGAAATCTAAAGTAATCAGTCAAAACAAGCTCCTCGACAAAGAAAAATGGCGGTATCAGAGCTGACGTTCAGTCTCCTTTCTTTTCCTTTCTGTAATTGGTCTCTTTTAGCATGAAGCTACAGCGGGATAAACTAAAACAATATCAGAAAAAGGTCAATTCTTCCTCTTCTTGACAAAACCAGCACAGCCTCAGAAGACCTGACACTAGTTTTACACCGACTTTGTATGTATCTTCTTTGATCTGTTTTTTGTGAATGTAAAAAAATTATTCTAGCTTAGATTGAGACTGTCTTGAAATTAGAAGAAGAAGTCGCGAAGCAATGTCTATTGGCCAACAACAAACCCAAGGCGTTGATTGCCCTGAGAAAGAAGAAATTCCAAGAAAACCTGCTATCCAAAACCGATCAACAGCTAGAAACCCTTCAAAATCTTGTAAGCAATAAACCCATCTCTCGTCCTAGGAAATGCTCTATGGAACCTCCATTCACCCGGCGGGAACAGAAGTTTTACGCTTGCTAAGCCTATTGTTTTGGTTGACGCAGGTTTCTTCGGTCGAATTTTCGTTGATAGAAAAAGATGTACTTTTCGGATTGAACCAAGGGAATCAAATACTGAAAGAAATTCACAAGGAATTGAACATCGAGAACGTCGAAAAACTGATGAGTGAAACAGCCGATTCGATTGCTTACCAAAATGTATTATCATCATTCCAGATAAACTTCTTTTGTTGATAATCTAAAGGAAAGTCCAAGAAAACGCTGACTATTCGTCTCATGTCCTGAAACCAACCACACAGGAAATAGGCGAATTGTTGATGTCCCAAATGACGAACGAGGAAGAAGAAGAGGTCCACAAAGAACTTGAAATCCTACAATCGCTTAATCAAAAAGTCAGACTATCCATCAATATCTTCACCCACTTCGTATTACTAACCCCGTTTCCGCGCCCGACTTCAACAGGTGACCGACCCCCAACTCGTGCCACATGATGAACCACCTGTGTCATTATCGTTACCCGACGTTCCAACAACTGCATTGCCCGCAAAGACACAAACGGCGTCCCGTAGGTTTCTGTCTCGTTCGTCTTTGACCACAAACCCTACTAACATCTAGCCGATCCACACAAAATTGCTTCGACTTTTGTTTAGCTGCCGAAGAACCACCCAATGTTGACAGTACAAGAGTTCGAGAACGTGAGGCCATTCCTGCCTAGGCTGAGCACCACATGCGATTCATTCGACCAGCCATTAAGATGTCCATACCCCTCCCCCTGTTCACCATTGTCGAAACCGAACCGAAGTCTGTCATCCATCTCTCGTCAAATCAGAATTGCTCAGAGCCTTCCCATTCGACGCAGATAATCTACCTCTTTCACAAAAGCCAGTTCAACTATCTCACAGTTCATATGTATTTCTATCATGTGCACCTACTTTACTTTCAGCCGCATTTCCCGACCTGTTACACGCAAAGCTGTTGTACTTTTTCTTGTTGTTTATATGGGAACACATGCCAGATGTTTTTTTTCTAGATCTACACATAAACAACTACCAGAATTTTCTTTTTTTTCAACCAAACAAAGTATCATAATCAAGTTGATGTTGTCAGCTTGCTACTATTGTGAGACAATCTGTCCGTGTTGATATGTTGAAGTGGCTACTGAAGAGACACAAGCTCATGCATTGGAAGCACTTGGAGATGACAAAGACAAGGACGCCCTCTTTGAGGGTGTTGAACCCCAAAAGAAGGGCCTCCACATATCACAACAGTCAGCTAGCTGAAGTGTAAGGTATAGAGAAGCACTAACTTAAACTCAGGTTACATTCAACAATGGTGAAGTATCTTTGGACAAGCTGTTTGAAATGCCATTTGGAAACAACCAAGTTTGATGTGTGTCAATCCAACGGTGGGCCAGCTACGCTAACCGTAGTGGTAGTGTAGCTAAAATGAGCTAACATTTAGGATAGTGTTAGGGCAATTCTGCAATTCTGCACTACACCCAGGCCCCCAAAGCTTGTTAGCTTTTAGTGTAGCGTTAGCGCGGTTCTGCACATCTTTGGTAACAATATGCACGTGGGGCACAAAAACGCACCTGCTATGTTGTGCTACAGCAGCTTTTAACAGCTTTTCAGCCTTTTTGCCACTAAAAACACTGTGACGTAGTGTAACTCAGCGTAGTGGCAATAGTGGTGCGCTAACACTACCCAAAAAAGGTGTTTTGTTAGTGCCGCTACAAAGTAGTGTAGCATGGTGGGCAGCAGCACAGGATAACACTACACATAAAAAAACTGCTGCCAACACTAAAAGTCCCTTCAGTATAGCATAGCGTAGCGGCCCACTGCTGGTAAATCTGTCATACAAAAAACCCCCCTTCCTTCAATAAAAGGTGTTGAAATTAGTCCTAAGGGTGTTTACGTGAGCTGAGTTTCATGTTATAGGATTTGGAGCACATGTAAAAAAGAAGGAATGTGAGTAAGAATTGATAAAATTTAATCAAAGACCTCATTCAATCTCAGAAATTCTGGCAAGTTGTGCCCTTTTCTGTCTTTATTCTTGTTAGTGGGCAACCCAAACTCAGAGTCAGAGAACCAAGACAACCCCTCCTCCCAAGTCCCTGCCTCATGGCAAGGGACTCCGGAGGGAGGTTCAGGAAATGCCTGCCAATAACATTGACATTACATTGCTCAATTGATCTGATGCCAATTCTCCGCATTGGTTTTTGAAATGCAGGGCCCCTGCATTGCTCACGCAATGCAATGTGATAAACTCATGATGTGATTTGATAATTGCATGATGCAATGTGATAAACACATGATGCAATGTGATAAATGCATGATGTGATGTGATAAACACATGATGTGATGTGATGTGATGTGATGTGATAAACACATGATGTGATGTGATGCCAATGCATGCATCACATCTGTTACATTGCTGTAGATCAACTGTCTAAATTCTATCAGGTTTTTTTGCACAGGAAATCCACAACCAACTGCAAGAAATTGGTCTGCATTGATTCTTACAATTCATTGGTCTGCCTAAGGGCCTTTCTTCTCTCATCCAATACTGCAGAGCTTTAGCCCTCCAGAAAGATATAATTTCCATAGACTGATAATGTGCAGTAGTCCAGTTTTCTATGATGGTTTTTTAATTTGTTGTACTATCTTCCACATATTTTGGCATCAGTTTAATCAGCTCAAAAAGTATTAATTTGTTGTCATAAGTGCACCATGCTTTGTATGGTTTGTATTGTGGACCTTTTGTCAATTAATTGCAGTTGTTTTGGTTACAAGCCAATCCATGTCATCATCAACCAAGGTGATGTTGATGAATAAAGGTTTATGAGATTCCACTGACTACTGATTATGGCTTTCACTTCTTGGATGTCAATATTGATAACATCACCACTAGAAAAACTTGGATCATTTATTTTCAGTTGTGAAACTAGTATTTTCTTCCACATTTGGTGGGTTCAATGTGAGTTGAGCGTTGAGAAAAACCAGGCTTTCCTCAACATCAATTTTGTAGAAGCTGTGATGGTGCTGACTATAATAAATTGACAACTTGTTCACTGGAAAAACTTGGAACATTTATTTTTAGTTGTGATACCAGTGTTTTCTTCCACATCTTCAGGGCAGTTCAATGTGAGCTGAGTGTTGAGCAAAAGCGGGTTAATCCCCTGATTGCACACCAGTTTTGGGACTCCTTGGGTGGGTACCAAACCACCCTGTCAGACATGTCTTGTAAGTTGTGGCCCATCGGAAATTCAAAACATCTTCTTTCATGCTTTTGATACTACCACCATTGATCTGCTTATAGGGAATACCTCAAACTTGTGTATGTGGCTCTCTCCATTGAAGGCCCAAGAGAATTGCACAGGAGGTTTTAGCCTTTTTCACTTTTGCTTCTGTGGTGGTTATACCAATGCACTGCAGACTAATCCCCCCCCCATAAGACAAACAGGAGGTGTAGCTCTTGACCTGTAATTTTTTGTACCTTTAGCAGTTGAAATTGAATTTATCAAAATCACAAAGACAAGATGAATATTTGACATCTGTCCAAAATATGGCATTACTAAGAAACTGTTTCAATTGCTTGAGCGTATACTCTGCAAAAACCCATGAATTCACATTGTTTGTTTTGGGATTTGAGCACACATATCAAGCAATGGGGTTAAATGAAGTTTCAAGGCAGATTGGCTGAGGTAGGCATGGGTTTTTCTCTACTCAGATCTTCCATAACTTGTACTGGAGGGAGTTACATAAATCAAAATAAGCTCCCAATCAAAATGAAATTTTTAGCACCTACTGTTTGGCAAGGTAGGGGTCAAGTATCTCTGTCAGAGGGCTGTAGAGGTTTTTTTTGTCAATGATCTTGCATCTACAATTAAGGCACTTGGCTAAGTTTGGGCATCCCCCCAGGACACTTAGTTGTTGACTCAGACTGACTGGGAAAAACGGAATCATGGGGTTCACATTCAATTTTTTTTGCTTCTGGCCCCACTTTCAATTATTTCTAGTTGCTTGTACAGCTATTTTGGGAAGTCTTGTCCACTTGGACTTGCAAATTCTTTCTTATTTTTTATTTTTTACTGAACTGGACCTGTCAGAACTGAACTACTGATGACAGCTGTACCTCCTTGGCTGTAGTTCAGTACAAAGAAGAATTTAAAAAAATTCAAAAAAAAAATTGCCAGACAACTTGAACTGGACAACCATTTCCGGAATAGCTGTATATACTATAGCACAGAATTGATAAATTTGTTGTGAGCTTCTGGACACAACAACTCAGCTCAACAGCTACATTTTTCTGAGGACGAGGTGTTGCCCAGACCCCAAAGAAGACACCCCCAAGTCCTTTGAGTTGAGTGGGGATATTCCACGTTAGATTGGTGCCAAACAAGGCCAGAGGTTTCTTAAAACCACAGCTGGAAAAAAACATAAATTTGCACCCTGCTGATATCCTCACTAACTGTCCATTCATGAAAAACACTTCATCCATTTCTTACTGAATCTAACCCCAATTCCACCATCTAAAAAACAAAGATTGAGGAAATCTACTTTCCACTCAGACATAAATGTGAATCTATTAATGAGAAATCAATGGAACAAACAGTGCCAATCAAGACCCTATGAACTCCCCAGGTTGATCCAAAAACATATAGTCCATTTTTTCCTACTCCTTCCTTGTGACCAGAAACATTCCATACCATGTGAGAGTTCCTGACCAAGCCCAATTCCAATTTGGGATTTTGCACTGGTTGCAAGGGTTCAGTTTATGTTCAGAAACGTGGCTAATTATGTGAGCTATCAGGAAAGTTTTGTGTTTCAGACAAGAGGCAATCTGCTCCCAAAGATATTAAAGTTTGCTCCTTGGAGATAAATCAATCTCCTGCAAACAATAACCAACACAAAATCACATTCACCCAAAAACTCACATTTCAAAGGGGGATTGTCCATTGACAATCTCTCTGTATCTATTTTTTTTGTACGGGTCTCTTCTGCTGCGAGAAGCATTTTTAGGAGGAAAATGTGCCCATCTTTCCAAATAAAGACATCCAAAAACCCAGTTTTGGTCAAACCACCAGCATCATTCTGCTAGGCTTGGATAGCAATGTTTTTTTTTTTTTTTTTTTTTTTTTTGAAACAAGGATGTTAGGTTTTGACTGGCCAGTTGTCCACAGAGATCACTCTGCACACACCAGGAAAAAAAACAGCATGTGTTTGATGCGGCTTCTGCAGAATGATTTCTGCAGTTGAGTTTGTAAGACTTGAATGAAACCATTCTAGCTAAAAAAAGCTCAAGTTGCTGATCCAGAGTGCATGTCTGTCTCAGCTCCAGCCTGACTGGTTATGGGTGGGTCTTCTGATCAAGCCCTCTCAATATTCACACTTGTGTCCTTGTATGAGCAAGTTCCCAGCAATCAGCTGCAAAACATTCAAATTAGTTATGACTTGAGCACAAGAGCATATCAAGCCAAAGGGGGGGGGGGCATTGATGAGATGGTTGATTTGTTGTTGCGGATGTCTAACCCTGTCCAAACAAGGTAGTCAAGCCAACCAGCTGGTTTTGCATGTATTGATTGATCTCTACATAAGCCAAGAGTTCTTTGAATTTTTTCAATTCTGCAGTTGACACAAAGGGGACAAATAATAATTATGATGATAGACCTAGCTTAACCAAGTCTCCCTATTGGAGGGGGGACACTGTCCTGCAGGGACCCTCCAAAGGAGGGACTTATTCACTAAGTCAACACCCGAAGCCGAAGAGAACTAGGAAATCCACATTCTTCAATCATGCATAGCAGCAACATTTTTTTGGCTGAATGATCATGTTTTGGAGAGCCAAAAGGATGCCACAAGGATCATGGAGATTCATTCCGGTATTTTTCTTGATTTTTTAGGCCCTTGGATGCCCTTTCAATTTCTCATTTTTGGTGATTACAATTCTCCTGCCCTCATCCCTGCATCACACATTTTGCACTGTACAGTATCTGAAATTGGGAAATGTTACAATCATCATCATTAATGAGGGAGATGTGTTTACTATTAGTAAAATTAGTACATAGACGGGGACAGCTTGAAGAAACCCCAAAGTGAAACCTAGAGGGAAAAAAATCAACCAAATTTGTGTGAGATTGATTCTACCCCCCCCCCCCCCCACCAAAAATCTTAATGCTCTTGGGCTGCAGGGTGCAAGTCCCTCCCTCCGGTCATCGCAATATGACAAGTGGTTTACCACTCCGACCAGGAAGGGAAGGGAGTTAGCTAAGTTAGATGATAGACACTAGGGCAATTATGTATCTTGCAGGACTTACTTTGTGCCTCTGTGATCCTAAACGGGGACGCCGAAATAACCGCCAGCCGGAGGAGGGTTTTGCTGGTATGGGTTGAGCCTGGAGTGTTTTTTGAATGAAGATAGCCAAGTGCGCTGCAGCAAGGGTGGATTGATCATGACTCGTGTTACTGTTACATCCTTGTAGGATGATTGTTGATCCGGCTGATGATGATGGAGTATGTTTTCTTCTCTCCACGATCCGGCGTTGTTTTCGTCGGGGTTGGATGACCTACATAGTGTTCGAGCTTCACGCTTTCTTCCGGGTCCCGATACCATCCAGCGGCACACCTCCTCCTGAATGAAGTTCTGAAAATAGCCAAATCAAACAGTCATTCCTCATCATCGATCAAAACCAAAGCATTCTTATGTACCTCTTCTCCGCTCCTGAAGCTCGCGATCGAGAGCCCGCGCGTTGATGATCATCTTCCGGGTCTTCTGTGTGTATGTAGATCGGTACGCCGTTCGGGCCGGACCGGGACGTGCTTCGATCTATCATCCGTTCTTCCGCTTCCGTCAGGCTGTAGGTTGTACTCCCGAAAGCCGTGGCTGCATCTGGGTCGGCTTACGTGGTGGTATATTGTGTGGTGGGACGGGCGTGGGAAGAGCTCGGGCGCAAAGCTGGGTTATCCTGGGCGAGCCAGTGATCATCGCCGATGAGACTGCGACTCGGAATGGCTTGGATGATTTTGAGCGGGTTGTTGTTGTTGTTGCTGGAGTTGTGTTGTTGTCGTGCCGGGTCCGGTGCGGTACATGGGGAATCCGTTGGGAATTGATGAAGAGTGTCCGCCAGGGAAGTAAATAAATGTATTATCTCGGGATGTTGGATGATAGCGCCAACTGTTTGAAGATCGGATGTATGCTCTGGAGGTGTTGTGGTTTTTCTTGTTCTGCGGAGTGTTTAACAGTCCTCTGATGAGGTTCGGGGCGAGTTGCTATTGTTGGTGGTTTGTTTGAGTCGAATCTGATCGACTGTGTCTGCTGTCTGGGAGCTCCTTCTCTCTGATCCATCTCCCCATCCACACTCACTTCCCTCGTCTCTTCGGCCCAGAAGCAGTTTGTCAAGCTCAAGCCTCATCCATCCCTCCGTCTCTCCCCTGAGTCATCAACCCCTCTCTCTCTCTCACACTCTCTCTCTCGCTTTCCCTCTTCCGCCCCAACTCTGTGGAGTCAACCACAACCAGGTTTCAGTTGGATCCCAGCTACTACTTGAACCACACCCCTCCTATCTCTCGACATTGTAGTACATATTTTACTGCATCCTCCTACATTCCTCCTTCAATTTATTTCCCTTCCCTCCATCTCCCTCCTCCACTTGACTGTGGCTTGTTCCGCGGGTGCATGTTTAAAATTACAGCTCGCACTCAAAAGTAGATAAATTCCTACCGCTGCCTTCTTCCGTCACCCATTCTGCCTCTCAACAATCAGCGCCGATCCAGCCCGGCGAACTGCCTCCGCCCGCAACTACAGAACCCAGTCTACGCCGGTCCCCTTCCCTCAGCCTCCAAATAAATCCCTTGATCGCCAGCACTCCGCCCGACCTCAATTTTCTCTCTCAACCGCTTTCTCCGCCCTACTCGTCCGACCCGTCCCTACAGCCTTCTCCTCACTCGCTTGGAGCGATCACCGGAATCTTTTTTTTTTTCAACAGTTTTTCTGCCGGCTCCATCTGTCTTCCCGTCTTTTCAGTCACTCCAACCAACTCACCACCACCACCACCACCACCACCACTGCCCAGGCTTACTTCCCCTCTCATCATAATAAATTCAAAGCAAGACTACATGGACAGCCTCGCTTGACCTCGCCATCACCCAGATCATAGTGTAGACTCCAAAAAATCAAATAATCACCACCATCTTCCTGCCAGCCTCACCAAATCCCCTTAAACTCTGATCCCGATCGACCCACCCTCTTGAAGACGGTTTCACTAAAAAACCGAGTCAAAATATCCGTAGTAGTGGTCTAGATTCTTTCTTCATATCTACTCAAACCAATTGTTTGCACCTACAAGCGTAGTACTTTAAAATATTCATACATACTCTTCCGCTCTCTCCCTCCCTCCCCTCAGCCAGCGGGCTTTGTTCTTTTGCCTGAGCTTCAATCCCCCTACCACTTGCGGGTTATCAGACTTTCTTCCTGCAACACGTCATCGGGTCTGGTTAATCCTCCCCAACCCCCTTCACCCTCTCAGCTAACCAGGACCAATCAACTCTCTGGGCATTTATATATACACATTCTCGGCTGTCCCCTAACTGCCGATCCCACCGATCTCACTCACTCACACTCTCTCTCTGCCTCTCGAGTTTACGTTGACCCTGGATACATTACCCCAGTGGCGTACGTTGGTGCCTCGGTCTCTAGTTCTACACCCAACTCATCTTTCAGCTCACCCACCACAGCTCACCGTTGTCTTGTGTTGACCATTCTTTACAGGCTGCCATAGTCTCAGCGTTTCAATTACAGCAATCCCCCTTAAGCACTTGGCTGAACAGGTTCGCTTGCCGAAGCACGCCACCGACCAACTCCAATTGAATCTGCCGAGATGAGTCTCAGAAACATTCTCAACCATCCGGCCTCACCGGTTGCCTCTGCTGTCCCTTCCTCTGTTTCCCCCACATCCCCCTCCTCCACGGATTCACCAGCTGCACCGAAAGCAACCATCACTTCGGAAGCAATGCCCACTTCCTCAAAACAGGTCAGTCTCCACTTTCATTCACTCAATCTCTTGCATCCAGCGCTAATCAGAATATATCTTCTCCTTCGGGTTGTCCAGAAAGTTTCCTCAGCCCCCAAGCTCACCGGAGAACTTCCGAAACGATACCTCGATCGAGTACTAGATAGCGATGCACTCGAAGACCTCCAGCCCGACGCTCTTCCAGCCATCACTAAACATCCTTACCCGGAACCTGAAGGCTATGCATCCTCCGATAACATGGATCTCGATGACTTTGCAGAGGTTTGGAGTGACTCGTTGAATCAGTACATGGTCTCCTGTCGTCGCAAGGAGCAACTACTCGAGAAAGGCTACGACGAATGGGAATCCGGGAAACAGCAGGAAACAGCAGCCCGTGTCACCGGCTGGGCTGGCGAACAAGCCGAACATGCCCTACGTCTCAAGCGGGCCCGAGTCGAACAACGTAGGCTACAGGAAGAAGAACGTCTTTGTCAGGAGAGGAACCGCTGCCACGAGGAGGGCCTTCAAAGAGAGCGGGACGAAGCAGTGGAGGTTAAGAAGCGTCGAAAGAAGGAACTGGCGGAAGCGACCAAGGCTCGCAACAGGGAAAGACGACGGCTAGCCAAGGAGGAGTCTGACCAACGAAAGGCTGAAGAACTAGCTCTTGCCAAGGTACAGGCCATCCGTGCCGAAGCCGAAGCACACGAGCAACGTCAACGTGAAGAAGAACGTGCCAAAGCTGAACGCGCTCGATCAGAAGCCCAGACAAGCCAACCAACTAAACCCCTGCCAACGTATTGGTTCGACGATTTGCACAAGAGGCTTCCCAATCCCTTTATTCCTCCCGATCCAAATAATCCCCAGGTCAACATACACGGCGTCCCTTTTGATCCCCCCCTACCTGAAGCTTATGTGAACCATATACGTATGATGGCCGCAGCCCCAAAAAACACACCATTGGCCCATGAAGTCGCTCGCGCGGAGAGGGAAGAAGCTGCCAAGGCAAGGGTTCCGTCGAATTTGGCCAATCTGTTGAACTCGCCCGGTGGCCATTCTGGTGGCTTAAGCAATCCTCATCCCGCCCCCGCAGGTCCAAAAGCCTCACGCGCGAATCCACGGGTTTCGGCCACCAGTACCACTGCCAAGAGGAAGCGAGGTCCGCCTGAGCCTCTTGTGCATCCTGCTGAGGAAGCTGGCCCAGAATATGTCAGTCAGGAGTGCCCAGCACCGGCCATTCACCACCCTCCTGCCTCAGCGAGCAGTTCTGCTCGTCCACCCAATTCGCAAGGCGCGCGTCGTACCGTCAGTGGACTGCCATCCCAAGCTCATCTGGCTCGTGAAAAGAGCTCTGCACACGGCAATAGCGTCCCACCCGAAATGCCATACCCGCCCGCTTCAACATCTAAACTAGCTTTCGAAACTTCGCAGTCTAATCACCCAAGTCACATCCCTCCAACTCGGCATCAAGCTCAACCTCCCCAATCACTCATTGACCCTGCCACCCGTCGGTTACAGGCGCGCAATCTGCCAGCTTGGGGACACAATTTACCGTATGGGAGTGAACCTTATCAAGATTCTTCAGATCAGCTCGACATGTCTCTCCCGTTGCGCGAGCGGGCTGTGGCTAATCCGAAGGCTCTTGCCAACAAACGTTGGGATGCTATCGAAGAAGGTCGACGACAGATTTGGCTCTCGATCGCCCGGAAAGATATTCCAAGAGTTTGCAAGACCCAGCAAAGCACCAGTCTCAGTCGAACGATTTATTCCAAGCGGTTGAGCGCCCTAGTCAGTAGGGAAGCACGCCGGATCATTGCCAGAACTAAAGCATCAAAGGAGGTTCAGATTAAAGCCAAAAGAATTATGCGAGAGGTATGTGGTCATCATGAAGTCTCTACAGAGTTTCCATCAATTAATTATTTGTGTGTGTTTCTAGCTTCTGGTGTACTATCGCAGTAACGAGAAACGAGAGCGAGAGACCAAGCGCAAGGCAGATAAGGAAGCAATCGATCGAGCCAAAAAGGACGACGAGATGAGAGAAGTCAAACGTCAAGCCAGGAAGTTGAACTTCTTGATCACCCAGACTGAGCTCTACTCTCATTTCGTTGGGAACAAAATCAAAAGTTAGTAACTTGTCGGATGCCCCAACCACTACCATCAACATTCTGGGCCCGCGTTAAGATGCTGACCTATGCAATTGCTTGTTTAGCTAAAGAAGCAGAGGACAGCGCTGATACTGCAGGTGCCGCGCCTGCCACAGTGTCTACCGATCAGACAACTACTATTTCTAGCACAAGCGGTCAAAAAGTCGAACTGTCCGACATCACTCAGGTCGCAATAGCGGACAAAGACCTTGGTGAAATCAACTTCGACGATGGTAAGTCCTTTCTTGCTCCCGATGCACAGTATCGGTGTGGGTGCGATGTGACTGGTGACTGAATTGTTCTTACCGTCGACGCAGATGATGAGTTCAACTTACACGCTCATGCAGCTCGAAATGCTCTCAAGGCAGTGGATGCTGCTAAGCAACGAGCCCAAGCGTTTGACCATGCCGCAGCCGAGAAATTAGCAGCCACTGCTCCTTCTGCCAGTACCAGTCAGGATGCCCAGCCGGTCACTGGGATTGACAGTAAGAAACTTTTCTTCACCCGTTCTACTGGGATGATTATAAAGACCGTCTTACGAATTCCTCTAATCTCCTTTTCCTCTAGTCGATCGAGACGATCTTAATTTTCAAAACCCCACAATGGCTGGTGATATTCAAGTCAAGCAACCGAAGCTTCTGATGGCCGAACTCAAAGAATATCAACTTAAAGGGCTCAACTGGCTAGCCAACCTCTATGAGCAAGGTATCAACGGAATTTTAGCCGATGAGATGGGGCTAGGCAAGGTACGTTGCCGCTCCTTTGATTGAACAGTCATGATTTTCGTTAATCGTTTCACTGCTGGTTTCACGCAGACGGTCCAATCAATCTCGTTGATGGCTTATCTTGCCGAGGTACACAACATTTGGGGTCCCTTTTTAGTTATCGCACCTGCCTCTACTCTGCATAACTGGCAGCAAGAAATCACTCGCTTCGTCCCTGCTCTCAAACCGATCCCTTATTGGGGAAGCGTCAAAGACCGAACGATCTTGAGAAAGTTTTGGAACCGGAAACATTTGAGATATGATCGTGATGCTCCATTCCATGTAGTCATCACTAGCTACCAACTGGTGCGTAAATTCAAGTCTTCCACTCGGCTGAATGTTTGCGATGATAGACCAGCTCACAGTATGGCTGTTTGATCACTTGACTTATGTAGGTCGTTCAAGATGAGAAATATTTCCAGACGCTAAAATGGCAGTATATGATTCTGGACGAAGCTCAGGCAATCAAGAGCTCAAGCAGCACACGTTGGAAAACCCTGTTAGGGTTCCATTGTCGCAATCGTCTATTACTGACGGGTACTCCTATTCAAAACTCAATGACAGGTCCGTACTTATCTACTTGTTCATCTCTTTTGCAGATGATTATCTAACACTTATTTTCTTTACAGAGCTCTGGGCCCTGCTGCACTTCATCATGCCACAGCTGTTTGACTCGCATGAAGAGTTTAGTGAGTGGTTTTCGAAGGATATCGAAAATAGCGTCGACAAGGCAGGTGGTATGAACGAACATCAGCTAAGAAGGCTACACATGATCCTCAAACCCTTCATGCTTCGGAGAATCAAGAAGAATGTCCAGAACGAACTAGGCGACAAGATCGAAATCGATGTTGCTTGTGGGCTGACTCCACGGCAGAAGTTGATGTATAGTCGTCTACGCGAGAATATGTCCATTGCAGATTTGGTACAAAAGGCGACTTCTCTCTCGAATGACGATGCTGCCGTCAAGCGTTTGATGAACTTGATCATGCAATTCAGGAAGGTCTGCAATCACCCTGAATTGTTCGAGCGAGCCGATGTGACTGCGCCCCTGTCATTTGCTTCGTTGAATTTCACTGCGAACGTTGCCAGAGACGGCGACGTGTTGGACTGCCCTTATGCCACACGAAGTCTGATTCAGTCTTGTATTCCTAGAGCTTTCTACCGCGATGGTGGGATTCTCTCAGTACCAGGCCCATCATCCCGGGCGGGATTTGACACGAAATTTTTGGATCGACTTATGAACATCTGGTCAGTACCCAACGTCATGAAAGCCGGTCCTGAGGGCTCAGTTGTTCCCTCATGGGCTAAAATGCTTGATCTTGGACCGGGAGAAGTCGAGCACATTGCCCACGGGAAGACTGCTCAGAGAATCCCTCATTTGCTGCGAAGAAGGAATCAAGCCCGCGAATTGGCCTTGGGAGCACAGTAAGTCGTATGATTAGCTCTCACAGTTGCTACTTGACCTTTTTTTTTTTGACACGTTTTTACTTCCTGTAGGCTTCCTGATTCAATCGCCTCAGATTTAGAAACCTTACAAATCTTCACCAAATCCGACTTGCTCCCTCGAATTCCGAATGATTTGGGTACAACCCAGCTTTCTGAAATTACAGAGGAATTCCGGAAATGTTCCCGGATGAACCGATCGGATGTCCAAACCTATAACGAGTCTGTTGTAGCACCTCCTCCCGATCTTTACTGCGCTGACCGAGGGTTTGAGCTAGAGCAGCAAAGGATTCGGTTTGACCCAATGACCCGATTGTTCTTGTTTGGCTTACCTCATCCTGCACAAGAATCTCCTACGCTTTCTGAACGATACCGGGCCGCCTTTAGTGGCACGTCACCTGCAGGTGTCATGGGCATGTCGGCAGAAGACCAGCTACCACGTTCATTCATGCAAGTCCCTCTGTTGGAAAAACTCATGCTAGATTCCGGAAAGCTGGCCCGGCTGGATAGCCTTTTACAAGAACTCAAGACGGGTGGTCATCGAGTCCTGATTTATTTCCAGATGACAAGGATGATTGATTTGATGGAGGAATATCTCAGCTTCCGACATTATCGTTATCTAAGGCTCGATGGTAGTTCCACGATCTCAGAGAGAAGGGATATGGTGATGGACTGGCAGAATCGGCCGGAAATTTTCATCTTCCTATTGTCGACAAGAGCAGGTGGCTTGGGTATTAACTTGACGGCTGCAGACACTGTGATCTTTTACGATTGTGATTGGAACCCCTCGGTAGGTTGAATTATTTTTTAGTTCATCCAAACTAAGTGAACTAACTTTGTCATTCTGATCTTTCATCATAGAACGACCAACAAGCAATGGATCGAGCCCATCGTCTGGGTCAGAAGCGCCAAGTGACAGTCTACCGGTTGATTACGACAGGGACTATAGATGAACGGATCCTGAAGCTGGCTCGGACGAAGAAGACTGTACAAGATGCGGTGGTAGGATCGAGCAGTGGGAACGCAGAAAGCGCGGCCCCTGGCGAAGCTGCTAAGCCCAATGAAGTCGTGTCCCTTCTGCTCGATGAGGAGGAGCTCGAGGCCGGCATGCGGGCTCAAGCCGCCAAACGAGAGGCGGCAAAGGAAAAGCAAGTGCAAAGTGGACTGCGTAAGCCAGACTCCATCTGATGACACATCACGTGTAATAACTTATCAATATTTGCTTTTTTTTCGGTCGAAACAGGAGGAGTTAAGATCAGAGAGGAACGGAAAGCAGCAGCAGCGGCAAGCCAGTCCGGCTCGATGAGCATTGGATGGAGCAATGATGGGCTGAACCTGGAAGAGGATGATGAAGAAGCGTTTGGGTTTTTTACGACGGAGGCCAAAGCTGGCGAGGAGCCTATGACAGGCGAGCCAGGCACGGCCGAGCCAACTGGGGAAGCAGCCAAGCCGGCAAAGAGCGGCGGGAAGAAGCGGAAATCGGCGGGGACCAGCACGGCTACTGCTGGGGAGGGCGCCAAGAAACCTGCCGCAACTAAGGCCCCTGCGAAAAAGACTAAGGCTAAATCAACTCCTGCTAACACTATCCCCAACCCTCCTACCCCGTCAACTTCTGCCCCACAAGCCGGCTCTCTGAATCCAGCTCCATAAACACCTCCCCCCCTCCTTGACATCTTGTGGCAACTCTTATTTATTTGTCTCAGTGTTACACACACACACACTCTCTCTCTCCAATCAACTACAACTCTGCCGCCTTCCATTGTCCAGCTTACACCTAATCCACCTGGTTTACTTTCCTTCTTTGTTGTTGTTTTTTTTGGTGCTTCTTTGGGGGATTCATTCTTTTTGGCAGGCTGGTTCTTAGAGAAAGAGACTCTGCTGACTTGATGGGTCTCTTATTGTAGTGGATAGACGGTTTCTTTTTTGTTTTTTTTTTCTTTGCTTTTTTTTTCTTTTGGTTGGTGTTTGTTGATTGAATCTTTGGTTAGTTACTTCTTTTAAATAATGGCTTTTTTTTGTTTTGTTTGATTCACCTTCTTTTTTTAAAAAAAGGAAAGAGAGAGAGAGAGAAATATTCTTTGGTGTGTAGAAGTTCTGAATTCTGATGCCTCAAATACATAAATAAGTCCTAAATACTTCAATCAATACATTGGTTCCCCCCCCCTTTTTTTTTTCTTTGATCTATATTCTTGTGCTTAATCCTTTCTTTTTCTTTTTTTTTTATTGATTTCCAATGTGCTTTAATTCAACACTTTTTTTTTTTCTCTACTGTTGTTGGTGTGTATTTGGGGGGTTCTGTTTTTTGGGTTTTCTTTCTTTCTTTTTTTTTTTCTGCTTTGTTTGTCATATCAAATAATACTCAAAAAAAACCTCGTCCTTTACTGGGTATCACCTTATGTAACTTGCAACTTCTGGGGGGAGGATTTGGGATGTTGGGGATATACATGTGACTGGGATGAGTGTTGGATGATGTCCATCTTTTGTCTTGTCTTGTTTTGGTTGGTTGGTAGGTAGGTTGGTTAGGTTGAGATTGAATGAAAGGATTTTGAGATATACTTGTGTGTATGTTGAGTGTTTTGTGAGTGGGAATCAATCAAACTCAACAAGGGATTCTAGTTGGATCTCAACTTCAAGTCATGAGAAGGGGCCTGGCAGGGGTCCTTTGTTCTTCTATGTGTCCATCTGCGGATTGTGTGGGTGTGTGTGTGTTTATGTGCAACAATTGTCAAATTCATATTGGTTGGCTAGGGTTGCTTGATCTTCTGTTTTGATGTTACTAAGGTGAATGGCTGTCATGAACAGTAGTGAGGGAATGGAAATGGGAGATGGAGGTGTGGGGTGTGGGGTGTGTGTGTGTGGGGGGGGGGGGGAGGGATTTCTGGTTATCCACTGATCCAGTGTGGAAGATAGTGGAGGACTTCCTGTTGGTCTGTACAAGGTTACATGTAAATCCTACTCTTAATTCTAAATCAACACACTTCTCAGAACTCTGTCCAGTGCACCCCTAAACCTGATCCTTCCCAATCACCTACCCATCATGCTTACTTTTTTTTCTAAGAAAAAAAAACACAAATTGATTTGCAGGGTGTGAAAAATTAAGGATAAAGAAAATAAGTCTGTAAATCGGATGGGAAGTCCTCCAATTCCATTATATAGTGAATTCTGATAGACGCTGTGGTGTGCTGTGCCTGTTCCAATGCCAAAAGCATACAGAATAGGTGATAGTTACACACACTTATCATTCATTACAAGAGGAGGAACATTCATTACATAGGACATACAACAACAGGATACGGTATACATATGTAGGTGTGTTGTGTGCGTGGGTAGGTTATGTAATATGGGTTTATTTATTGTGTAATCAGTGGAAAAGAACATAAGACAGTTGATGAGGAGGGGAGAAGGAAGATAGGCGGAGAAGCTTTGACCCTGAAAAATGAACAAGGAAGGAAGTGAGTGAGTGTTGAAACACAGAACATTTGGAATGTGGATTTGGTTTCTGAGTAACAGATCTCATAAGACTGTATACTGTACTGGATTACTGCTTTGGAATGTTTCAGCACATGCTACATGGCTTGGTTTCATAGCAACCAATGACATCATGCTGTGCAAGTGTGTGTCACCTGCAGCAAAAATAACTCACAAGGAGTCCCCTGCAGCAGAAATCCCTCACTCTTCAATATAAAAGGAGGGCCTCTCTCCACCAGGATTCTCTTTTCCCCCATCAGCCTACAACAGTCTCTCAGAGCAGTAAGTTTGGTCCTGAGCTACCGGAAGTGTTCTGGAGTGTCAGTAAAGTTTGAAGAGTTAGAATTAGTGTTAGTTAGTGAATATAGTATCATCAACCTACAGGAGTAAGTTGGTCACAATTAGCTAGCAGTGTGCATGTCAGAGAATTAGTTAAGTAAAGTCAGAGATTTATAAGTAGTAGAACCAGAACCATTGAACCATAACAAAGTGAACTTAAGTAGTATTATTAACAAATAACAAATAACAAGTAGTAGTAGTAACACCGGAGCTCTAGTTGTGATTAAAGTGCCTTAGCAAGAAATTGTTCGAGGAAGAGATCATTAACAAACTCTACATAACAAATTCAACTGTCTTGCGCTCAACCGTAAGCGCCACAGTTTTCATTATTAACCTGAAGTTGTAACAGATTCATGAGTAGATTGATACGTGATCTAGGTCTGATAGAGATTACTTTACAAAATTAAGATCTATCTTGGAATCAGCCGCATATTATTAAATATTGATTACAAGACTCTTAGTTATTTGTTTAGTACAATTAGAGGGGCAGGTCTTTCAAACCACCCGTAAGTTGCAATAGCCTTTCAACCTATTTGCAATTTATTTCCCCCTCAAGGGATCTTTTGATATACATATACTTTACTGTGTCTATCCGTCCCAGGAGTCCTACAACGCTTAAGATTGAAAGTCAGTTGTTTTCCAATGTGGTCTAGTATCTGCATCCATCTTTCACCACCTCAGTCTCATGGATCTCAATCATTTTCCTCTCTATTAATCATGAGGTTCTGCTCCTTGATGGTGGACTTCCTGTTGGATCTGGGGCCCTTTCTGTTTTTTTTTTTTTTTGATTTATAGAGACCCTGCAAAAAAGGTGAGATTTTTGAAGGGAAATGTAGCTTTTGAGGCTCTAAATTGAAACATGGGGGACCTGCAGATTTTGATGGGAACTCCTAGTTGGATTAGGTTGCCCTACATATTGCCATGAGCCTGTTGCTCTGATGGTTGTGCATTATCATCACATAAATCACTTCTTTGGGGGTCCACCTGATCAGCAGCTGTTCAACTTCCACTATTGCCACAGGTTCCTTGGAGATGACTTGATCATTCAAAGAAGACTGTCACTACACTGTTTCTCTGGTTGATGAAGGAGACCATGTTTCAATGGAATGTTTGTTTTTGCTTTGAATCCTAATATTTACACACATCCAATGGAGTGTACATAATACACAAATAGTTCATGATCCCAACACAAGAATTTTTAAAATGGGTTGACTTGATTGGTTGGAATTTGGTTGAGTCTGGTAAACTCGAGTCGGACGGATTTTGCATACAGCATTACATAAGCTTCACTTTTACAAAAAAAAAAAAAAGAAAGAAGAAAGTTTCAGAGAGAACAACATTCCAGGAAAACCACCTCAAGAGACAAGCATACACATACCGGAAAGCATTCAAGCCGACATCCAACACTCCATACACACAAACACTCAAAACAAACGAAAGGACAACGATGAGCTTCTTACGGATCCTGACACTCAAGAAATCGCTATCGATCGGCTTGAACAATGCCCGGGAAACGGTCATCAAACCTTCATCCGTGACCAAACCCATCTTCCTTCGTTCCTTTCACGATACCCGATGTAAGCAAGCCCCCTCACAATCCACTTATCACTTTCAATATCATCATCTGTTTGCACAACGAATGAATATTTGCTCATCTCTCCTCTTTCCTTCGGTTTTATACAGTTCTTCAACATGGCGGCAAAGGGAGACCAGAACCAGGCACCGGGTTAGAAAAAGTTGATTCATCCTTGACGAAAAAAAAAAAACACTGAATTAATTGACAAAAAAAAATCCAAAGCCGAGAAGCTGAAATGTGATTTGTTTTTTTGTTATTCCTTTTGACTCATTTGAATCAAAAACACTGTCACAGGATCAAGGTGTTCTTTAAAAATCATAAAGGAGAACTGATCAAGGAAGTAGAAGGAAACGAGGGCGATGACATGGTGGACTTATCGTGGGAATGGGACCTAGATATCGAAGGTAAAAAGAAATCTCTTTTCAACGAACTTAGCAGAAGAAGAAGAAGAAAAGAAACTCCATCGAGGTTGGTTTTGACTGATGTATTTAAAAATGTTTTGTTCTCCTAGCTGCTTGCGAAAAATCGATTGCTTGTTCAACTTGTCATTGTATCTTTGAACCGGACGTTTACAACCAACTACCTGAGCCCAGCGAAGATGAGGAAGACATGCTCGACCTCGCATTCGGGCTCACCGACACGTATGTCCAATTTATCTCTCATTCTTTTTTTCCCCCCTATTAATGATTTGAATAATTTCTTCTGATACCTTGACCTTTTCTTCCCATACTCTATGGACCACACTTTCCCCATTTTCCATATCAATCTAAAAAAAGATCTCGGCTGGGCTGTCAAGTCAAGCTAACAAAGTCCATGGACGGTACTACCGTCACATTACCTTCGGCAACAAGAAATTTGAGGGTCGATGGTCCGTCCCTTTTCCTTCCTTTTCTTTTCTGTCGAAAAAAAAGAAAGTTTAAATGTTCATCAATGACTGATGTTTTTTTTTGTGATTGGCGATCGTCAACCTGTCCCAGGATCAAAGCCCTCGCATTGACAGCCCTTTTCCTTCTTCGTTTCTTTTCTTCCAAAGATCCCCTCCATATCCCAGCCCTTTTGCTCCGTTTGATTTTCTTTTTTTATTCATATATCTTCTCTCTCAAATTCTTCAACTAATAGAAATACAAATCAAAGTCAAAAGCTTCTTGAGTCCTTCTATACCTTTGTGAATGATTGTCCTCGGACATTTTTTTTTCCTATTCTTGTTGTTACCGCATGGTCCCGCCCCTGGGTCTACTTGTACCTTCGTGAATATCTGAACTTGCCGTTTCCTTTTCCATTCAATCTGGCCTTTCTTATTGATACCCCATGCTCCCGCCCTGGGATTGTGACGTAGGGGTTAGGCTCTATGTTCCAAGAAATATCCTGATGGTGTGGGTCCTTCTGCTCCTGGAACTGGTGCTGGTACTGAGCTTCGGCCCATGACCAAGATCTATAAGAACAATGTGTGTTTCAGGTGTGCCCAAACCCCCTCAAGTAGGGTCAACACTTTTCATCAAAATTAAGGAATTCTCCTATGACTCTTCACCGCTTCTACTTTGTCGGTCAGCTCTGTGGATTTTGGGGTGTCTTACTCCAGCCTTCCGATCGTAACGTTTGAGCGGAACTCATTGAAAAACCAGCCATTCTAACGGTTTGCCGTAATATTTACAAATGAACGTGAAAGGCACCATTTTTCTTAGTCTGGTTACTTTTTTGGTGCACGCTGTGACTGAGGCCTCAATCATGATAGTTACTAGTGGCAAGTGCTTTTTGTTGAGATTGCTTAGTTGGAAGATTCGTACGAAAACAAACTAACAGTTCTCAACCAAGAAAAAATGATCCCAAATTTTCAAGTCCACCAATTTTAGACTGGAGAAAAGAGTTAGTTAGTGCTTTCGAGAGAAAAACAAAAAAAGAAGAAGACCTCTAAAGGAACGACTGTGGATGAACGAACGGGTCTGGATGAATGAATGGATAATGACGGTTTTTTTTTTAAGAAAAAAAAGGTGAAAAGCTAGGACCAGAGGGAATGGATATGGTTTTTGTACGGTTAACCATAACAAACAGGGTTGGATGCATGCATCATAAGCTAGGAAAGTTAGAAAGTTGTTATCTACATGAAAACATTTTTGAATTGTTTTTCAAGAAAGAGCTACGAGTTTTCCTGGGAATTTAAACCAGAATTCCAGAATAGAAATTTTCGAAAAATTATCTAACTGCCTGAGCCGGAGCGGGTGACAGACTCTGAGACGGGAGACTTGGGGTCATCAGTGACTGTTCGAGACCACTGTTGGATGTTGGTACCGCTACCTTGTGGGTCGACACTCGATGGTTTTTGTTGGCCTTTGTATTTGGAGGCCAGGACATTTGCCATCGGCGGATTCAAAAAGGCAACTTGACTATCCTGGGGGTCTTGCCAATTGGTCACTTGGCTGTTCTTGCTTCCGGGTATCTTCAATGGATGGGATGCCACATTGAAGACATATTCATCTAATGATATGGTTTCAGGGTCCGAGAACAAAAGGAAAAAGTATTTCAAACTGATAAAATAATGTGGGGAGGCATTTTTGTCATCAGTAACCAAAGTATGAAATCTATGGGCAAGTTTTGATAAACTTTTAGTTCACCTTTCTGTGGATAAGGTCCCAGTGTACCCATCGTATTTGTTGCTATCATCAGTTATGTCGTCAGTAACGTCCCCGATCTCAGCGAAGCCGAAGTCGGTAATAGAAGCCTCGGCCCATTTGGAAAATCTACCGGCAAAAGAATTGAAATTCAGCTAAAAAGATTCTTGGAATCGTCCACAATAAATTCTGCACTGACAGTCTCCATCCCCTCTCTTGCCACTCCCGATTTCCAGTCAATCTCCACATGTAAAAGATCGATCTACGCGAGCAGGAAGGGAAATTGAGTGTTTCAGGTGACCACATGGAAGTGGAATGTCAGCGTCAATTCATGCGGCTATGGTCCTGTGATGTGAAGGCAAGAATTGGGGCGCACTCAATCGTGTTGGGTCGGTTAAGATGGCTTGGGTTGCTGATTTCGTTCATGGGAGTTGAGTTGACCTCGTGGCCTGAAATGAGAAATAACAAATGTCAGTCAGTGATTCCGGAAGAAGAGGAAAATGAAATAAAATTTGCATCCAGTTGCTTTAGGGAAAGCTTACCGGATCCCTCATAATTTATGATCGTGATCTCATCCGGCCCCAGTCCAGCAGGACTGGTCTCGTGAACCCATAAACAAGCATCGGTTTGCTAAAAAAGTATGCAATTTGCAATCAAGATCAGTTAGAGTTATTATGCAGCAAATTGGGCAGATCTGAAGGCTCACGTTCTGGGCGAAATTCAATGGCATGTCCTTTTGCAGTAATCTAGCTCCGAGACCGATCATGGCACCGGCCGAACAACTCTGCTGGTTGATCTTGGGGATATAACCAGCTTTTCCTGGGACGCTGTATGCCTCTCCAATGATACTGAGTTGAGTACCTTGGTTGTCTATTTTTATGTTTTCCGCAAGGTATTGGAAGATTGAATCGACGCTGTGGGAGTAAGCTTCTTGATATCCTTTGGAGTTTCCACGCAAAAGAAGTGCCTCTTTGACCTGAGTTATACCAATCGGGTTATTTTTCTCTTCTAACTTTTTTGAAGGGGTTAATTTTGGAAGAAGTATGGAAATTCCTACTTACAAGATTCTCATAATAACCACTCGACTTGGCGTCCAAGGTATAGAAGCCCATGATCTGTGTGGGTTGATCGGGTCTGATCTTTTGGGGAAGTAGATTTCCAAGCCTTGATGTAGAGTTCCAGCTTTGGCCTTGCAAGTATCGAGCGGCTCTGTCGACCTAAAGATCAAATTGGAATGTGGTCAGCGACGGCTTCGGGGCGTGATTAAGGGGAGTTTACTCACCGCATTAAAATACTGGGCTTTCCCGGTGATTTGGGCCAATCTGGTGAACTCTAGCAATAGACTACTTGCCTCCGAAAGATAGGTTTCTCCTGAAGAACCTTCGTTAGGGTTGCTAAGGGTCAAATGTTTCAGGACTTGTGTTAAAAGGTTCTATGAAAGATTGAATTTCAGACGCACGTTCCGAGGTCATAATTGGCCACTGGAACTCCCGTTTTCGTGTTGAATGCTGGTAATAACCATTGGGCCAACTCGTCAGCCTTGGAGAGCATGAGCTTGTCGCCGCTCAAGTCGTAAGCTGAAAGAAGGGCTCCCAGGTCTGGATCGAACGCAGCAGGTTAGTTTTTTTTTGGTTAGTCAATAAGCGGCCTGAGTTTTATTCTGAATGGGCCAACTCACATCGTGCGCCAGATTCCAATACGTTGATGTTGGCGTATGAATTCTTGATTTCGCCGGTGCTAATGTTATAGACGGGGCGAGCAAAACTAGGGCTTGACCAATCCAGAGCTCGTACATGGGTTCTTGCATACTTTAAAAAATTGATAAGGTTAGGACGTCACAAGGAGCTATAAGATCACAGAAAGCATCATGTCTTACATTATACTCCAGTGTCATATTCATCATCAGCAGAGTGTCACTGGAATAATTTTACAAGCATGAAAGAAGACGAATAAAATCAGAATCCTTGGTGGAAGGATTTATTCAATGAGTGGATAAGTTGTGACAAACAGATTATCAATGATGTTGGCACCCCATCCTGAAAAAGCGTTTTGGCCGCGACCTGACAATGGTCTTGTTTGGTCAAAGCCCCAAGCAGTCTTTTTGTAACCCTCCCAAGAGTGACTAAAGGCCCGAATGATCCACTCGCGCCTTTGAATGTTTTTATTTTTCAGCTCGACGGTATCCCACGAATTGTTTTCTAGGAAGGTTCGTGATTGGATACTGGGCAAAGGAGACATCTGAAAATCTTGCGAGTTTGGATTCCATTGCCCGGGGATTGTTTGTAAATGGGCTAATCCCGAAAGCTGATCGAGTGGGATGGGGGTTTGAAGTGTTTTCGGTTTGCTTTGAATGAACTTGGCCGGTGGCCATTGGGGAGTAGCCGGAGGGTTCATACCAGGCCGTCCCGCAGTTGAGTTGGATGAGGGACTTGGTGACGGGAAGCGCTGTGCTGACAAAAGTGTTAAAACCCTTGCGCCTGATGGAGTCCGGGGGTCCCATGGCTGTCGAGAGTCAGGAATGGCTCCGGCTTGCTTGAAATGACTGATGAAAGGACCACCAGTGATGGGACTTTCCGCTCCTGTGCGCCCATTAGCTGAGTCGCTAGAAACAGAGCTCTCTTTGAACCCAGGACAATAAAACATCAGATTTCAAGTTGGGGGAGTTACTTTGGGAGATGATTTTTTACCTTTGCCCCAGTTTCCGTGAAGACCATTGACTTGCGGGTGAGGTGAGATCAGATCAAGAACAGAATAAGACAGTAGGATGCATAGCAGGAGATAGAATGCCAAAGTTGCAATGCACAGAGAAGCCGCCTGCGCTATTGCAATAGATTTCGACGGCCGCGGGCGGGGTTCATCCATTTGGGTAAGGCTCTTCAGTTCTTTTTTGCCTCGAGTTGCAAGCGGTATGGAGACGTCTCGCGCACAAGAATCACAAACGTATGCTGGATGGGATTTTGCTGATAAGGAGCGTATGAGGATTAATAGTAATAATAATTATAAATGATTAGAGTATAACTTTGTCTTGGGGGCTATCGTCAAGGCCTGAAGCACCACCGGCCAATGAACTCGTTTTATTTGAAGTTGATCCGGCGAAGTAGTAAGCCAACATGCTCCCCATGATGCTCCGCTCATATTCGAAACACGTGAGTTTCGCAGAGTGTACCATACTCACCCCCGACCTTCGACCTTCGAGGAGTATTGGCGGGGTCCAGAAATGTACACAGTCTAGCTATCGGGGCCGGGAGAGCGTATACATCACCTAAGACACATTCCATCAAAGACTCGAGAGTTAAAACCACGTTTCATGTCGTCTTTCCAGTGGGTGGACACACCAGACTGAGGGAAGGATTCAGTGTGGATGTCTCATGTTCCTTGATAAGCTAGTTTTGCTGAAACCTCTCCTTGTTGATTCTTCTTGGCTCTGACCCTGAAATATGGACCTTGCCAAGACCCTCATTCGCTGTAACATATTGATGTCGTATGGACGGACATTCATACAGCAGATGAAAAAAGATTATGCACTGCTTTATTGAGACTCCGAGCCGGATGCGACTGATCACGAGAAAGGTAGGAGTAGCTCAAATTCCAATAACCCGGGATTCTCCAGAGTGCAAGGGCGCTCGTACTGTAGATTTATGTGACATCATTTGTTCAAGAGTAGTCACTAATCTTGCGGCGGTTATTACCACGAGAAGTAGAAGATGTCATCATCTTCCTCCCAGGGACTACCTAGCGTCGCTTGTGATGTGGTGCGGAGGAAGCATTGTAAAAATTTTGCCCATTGGTATGGTGACATTTGCGTGCCTGGCCAGTTGGTAGACGAGAGACCGATAACGAACCGGTAAGCGGTTCGGAGGATACATATTGAAAAGACAGAATGAACAACCCAAATTACGGGTTAATAGGATCCCCGGACACTCAAATTGATGCATGATCCCGCGATGTGATGTTGGAGTTTTCGGTACCGTAGGTCTGCTTTGATTGGGAATGTAAACTGAGGCAACCTTTTGGCGATGATCGAAGTTTGAATCCATTAGACCAAAGAAATTGCATGGAGCTTTCAGAAAAAATAATGAAAAATCCGCTTGGCTTGAGTATTGGCTAGGGTATGGCACACACTGACCCATGGTAACTCAACAATTATTATGAAAACCAAATTGGTGTGGACTCTGGTGGGTCAATGTTATTTTGAGAGATGAATTGAGTTTTGAAGACAAATCTTCATGGATTTGTGCAGGCTCAACTTTGAAGACCTCTAATCATTCGTCTTCCCAAACTTAAACAGGCGGTCTTAATTCAGGCCATCCACGATTGAAATTGAATTTTTTGACCAGTGCAATTCTCAAGCAAACTGGTTGGTGCCAGTGATGAATATTTTGCCTCAGAGGACCTATATTCAAGTTTTCCAAGTAGTGGTTTTCCTTGGCAAGAAGTGACAGCCTATGCCAGTCTTCTGGGGAGTGCTTCTTGGCAAACTGGGAAGCTGTTTCTTGTCATGTGTTTTTATTTTTGTCTTTTTTGACCAGATGCAGGTACTTTTTCACCTAACAACCAAGTCCCTGCCCCCCTTTTTCAGAGTGGTAACCACTTGTTGCATTGCACTGACTGGAGGGAGGGGAGGGTCCCTGTGTGACAGTGCCCCCCCCTGCAATTGGAGGGATAAATTTAAGTTAGTGTGTCACCTTGGAACACCACATCAAATTTGTTTGGATCAGCAAAAAGTGTTAGTAAGAGAAAATGAGGGTTGTTCCTACTCCTTGGGTTTTTTTCAGAGGTCATCATCTCCTTTGCTGAGTCAATCTGTGCTTTGGTGGGAGGCTCACTGTGTAGCACTGGCACTGGCAGCAGAGCTTCCCCTACCACAGGAAGGGATTTGTGTATCATTATGTGGGAGCAGAAAGTACCCTTGGGCTTGGAGCTATCTTACATTTTATGATAGCTTTACTCACAGCCTCTCTTAGGGTCTGAATCATGCCTGAGGAAATCTAAATTTTCAAGAATCCAAATAGAATTCCAAGTTTAGCATCTGATCATGTAGTTCACACTTCTCTTTGGTGGATTCCAATTGTCAATTTTGGAGATTTTTGCAACTCAAGGTGACAACAGTTTCACAGTAAGGATGCTAATTGGGCCATGTGTCTGATGGGTTGCCCAGATTTCAGAGGGTTTGGGCCTTAATGTCTGGGCACCCATTTTTGAGAAAAGAATCTTAGAACAGTGTTGCCCACCAGACAACAAGCCTAACACAAGTCTCTGAGTGAGAGCCCAAAGGGCAGCCCTGCAGGGTCTCTGGCCACTTGCATGCCAACACCGCCCACAGCAGGGAATTGGCACTTGCATTAAGTTTGGCCAGACAACTCCTGAGTCAGTTCTGGTGGGCTTCCCCAGTGCAAGAACTCCTGTGGGAACTTCACAAGCACCAATCAAATCTGAGCACTTGCTAACCCTGCTAACAAGATGGATAAGCCCCGAGTAAGCAGATTGGATCCCAAATAATTAGGTGACAATACCCAATCTCCTCCAAGTTCAACAGCCCAATCACAAGCCAGATAGCCAAACCTTGCCGCAAATTCAGCACAATTCGTGCCAAAACTTCACCTCACTTATCTCTCTCTCTCTCTCTCTTCCTTCTCCCTGTCACTCCTTTCTTTTCCCTTCCCCAGCTCCTGTTTACACATTCATTAAAATTTCCACTTCTGGCCCCATCATAGTCGTAGTAGATCAACACAGTTCTGAGCTTGAAATGAGAATCATTGGCTTTTATGCGCACATTTCCCTGAGGTCTCTAATATATACAACCTCCTATAGTGTGAGTGCATTTCCGACACACATGCTAGCAGCTGAGCCTCCTTTGAGGCCCTTTGACTTTTTTTTTCCCTCAAGACTTGAGTCTTGAGTTTGTTGCTCTGGTTGCTTTCCCTCCCTCTTTCCAAGACATCCACTCAAAGTTTGTTTAATTGATCTGAATGAGTTAGCTTTGTTCACAACCACCCAGACAATTGAACCTTGCCACAAATGATGAGTTTGCATTGGACTTTGGAGAAGTCATATCTACAGAAGCCCAGGTACAACAGGATCGTGCCAGGACCTCAACATTTATTTCTCAGATTCAAAATCCAGTTTTGCTGGTTCCAAAACCCTCAACTTAAGAATTTCAAAACAAAACTCATGGACCGCTGTTTCACAAACTGTCTGCAACACATTGTACTTTTTTTTGGTCAAAACAACACACGAATCCAAACAGTCTTGCTTGCTATGGATCTGCTTGTTTTTTTTTTGCATCAACTGATTGTATCGAATGGTGTTTCCAAAGTACGGAGTTTCAATCAACCAATCACTGATTTCAGGTCTGGACTGCAATTACATAACAGATCTATAGAGATCCTAACAAAACTTCTGAGATTTGGTTGTGTTGGGATACATAACCATCCGGGGCAGGTTCTGCCTTTCACCCCAAACTTAAGCAGTCCCTCCAAAGGAAATTGCGCGAAGCACGACCTCCTTTGGGCCCTCCTTGGAGGGACTTAGATAAGCTCGCTTTCACCCTATCAACACAGCTAAGCAAATTCCCCATGAAAATGTGGGATATAATGGGGAAAGCAACTGTTGGAAATTCTGAGAGGACCAATTCGATAGTGCACAAGCTACTGGTCACAATGACCAGTCTCGCTACATCCAGACTGGATAGATATTGGGTTTAAGGCAGATACTGTTGCCAGCGTACTTAGCCCTTCATTGTATGAGAAAAAAATTAACCTGTTATACTGGCCTCTTAAACGTCCTTCTTTCTTGAGCATTCCCTATACATCAGCCTAATCTTTAACTCTTTTGACAATGGGCAACATTTTAACCTCAGACTATAGTACCGATTTTACTGGCAGTGATGACACTGACAACGACGAACCAACATCATCACAAAACCTACAACCCATAGCTATGGAGCAAGTCATCGTGTGGTACCTTCTTTCCCAAGGCTACCAAGGACCACAGATACTCACCATGCTAGAAGAGAGACATGGGATCAAAACGTCAATCCGAACACTCAACCAAAAGTGAAAGTTATGGGGTCTTCAACAACGTGATTTTCCTCGAGGCCCTCCTCCAATGATACAAGAATCCATAAGATCCTCCCACTCAAAAGGACTTCAATTGAAAGAGATTTAAGCACGGCTTTACAAAGAAACCGAACTCAATGTATCAATTCGTACCATCCAAAGATACCTGCAACAACTCAACTTAACACAACACAAAAACGACCTTCAGGACGGAAAGGTATCATGGGAGAAAGTGATTGAGTGTATCAATCATGCACGTACTGAGCTCCTCCAAACCTCAGCAGGATATCAAAGTATGCATCGAATTTTGAAAAGATTTTATTCAATCAGTATACCTCGGTGAGTAAAGCTCTCCTTTGTGGTCTGCTTTTGGCTCAAGAGTGTTGACTGGAACTTCCTCTGCAGCAACACCGTTTACAATTTACTCAAGGAGATTGATCCAGAAGGCCTGGCCCAGCGGCTCCGCAAGACATGCAAACGATGTGTCTTTTGCACACATGGTCCAAATCATGTCTGGGCCTGTGATGGGCATGATAAATTGAAAAGATTTGGGATTTGTATCTACAGTTTTATTGACGCTTGGTCCTGTAAGATTCTTGGGATGTTTGTTCATGTAACAAACAATGACCCCAAACACATTGGAGTTTATTTTCTACAAACAGCAGCAAAAGCTGGTGGAATTCCTCTCAAGTTGAAATCTGATTTTGGATCTGAAACTATTGACATGGCCGCCTACCAAATGTTCATCTCCTACAAACATGCAGGAATTGATATTGAAGAAGCAGCAAAAAGAATGAATTTCACTAAGTCTACCCACAATCAAAAGATTGAAGCTCTTTGGTCTCAAATGATGAAGCACCATAACCAAGCAGTGATTAATGCCATAACGGAGAAGATTGAAAGTGGTGTGTACAATCCAGATGATGAAGTTCAAAAGTAAGGCTATATCTCTTACTACCTTTGGGAAATTAAACTAACACTTCTTATTCCAGACTGCTTTTTCTCTTTCTTTGGTTGCCAGTTTTCCAGATAAGGTTTGATAGATGGGTTCTACACCAAAACAATTCCAGGAAGCACCGGGACCATCAAATTTCACTTCCCACTGCCTGCACCCCTGATTTCTCATATAGTACACCAGAATTCTTTGGGACAACTGATCAACTTCTGCCAGTTCCGGTTAATGACATTGAGCAAATAATTCAACAGGAATACCCAGATCAAGAAGCCATGTTTGTCAGCCACAGAGCACCTTTCACAGTACGTGAATTGTACCTAGTAACTGCAAATAATAATAAATAATTGAATACAGGAAAATATTATACATTGTTGTTAAAATAATAAATAAATAAATATGTATTTACATTTAATCTTAATTCATAATTTATATTTAATAATTCTATAATTAACTGTGAAATCCCCTTGAGTATTGTACATACAATATCACTAGGATTTCACAGGAAGAGCTTTAGAACAAGGTATTAAAACAATATTCATTCTTATACATTATGTACATATTTTATAATACATAAATTAATAACATAGGTATAAGAATCAGCTAGTAGAAGCGTGAAATGGATGAGGAATAAGCTATATAAACTTATCTGAAGCTTACCCATCCTTGATCACATCATCAGGGCATCAGATTGCATCATAACCCTCTTGGATGGCGTCATCAGGACCCTTTTGTGCTCTAATTCAAAGCTTGCATAATTCAAAGTAGCCTACACGGGAAAGGAGCCCAAATTCTACATGCAAGACTGAATTATGCATGAAGGACATGCATTTCTCATGATCACAAGCTTGCATAAACAGAGTTACACGTATGCAACTAACTCTACAATTGCACAGCCCCTGCACAGTAACTGTAGCCTTTTCAATTACGTTAGAAATAGGCCACAAAACTCAATTAGGCATGTATGATCTCATGTCCTAGGACCTTCCACCCATGCATAGCACTGCACAGCTGAAGCTCCCATCCTTACACAAAATTTTAGAGCTGCTAAGAAGCTCCCTAGTGCTCTGAGGGCCTCTCCTCTTCCCCTGAGCCCCTTGTAGAATATTTAAGGAGCCCTGATTCCTACCTTTTCCCCCCAGGAAATTCTAGTAGCATCAAACCAACACTTGTACAGTGATTATTAGTGATTCAACCCACCAATAACATTACAATCCAGCTACCTTAGACCTAAATAGATTTAATTTGCTCAGATTCAAGGCATTTCTACTTATCTCTATTGCATAAAGAATTATCCCCCTGGTTAAACAATTCTGGTCCTTAAGTGTACATACACTTATTCATCTGGATTGTTGTTAAAAGACTTGATCCCAAGTGAGTAGAAGAATTCCTCACATTGGAAGCCTATTAATCCATGTAACAGGATTGATCTGGATGCCCAATTGAATAATTGGATGAGTCAGCAGTAGAAGTACCATTCCTCACTGACTCCTCCCTGTTTCTTTTACAGGTTGAGGGATTTAACCACAAATAAACCTTCTCACTTACTCTTCTTGTTAACACTCAGAGCACAACCCTTACAGGTTAGTAGCATAGAGGCTGACAATGTTCACCCACACTCCTCCCTGGTTCCATGATGTAGCTACTGGAGTCATGGAGGCACTTGGACTCAGTTTTCATCACATTTCTATAGGATCAGTCTGGATAGCCTATGAATATATGCTCCCATATATAAAAAACTCATTCCCTGCTGATCAGCCTTTTCCAAGTTATGATTGGCCCCCATCACCAAGCAATCAATCCTCAGATAGTAACTCTGATTCAGAAGCAACCTAGCTGCAAACTAGTCAAATATTCTTTTTAAATGCCACTTTAATTTCCTGTAAAGTAGATTTGAAAGCATGTCTCTTTGAATTTGTACATACACACCTTGAACAACCAATGCTTAATTTCAACCTTCTAATAACATAATTTTAAGATCATCAGGACCTTACCCAGATAAAAATCAACACCTATTTCTCAAGCATGATTAAGTTTGGCCTTGTATCAGAAACACATTTTGCTGAGTGTCCCCAAAATACAGCCTCCCTGTTACGCATTTCATAGAATTTTTCCATCACACAATCTACCCAACATTCATGAGTTTTTACAGGAGCTCATAATCATGTGAAGTTTTTGGAATACACCCCTGTGACATTGCTGTGTCTTATTGTTTTGGGCTTGATTGAGTCACTATTCAATTCATTGGATCCAAAATGCTGTCCTCAACATCAATATCTACAACAATCAACTGGATATTATGTTTTTTGTGTGTAAGTATGTTTGGCAATGTATGACTGAATGATCTAAAGAACAAGGGAAAATATTAAGTGCACCCCATTCAACTGAAATTTCAGCTCATCAGGAAGCACATGGCAATAACAACAAATTTAATTTGATCCATTCCCAAAGTACAGTGTATCTGTCACAAATCTGATACCTGCTCACACATTCACTACAAAATAAAGAAAACATTTCAATTATAATATTCCTCCTACACTCATTGAATTTGACAGAAAAACTCATAATCATGTGTTGGTTTTGGAACACCTCCCTGTCCAATTGTCTGGATGGTCAGGATTCAGTCAATATTAAATACAGTAATACAAAACAGCAGTCCAAAAATGTGATAAGAAACCTAACTAAACTAATGGGATTGTCAAGAATGGAATCAGACTGGTCCTTTTTCTTGTGATTATTCTTTCCAATTCATTGAACAAATGGGCAAACATTAAGTACACCTGATTCAACTTTTGAACTCATCAGGAAAAAGCTGACACATCTAATTTGATCTGTCCCCTTTTTCTCTCCCATGTTTCTTTTGATTGGACAATTTTTGTTTTTATTGTCTCAAGTAACTACATAATCATCATATATGTCCAATCAGAGGTATCAATCACCCATCATGATTTATATTCAGGTTTGATTCATTTGTCAATTTGGAGAATTGAAATATGGTTGTGGGAGTTTCTGTGCATTTCCTGCGCTTTGATCAGTAAATCATGAAGAGCAAAGAGGAAACATGGCTTATTTTGACCATTACCATCACCACAACCTTTGTCCAAAAAGTTTGCTTGATATTACTGGCAAGCCAAGGATCCCTCAAAACCTAGTGCCCCCACTTCTTAAAGTGATCAGGTCCTTGAGAAAACCAGCTGGTTAGATTACCCATGATAGAGGACCTTTTCCTATTCTTTGTTACATATTCACCTTACAACACTGACTGTCAACCTTACAACACTAACTGTCACTCTTCAAATGTAACAATATCAATGCATGTTCCTCTATCTTAAACCACTCTGCTCAGTTGTCCTTCTTTGGGCAGAAAAAATAGAAGTCCCAGCAGTATCTTAGATAGATAGAGCCTGATGAAAAAAAGAATGTACAGAGCCCAGCAGTATCTTAGATAGATAGAGCCTGATGAGAAAAAGAATGTACAGAGCCCAGCAGTATCTTAGATAGATAGAGCCTGATGAAAAAAAAAGAATGTACCGAGTAATCAAAGTATAGAAGATCAATGTGTACAAGTCAAACAGGGAGTCAAATCTGTAGCCAACGCGTACAACGGTGGGCCAGCTACGCTAACCGTAGCGTTAGCGTAGCGTAGTGTAGCAATTTTTTGCTACAATTTAGCGTAGCGTTAGCGCTTGTTTCTTTTTTTGCGCTAACGCTACGCGCATGGGGCAAAAACGTGCACTAACGTTTAGCGTAGCGTTAGCGCGATTCCCCCCATCTGCGCTAACGCTACACGCACAGGCCGCCAAAAACTGCCCGCTACGCTGCGTTACGGCCGTTTTTAGCGGTTTTTTGCCGTTTTTTGCCGCTAGAAACGCTGTAGCGTAGCGTAACGCAGTGTAGCGGCGCCAGCGGCGCGCTAACACTACACCAAAAAAAGGCTAGTGTTAGCGCCGCTACAAATTAGTGTAGCGCAGCGGCCGTAGCGGCGCGCTAACACTACACGAAAAAAAACAAAAATTGGTGCCGCTACGCTAACGCTACATGGGCCCGTAGCGTAGTGTAGCGTAGCGGCCCACCGCTGACGCGTATGTGAAGACATTCAACTGATCCAACGCGGGGCTAGTTCCATTGTTCAAAATTCAAATGATGATCAACATCATCATCCGCTGGATCGATTCTGTTGCTCATCTCATTATTGCCCATCTTGGGTTCCCTTTGATTTAAACAAGTATCACGTTGAGAAGAGGGAGTAGGGAGATGGTTGGACGGGAGCACAGCCCGTCCATTCAGGAGAATCCTCTTCAGATATGAATTAGGTGGGTGATTGAGCTTTTCAAACGTCCATGACGTTGAAGGAGTACTTGTTTGTTTTGCGTTCAGGGCCCGGTTGTTGGTTTCCTAAGATTATTGGTTCAAAGATGTGTATTATATACGCTTTGAAACACAGCAAATTGATAATGAAGAAATTGAGGATGGGGCGGGGCGCCGAAGCAGCAAGAGTCATTGATTTTGATCGCGATCCGATCAAGTTCTTTGAGTCTATCGAGCCTGGTATCTTTTAGATTACCCTGGAGTAGATGGTTGCATTTGAGGTAGAGAGTGACGTCAGATTTGATGTGCGGACCAACCTGTCAATCGGAGCCTGTGCCGGCCGACAACAACAAGGTGTGAAGGAGCATTGCCAAGCGATGGTAGGTGTAGGTCATTGCTGGGTGCGGATTTGTCGCAGGCTTTGGCGCCACTGTTTTTGCGGGCAGATTGTCGAGTGCCATGGGATTGTTGTATCATTAGGATACAATAGGTGATCATCTATCTCCACAAGCCCTGGACAACACTTACAGAATCGACAAAATTGCTGATGTAAAAGCCGCGTGAATGTTCAGCTAATGTGATCCCAATTTTGTCAACCAGATTGGCGAGGTGACAGATTAACCATGGGTCCATCTTCGACACCACTTGAAGCAGTGAGAATGTTGCCGTTTAGATTAGTAGGTGGGTTAGGAGGTAGTGATTGGTCTTGATTGGCATTTCCAAAACGTATTTGGCCGAGCTGGATTGTTAGAATAACTTGAATTGTATCGGCTCGATCGGTCCATAGAATCCACAAGATCTAATTAACAAAAAAGAATGGTCATGTTACAACATGTACGAGCTGTTGAAGCCGCATTTGGTTCATCATACTTGGGACTATTGGCTCGTGCCGGAGATTTGGAACCTGAGGTGCCGTTCTCAGTAGTGAATGCGTTTGTGTTTTCCTTGTTTTGGTTATGTGAGAGATACTTGGACCTAAACAAAAAGGAAATAATGGAATCAGATCTACAGTTCTCTGTAATACCAGAAATAGAAGATGGTGATTAAAAAAATACTTACCGTTCCATCTTGAGAGCCCATTTAGATTGGAAGTGCGGCTGCTGCTGTTCTTGATGTTGATAGTCTCATCATTCTTGATTGCCAGTTGGCAAACCGAGGTGAGTACGGATCAAATCCGGATAGGCCACTTGGAGTGAGTAAAATCATTTAAATATGTACATCAGCTGGTGTTGTGTAAGTGCAAGCCTAGTTTGTTCTAGTGAACATCAGCCTCAACCGGTCATCCATTCAATTTCAACATTCCACCCACCTCCCAAAACCAATTCATCAATATACCATTCACAAATGGACCCAGAGAAAAGTTTGTACCTTCCTTTGGTTATGTTCACTAACACCTACTGATCACTTCTTTTTGGCTTTGCTTACCAAACATGTGTTACAGGCAATCACTCTTCGAATAATCAAGTAAGTAAATGTTCATATCAATCAATTCTTATGGATTTTCCAGGATTCTGATCAAGTCCCTCTTGGAATCATGATAGGTTGGTATGACAATCAATCTCAGCCAAACACACAATAAGCAAGGAGTATGTGCTTTTCAACTCTATCCAGCTGACTACCTCAGATATTCCAATTGATGCTTTCAATTTCCATCTAGTCGCGTTTGGGGAAAGGACATCTAACCCCCTCTCATGCCAATTTGGCTTGGAGAATGTCTCACTCCAGCTTGAGGTATTGGTCACCCCCTATCAAACAACATCAGGTGTACTGATTGCCTGAAAGGAAGAATCAAGCTCACTCCTCCTCTCCAGATCGATACATCCCTAATCCACCTTATATTGCTGCAAACAAGATTCACCATTGGTCGGTATTGCAAGCACAAATCAGCTACCAGTGTGATCAATTTGATGAAGATGATTGAGCAGTCTCGCATGTGCAACCCCCCCCCCCCATCATCAACCTCTTTCTCATTGTCAGGACTGTTTCAATTGATCAGTCTCACGTCCGATCGCTTGTTTTCATCAAGATCAGATGTCAATCCCACCACCTTCTGATCAATTCAGCTCAACTGGAGTGGAACACTATCCTAAGGATCAGTCAGCTACAGCTTTACATTTACATCGTTTGGATTCACATGCCCCTTGTCGTTATCAACCATACGCAAGTCATCAACATCATTAAGTAGAAAACCTTTGGGCCAACCACGACCCCCTTGTCTGCCGGCTTCCAAGTCAACCTTGCAACGCAATGATCCGATTCCTGCAAATCAACTAAAAAGCAATCAATACATTCCTCTTGCCCAAGCCGATTGTTACAGACCGTTGTATTCCAACCATGTGCAGCCAAGGGGTCAATGGGGTCCCTTGGAATCAGTAGCAAGAAGATCCACCAAACAAGACAATCCACTCACACAATGCCAGAAACGCAATTTGAAGATTTTCCTTCAAATATACAACCCTTACTTTACTGAAGAGACCAACGGGCATGTCAAACCCTTTTTCCTCCAGCTCAACCTTAATGCTGAAAAACCATTCATCATCAAGCCGGCCAACTTTTCTTCCCATTGTGTGGTTGCCACCAACAATACTGGGTCACAACCCCTCTTTTTTCTTGAGTTTCATCCTCTTAATCCTACCGATCCATCTAAGGAAGCAGTCGTCAAAAAGCTTGGCAAAATAATATCAAATCTGTACTTCATGGGTAATAATTGACAGGATATTCATCCCCACACCATGGAAAGTGGTATTATGAAAGGGGTTGGCTTTCAACCTGGTTCGGATCAGAGTTCCACTGCAGGTTAGTACTTCCATCCCATTGCATATCTTTTACTCACTCCTGGTTGATCTAATGGCTGGTTAATATTTTGTACCAGGTACATATGCACGTCGAGCAAATCTTTCTCAAGAAATTTTGGATCAGGACAACTATTGTTGGGATCAGTTAGGTGATCATAATCAATTCTTATGCAACCGAGTCCGGCATTTTTCCAAACAATCATTCAAGGACAATGCCAAAATAATCGAGTCTTTTGGAATCCCCAGCTGGTCCAACAGCGAATGGAATGACTTTGAACAGGAAACTAATGGGATTTTTTCAAGTGCAATCACAACTCATTCAGATTTTTCAAACGAACCCCATATGGATGAAGACTCAAATCCATGGACTTATGGCTTGTTCAGCTACATCAACCAATCAACTGGCAAACCTGTCTTGCCTTCATCCTCTGTTCCTGGTCACGCCTTCCGATTTCCAGACTTCAACTGTCAAATTGACTTTGGGACGTCTCCCGGTATAATTGAGCTGTTATGGGCAAGTAACTCTGTGAAGCACCACACTCTACATCCACCCCCTTCACTGAAATCAACTGCCGGAATCACACATTCCGGATCTTCCTTTCAGATTTGAAAACGTTTGGTAGATAGAGCTATAAAATTAAAAGAAAAATCTGCTGAAGAAAGAGCAAAGAAAACCTTGTGCCGAGAAAAAAGACAGGTGAAAGAGGCTGAATGGGCCCAAAAAAAGAAAAAGTATTTTGTTTATTTGAATTATATTGTCTTCTGATGCAATCAATTACTATCTCTTTTCCCTTCTCACTCATGATTGTGATTTATTTTCCAGACACCACCTATGATTGCTAAACTTCCTAAAATTGATCAATTGGATTTCAAAAGTTCAATGTAAAACGAATGATTATGAAACTTTTAATTGTAGTAAAAGGAGTGTATATCCGCAGAAAAAGACAGCAGAAGACAAATTTAATGTGAGTTGGAAGAGGATGATCTGTTAGGATTAAGTTTTGCCAAAGTAAAAGTCAGAACTTGAAGTCAAAAGCTTAGTGGGAGTTATTAAAGTATTATAGGAAATAGGAAACATGAAAACTGAGTGACAGTTGTCTCATCTGGGGAAAAGTCTACCAATCAGTACCAATATTGATTGGTAAGATGTCAAGGAATCTAAACTAGGTACTGGTGTTTTGTACGGAATGTGTGGCGAAAAAAGTATTGGGATCTGGGAGAACACCATCGTCATCAGAATCTGCAATTAAGTGGGTCAAAGAACCACTGGGACGAGATCCTCTCAAAGGATGTGGGTTTTGGTTGGAAGTTTGGGATTCAGCTGGTTGATTAGAGCTATCTTGGGGAATAATGATTTCCCATTCGGAGTCACCAACTTTGGGGAGGCCTATGGCTTGGCAAACTTTGTTACACAGGTGATCTCAAATAAAAGCCTTAATTCCATCCGCCGAATTGTTTCCTAGGGTCCAGAGCCTTAAAAAATAGGGGTTAGTGATTGTATTCCCACAGAGATTCTCACTTGGCACTCACGATTCATCCAAGTCAATAATTTGTGGGTCGGTTATGTGTGGACCAACACCCTGCAAGTCTGCAACCAAATTCTTTCCATTTGAGATGTTATAAGTCCAATGAGTAAATGTATTCATGAGTTGGAATACTTTGGGATCCATTCTGATTTGGTCGACAGTAATATTGAAATCAGTGTTGCTTGAGTATTTAACATATTTTCCGGGTAAGTGTTTCTCAAAGAAGTATATGTCAGTTGGACAAAAGATGTCACCAGTGAAAACCACAGAGTGTCGGATAATCTGGACAGTAGGAAACATACAATGTGGTGGATTTTAGTTAAGTGGCTTTCAATCTAATGAGTTTAGAATGAACCCACCTGCATCTGCTTTGCCTTAGCTTTGGTGTTCATTGGAAGGCCTTGGCAAGCCTCAATTACTGATAGATACTCTTCCAAAAGAACTGCACATGCCTCATACATGCGTGCGTTGGCCGCATGGAGTTTGAGGGATTGGTGTTGGATGTCTTTCATCACCTTGGCAACATAATCGGTGATGATTTCAACTTCATGACTAATGGTTTTCACTTGGGCCACATAAGTTGTTCACATTCCTCCAGAACCAATGACTTCTCGTTTGTTGACTTTGATGATGATTGATTCAGTTGTGGCCTTTGTAGTTTCAATATTATCCAAAAGTAGCCTTTGAGCAAGGATCCAACTGTCAGTGTTGATATGCAAGTAGGATGGCATAGGCTTGCTGAGCAATTCCATTTTGCTGGCGAGACTTTTGTTTCCACAAGCAATGACAGTTCCTAGAACAAGATGGAAGAGTGAGCTCTTCAAGTTAGTTTTAGAAACAAAGATGATTATTTAACATGCTTACCAGCCAATGGCCCAAGGGCCCATGCCTCTTTCCTCTTATTTTTTTTGTCCTGTGAGGAGGTAGCAATTTTCCAATTTGAACTTGCTTCTGCAGTTGAAGCTCAAGTGGAATATCTCTTAGGTGGAGATGAGTTAGGGTCGGAATTGGAATCGTCACCTGTGAATGGGTGGTCGTATGTGAGGTTGATGTGTGCAACCTTCCTTCCTTTTGCTTCTTTAAGCACACCAAGAAGGGTCTCTTGATCCGGAATGCGAGATTCACCATCACTGAGGCAGAGGTAATCTTTGGGGTTGGATGGAAGTGAAGTGAAGTGTGTTTTGGTCAAGATTTGAGGAGAAAACATGGCCCAAAGGCTGGTGCAAAGGTCATTGTAGAGATTGGGATTATCTAAGTCATAGGGTTGCTTGATTTGATGGATTCCGGTGTTTTTAACAAGTATATCAGATTCATATAGATGGAATCCAAAATCACGGTGTTTAATCAAATTTGCTGGAGCTGGTGGAGTGGGCATGGTCACACTGGGTTTGGCTTGTTTAGAACTAGGGCCAGAGCTGGTGGGCTTGACACGCTTTTCCTTCACAATTCTACGAAAATGTGCCATGGAACCAGAATCGATGGTGGGGACAGATGTGGTTACATTGGGATGACTAGGGAAGGGGGCAGGTAGATTGGACGGTGGTTTCAGAACATTTAAAGTGCTCTGTGTGGCTCGAGTGTTTAAAATGGTTGTAGAGTGATTATGAGAAGGAGCAGTTGTAGTATTTATCTGACTATTTTGTGCAGATGGGAGTGTATGGGGAGGTGGTAAATTATTCAAGGCAGTGGAAGGTGCGGGTGGTGGGTTTGTCCCTGAAAACAGATGAGTCATCTTGTCGACATTAAATCCAAGGAATTTGAAGCAGTCATGACAAGCATCACCAACAAGTGCATGGTCAGACCAGCGCTGGCACTTTAAGCAGAGGGGCATGATTGATGAAAACGGTAAAAAAAATATGTGTAAGTGAGGGAAGACAGACTATGATTTGATTAAGTATCTAAAATGAGCAGAATTGGTGGGGTGAAATGTGTGTTAACCACACGGACAGAGGGCCACTTTAATGTGTGCTCAGAAAAGCAATGATACCCAATGAGTGCCCAAGGTTGTCGATATTGATGCCACACTTAGCTCACTTGGGGTTTCCAACATGAAGGAGAGACCCTGAAGGTTCAGGCAGCGGTGGGCCGCTACGCTACGCTACGCTTTTGGCCCAAAAAGCGTAGCGTAGCGGCGCTTTTTTTTTCACCAAAAACCGTAGTGTTAGCGGTTTTTTAGCGGTTTTTCGCTACGCTACGCTGCGCTACAGCGCTTTTAGCGGAAAAAACAGCCAAAAACCGCTAAAAACGGCTGTAGCGCAGCGTAGTGGGCCCTTTTTTGCGGCCCACACGCGTAGCGTTAGCGGTGTCGTGGCGGAATTCCGCTACGCTACGCTAATCGCTAACAGCGATTCCGCTGCGTTACGCTACACTAACCGCTACGGTTAGTGTAGCAGCCCACCGTTGGAACTTCAGGTGGCCTTTTTGGGAGGTAACTCCTTGCTAGCCAGTTGTTTCCGACATGGAGATGAGTAGTTGCGATGCAACAGAGAGACCCCACAGGGTCACCTTTCTAAGAGGTGGCCAGAATGGCTTCTTTGGTCTGGTTTTCGGGGATTGATCCGGCCAGAACTCATCAAGTGTGTGTTGATTTGGGGCAAGCCGAGCGGTCTCATACAACAGGGCCCTGCTTTAATTGTACATGGGGGTAGCCCTGCTTGGGTCACAGGTCAAACTCGACTGCCCCTACCAACCCCTTATAGTTCAATACTGATCTGGATTTTTGGTTTTAGCTGGTGATGAGGGTAAATACATACATTTACAACTTTGAGAATTTTGCCTTCGGGTTTTAGGATTGAGGATATACGGTATACACCCTGGCACGATCCTGTCGTACCTGGGCTTCCATACATATCTCCATCCTTGAAGGTGAGGGCTTCAAAAGACAGTGTATACACAGGGTGTTCTGAGCCTCTGTTGCAAACCATTGTCCTAGCAAAACAGCTTGTCAATCAACAGTGGGACCAGCTTGCCGTGTTCTAAATTTGCCCGTTGTGGAACTCCTATCGTGCCAGGCGGTAGGCAGTTGGTTGAAGGGATGGTGCTTTGAGGGCTGCCTTCAAGTGGGATCTGGATAAGTTGAGCTGTGATCTGAACGAAACACGTTGGGGTTGGTTGGTTTTCTGGAGGAGACAACAGAAATTGAGTTCTGTGGCGGTTGTTGAGGTTGAGGATCTTTGAAGGTGAATATGAGGATCAGATGAATCAAGGATAAAAGGATCAATAAGATTTGATGGGTCTATCTTGGATCAGAACAGAATGCCATGCTTCCCCATCATCTCAGTTCAAACTGAACTTTGACTCTGGGGAGTGACATGTCACAGACATGTCATCACATCCCTAACTACAACACAACACAACACAACACAACACAACACAACAACACAACACAACACAACAACACAACACACACAACAGAAAAAGACAGAACAGAACAAAACAAAACAAAACAAAACAAAACAAAACAAAACAAAACAAAACAAACAAACAAACAAACAAACAAACAAACAAACAAAACAAAACAAAACAAAACAAAACAAAACAAAACAAAACAAAACAAAACAAAACAAAATAGTCAAGAGTGAAATAAACCAACATACTAAGATGTCTTAGGACCAAGAAAATTGAACAAGACTGTCTGCTGAGTAGGTGATTTGAAAAAGATAATAAAGAGTGATAAAATGATAAAGTAAAAATAAAATCAAGATGAATGAAAAATAATATGAAGATAAAATAATCAGAGGAAGTAGAATAAAATAATGAAATGAGAAAACCATTGGACTGAGTGGGGATTTGAGGTGATAATATTGAAATCTTGAGTCTTGAGGATATTGAAGAGTTGAAAGTTGAAATTTGAAATTCGAGCTTGAGGAGGCCTGTACCGTTTAGAACACCACACCGTTCCTGTAGGGTAGATGACTGTCGGAAAAATGCCCCAATGAAGATCTTCTTCTATGCTTGGGCTGCCAGATGGCTAAGCCTCCCTTGTCATGCACATTCATTAAGAGGGTTCACAATAGACATTCACAAACTCTAATTACAGCCCATTTTATAGTGTTTGTCAACACCTTTTTGAGAAAACTGGAAAAAGCTGTTCTGTTCTGATTGTTCAAATGTTGTTAACACTTTGTTGTTCAGGAGCTTGGAATTGTTGAGATACTGTGACATGACAATGACTGCTACATGTTCACCGTAGTTATTTTGCTTCTTTCTTCTTTCACCTCTTTCATTTCTCTCATGTCACACTCTGTGACATTCAGTTGTTTTGTCTCAGTTCATATACTGGGCTCATGTGTGCCTGGGAGGATTTCCTTTTCCTCATCCTTTCCAACACACATGTCTCCAGGTATGGTCTTTTTCCTTTTTCTTTCTCTTTCTCTTTTGTTATGTTGAAATGAACTCATATCCTTTCCAACACACATGTCTCCAGGGTGTCCATCTCAACAGGTTATGAGGCCCCTTTGTGCTTAATTGCTGTCCACTCTACTTGCTCAATCACTCCTCACTCGGATCCTTTTTTTTTAACCGGACCGTATCGTGATTATCGCGTCTTGAACACTCTGGACGACTTCGGATCTCAGGATCTTCGCCGCTATGTCTAACCCTACAACCCAAACTAACGACGATGCTGATAACCTTAATCTTAAGGTGTCGGGCATCGTGCAACTTAAACCTCAAGGTGCGGACTCGAACTACCTCGATTGGAGTTTCGTGGTCCTTCTTCACCTGAAGTCCCTCAAACTAGTGTACGTCCTCAAGCCCGAGGCTTCTCCTACCGGCACCGAGGCAAAATTGACGACTCCGCTTCCTTCTTCTCGAGTCAACGACAGTATCGCCGTCTCGTCGTTCATCGCTAGGACCATTCATCCCAATAATCTTAGGTTCATCAGAGCTCACGGTGCTGATGCTGCAGCGATGTTGGCATCGCTATCGCAGGCACACCAAGATTTCTCTTCAGGAGGTCGCATGCACTGGCTGCGACAACTCGTCGTTGCTCGACTCACCTGTGACAACATTGATTCGCACATTGAATCGATGGCAGTTTGCGCGGAGCGCCTCGGGTCGCTGGTCACACCTGAGAAACCCCTCACGGTTGACGACATTCACGCCACCGCCCTCCTTACTTCGCTTACAGATGATTGGCTTCCGTGTGTATCCTCGCTGATGAATGAGGATTCTGTAACTTCATCGTGGATTGTCTCGGCCCTCAAGGCCGAGTCTCTTCGTCGCAAGGCACGTCGCGAGGATGACACTGCCGTCTCCGTCTCCAAGGCTCATGCCAAATACGCTAAAGGCAAGCCTCGCTTCAATGAAGCACTCCACTGCTCCTTTTGAAACCGATCCGGCCACGACCTCGCTATCTGCGAGAACGCCGTGCGGGTGCTCTCCAAGCATAAGTCCAGCCGTTCATCAGGTAACACTGGAGGTCATCGTTGTCCCGATTCTGCTTGAAACAACAGACAACATGCGCCCAACGATTGCTCCTCCAATCGTGCTGCTTCCACTTCTAAGCCCCCTGCGACTGCAGGTCAAGCCACCGTGGTGGAGCTGGGTTATGACTCCTACGACAAGGAGTCAGACTTCTCGGTTCCCGAGCGCGCTGGAAATGCCGCTGTTGGCACCTATCCTGTGGAGTCTCCCAGCAATGTTGATGCCAACATTGACTCAGGATGCTCCATCTCAATGGCTCCTCACAAGTCCACTGTCGACCGTCTCAGGCCCGACTCTACCTCTGTCCGCCTGGCCGATCGGTCTGAAGTCTTTTCCACTTTTCGCGGCTCTCAGTCACTTCCGCTCTCTGTTGACAAACATGTCCCCACCCTCGCCGTTCCAGGCCTCCACGAGCCTTTACTATCTGTGGCTGGGTTGTGAGACAAGAACCTTGTGGCCGTTTTCACCGCCGATTCATGCAACTTCTACAAAGCTGACTCTTTCTCTGCCACCGGTCCAATTGTCGGCCGCGGCTACCGTAAGGGTAACCTTTTCTACCTTCCCTCCAACGAAGTAAGATCCTCATCCGCCATTTCAATTCCGTCATCACTCCACGGCAGCTCACTCTTGGATTATCACATTCGACTCTCTCACATAGGTATAAAACCCCTAAAACGTCTCTTACGCCAGGCTGGGATCACTCCGACTGTATTTAATGATATTGAAGTCACTCAATGTTCCATTTGCGTGCAATCAAAAATGCATCGCCTTTCTTTCACTTCTTGTCTCTCCTATCGCTCTAAGTCTCCCGGTCATCTTATTCACTCCGATGTTGGTTCCTTTGAGGTCGCCTCCCGCGAGCACTACAAATATTTTGTTACTTTTATTGATGATTGTTCCAAGTTTGTTTCAATTTTTTCAATGAAATTCAAATCAGAAGTTTTCTCGTGTTTCAAAATTTTCAAGGCCTTTTTTGAAAAAGATGGAAAGTTCCCAATCCTCGCCCTCCGTTCTGACAATGGTGGCGAATATGTCTCCAAGGCTTTTGAATCTTTCCTCCTCAATTCTGGTATTCGTCATGAACCTGGACCTCCCCATTCCCCCTCCCTTAACGGTGTTGCTGAGTGCACTAATCACACTGTGGCAAATCTTATCCGGTGTTCTCTGCTCACTGCAAAACTTCCAAAAAGTTTTTGGGCAGATGCTATGCGCCACATCTTTCACGCTTTCAACTCCGTCCCCTGCTATACTCCCCTAGGTTTCCGCTCCCCCAACTCCCTCCTGGGCCGACCTCTTATGGATCTAACCTCACTTCATCCTTTTGGGTGTTTGGTTTGGCATAAAGTTCCGGACGTGACCCAGAAGAAACTTGATCCTAGGGCTCACGCTGCAATTTTTCTATCTTATCTTGATGATGGTAATGGATACCGGGTGTGGGACCTCCAGACAAGGAAGGCAGTCAAGACTCGAGATACAATCTTCAATGATGGATCCTTCCCCTACGATCACCAAACTATTGGCCCAACTCCAACTATTTTTGTTGATCTTCCTTGGCCAACCTCTGCATCCATCTCCTCTCCGCCTACAGTCCCACCACCGGCCAATATCTCCTCTTCCTCTGGAATCCGTCAGCCACCTTTGCAACCCTCCCATGACCCTCCGTCACGCATTGATTTGCCTCAATCTTTCAAGCAGCTTCGGGATCCAGCACCACTCATCCCCAGCTCTCCAATCACCAGTGATTCCGACAGTGATGGCAAGTTATCTGGTCTTCCTTCACCAATCCCACTTCCATCTCCGTTTCTGTGTCCCCCAGTTTCTTCCCTTATGGACAACATTTCTTCTCTCACCCTGCCTGTTTCAATTTCTCCGCCGCCTCCTCAGCCTGCTGATCTTTCTCAACCTCAGTGTAGTCCGGCACCAGCAACGATACCCCTTCCTGCCTCTCGTCCTCCTGCTCCGCCAGCGTGTTCTGTCACTCCGCAGGCGCGTCCTCCTACTCTGCCAGTCAGACAATCTGGGTGTGTTCAAAAGGCTCCTGAGCGCTACGGAAACTGGGCAAAATCTTCTGCTGCTCTCCCCGAGGATGTTGATACTCCTAAAACATGGCACCAACTGCAGAAATCTCCACACAAAGCCAAATGGCTCCAAGCTGCGGATGAGGAGTTCTCCTCTCTTCTCGGTATGGATACGTGGAAATTGGTTCCCAGGCCGTCAAAACGGAAAATCATTAAGTCAAAGTGGGTCTTCAAAGTGAAACGCCGCCCTGACAAGTCTATTTTAAAGTTGAAAGCTCGTCTGGTAGCTATGGGCTACTCTCAAGTTTGTGGGGTGGATTATCAGGAAGTCTTTGCACCCACTCTGCGTCTTGAAACTCTCAGGCTTATCTGCAGTCTCTTGGCATCCAAGTCGTGGAAGGGTCGACAGGTAGACTTCAAAACTGCTTTCTTGAATGGTCACCTCGACAAACCTATCTTTATGGAGCAACCTCCCGGGTTTGAGGATCCTAATCATCCTGAATTTGTCTGTGAAGTCCACCGGTCGATCTATGGTCTTAAACAAGCCCCTCGTCAATGGAATCAGGAACTTCATCTAGCACTTCTTGCCTCTGGTCTCACTCAGTCCAAATACGACCCTACTCTTTACTTCAAGGTTCACGTTGGAAAACTGTTGGGAGCCATCACCGTCCATGTTGATGATCTTGCTGTCGTGGGAGAAAATTCTTTCGTTGACTCAATCATATCAAACCTTGGTGCAAAATTCAAAATTGGGGCAGATGAAGACCTTCATCATTTTCTCTCAATCAAGATCACTCGTGACTATGAAAACAAGCTGCTTTATATGTCTCAAAGTCATTATATCGATGACATGGTCTCCCGTTTTCTCAATGGCACACACACTGCAACCAAGACACCAACTTCCTCTCTCTTCAATGATCTAGTTAAACGAACCACTACTGAAGACCCTTCACCTGGTCCTTACGGCCAACTCATTGGCTCTCTTTTATGGATTGCTCAATGTACACGCCCGGATGTCTCCTTTGCCGTCAACAAACTGTCCCAGTTCCTTTGTGATCCCTCCTCTTCTCACTGGTCTGCAGCTGTTAAAATCCTCAACTACTTAGCCTCCACCAAATCCCTCCGCCTGCGCCTGGGTGGTTCTCTGACTTGTGCAGGCTACTCCGATGCAGACTGGGCTGAGGATCGTCAAGACCGTCGTTCCACTTCAGCCTACACCTACAGATTTGGTGACGGGGCTATTTCCTGGAAATCTCGCAAACAGGCAACTGTCTCCTTGTCCAGCACTGAAGCAGAATATAAAGCTCTGGCAGATTCTTGCAAAGAAGGGCTCTGGCTGTGTAACATACTCACGGAATTATCTATTTGTCCTAGATCAGCTCTTCCACTTCATGTCGACAATGAAGGGGCGGAAGCTCTTGCCAACAACCCAGAGCACCACGCCAGAACTAAGCATATCAATGCAAGATATCATTTTGTACGCGACTGTGTCAAGGACAACATTCTTGAGATTGTCCACGTCTCCACACACGAAATGCTTGCCGATATGCTCACCAAACCTCTTCCTTGGGTCTTGCTGGAAAAACACCATCTCATGTTTGGGCTTGTCTGAATTTTTTATGCTCTTTTTTTTTCTGTTCTCTCTTTTCTTCACCGAATTCAGTCATCAGCAAGGGGGGGTGTTGAGATACTGTGACATGACAATGACTGCTACATGTTCACCGTAGTTATTGTGCTTCTTTCTTCTTTCACCTCTTTCATTTCTCTCATGTCACACTCTGTGACATTCAGTTGTTTTGTCTCAGTTCATATACTGGATTCATGTGTGCCTGGGAGGATTTCCTTTTCCTCATCCTTTCCAACACACATGTCTCCAGGTATGGTCTTTTTCCTTTTTCTTTCTCTTTCTCTTTTGTTATGTTGAAATGAACTCATATCCTTTCCAACACACATGTCTCCAGGGTGTCCATCTCAACAGGAATTGGCTATGAAAACTTAATATATGTTGTAGTACAAAGGTCCAACACTGAAGCGTCAGACTCAAAGTCAGTCTTGACACGGCCTGATAAGGGGACGGATATCCAGGTTCCAGGAGACTGGGGTTGTAATCTCTCTTCCAATCAACCCCCCATCCACAACTGACATCTCTTAGTTTTTTTTTTTTTTTTTTTTTTTTTAAGGCTGAACAACAACAACAAAAAAAAAAGTAAAGACTAGAGAGGGATATAATGATCAACATGACATTACAAATGATTCACACAAGACAAAAGTGTGCATCAAATGATAATATACCAACCCAACCCAACCCAACCCCACCCGACCCGACCCCCCCCCCCAAAAAAAAAGAAAAAAAGAAAAGAAAAGTCCAAAAGATTATTTCAAAGAAGGAGAAGAAGGAGAAGAAGCCGACGAGGGAGAGGGAGAAGACGCGGGGAGGGGGAACGAAGCGGGGCCGGAGGCGTCCCAACAAAGACAGTCGCAGCCGGAGACGGGACAGACGAGATTACCACGACTGGCCCACAGATCTAGATGGTGTGCATGGCCTACATGTCTGCATCGATGACACCATGCCCATATAGCTAACCCCCCCCCCCCCGAAAAAAACACTTTGGTCAGTCAACATATTTAAGTGTATGTTTAGAAGAAGAGGAGAGGTTCTTATAGCCAGCCCCGCTTACATGGAGTACGGGAATCATTTATCGTTAACGGAATTAAACAGATCGAACATTTCGGTAAGCCTTTCCCACACATTCGACATCGATTCGTCTTCGATACATACATAAGACAATTTTTTTTTTTTTTTTCAAAATGAGTGGTGGTGGTGGAAGTAAAAGGGAAGAGAAGATTGATTGGGTAAGCAGGGGCACGATCGAGTTGACTTTTTTTTGAAACCAAAAGAAAAGAAAGGAAAGGAAAGGAAAGGAAAGGGAGAACTGAAAGAGTCCCAAGAAAAAAAAAAAAACTTTACCTGTTTAGATTGAACAAACAAAGGATTATTAGAAGACATATTTTTTTTACTCGAAGCAGGCCCGATCGCCGCCGGATTTCCAGGAAGATTAGAGAATCCGACGGGAGAAGCGGAAGCGGAGACGGAGGCCGAGGAAGCCGAAGCGGACGTGAAAGCCGACGCAGCCACAGAAGCAGCAGCAGCAGCAGAAGAAGAAGACGAAGAAACGATAGGAGGGATAAGAACTGGAGGAGCACGCTCGCTGATCCGATGAAGTTGTGCCCGAACGTTCGGCCCGTCGGAGAGGACTTCGAGACAATGTTGACAACGAAGTAAGAGTTGAGGCGGGGCGATAACGAGCGAGTTTGGATTCACAGCTTGAGAGGGGAAGAGGGATGATGATGATGTAGTAGTAGTGCCAGTAGAGTTCAGAGAGGTGGTAAGCGATTGACGGGCCTTCAAGCCTCGAGAGATGTCCAATTCGACCCGAACGTTGAAGAGCGTCCAGCGATCCAACAGCCGACGATAGCTGTCCACCCAGCGCTCGGCCGTCGGCTCTCTAAGTCTGGTGGGCACCACCAGATGGCTGGCCAACGCGGCCGTCTGGAGGTCGCCGGTCCGGTTCACATAGGTCTGGATGAGACGGAAGCCGGGCCCGAGCAGGTCGCGGGACTCGTCCGAGGACCCCCGACTCTTCGACACCTTTCCTTCCAGCATCTCGTCAGTTTTCTTGCTCTTGAGTAGTCCGGCATGGTTCAGTCCGGTCAACAGGATCCCCTCCAGGTCGCCCGACTGGATCGCGTCCCTTGCACTCTCCTCAAGCCAGTGGAAGATCTCCTCGTCGCTCAAGAACCGGAGGCCCACTGCCAGTCGATCCTTCAGCGGCAGTCCGGTCTCATCGATCACCTCGCGCCAATCGCCCGTCGCACAGTACGCAAAGATCGCCCGCAGGTACGGCTCCGACGTCCGCTCATCCGAGAGTTGCCGACACACTTGATCGAAGATCGGGTCCCGAGCTTGTCCGTGTCTTTGTGTGTTCAAGTGCGTCGCAAGCGGTGGGGCTAAGGTACGTAGCTGTAAATCTAGAGAGAATCGTGTGACTTATTTCAATCATAGCACCGGAAATTTCTGCGCGAGAGAGAGATGGAACTGACCATCGCTTCTTTGGAGACTGGTGATTGCCCGTTGGGTGTTACCAGAGAACAGGGCGATCGCACACGCCTTGCCATACATGCCCATCTGTTCATATTTGGTCAAGACCTCCTCGATCTTCCCCGAGTTATAATCCGGCCCACAAAGGAACAAGGCCGTCTGCCGTTGGTCACTAAACTCGGATGAGATCGTAAAATTCTCGACTTGATGACTATGGTTGAACGTCCTCAAAGCTTTCAAATACTGTGAGACTTGCTTCGAATAATTAGGGTTCTGAGGAGGAGGAGGATGGTTATTGTTGGTCGGCTTCGGACTCCTCAAGAATTCTACTCCAAATCTTTCTGGGGTCGTCATTTGAGCTCCCCTTCGCTGTGATGGTGGTGTCCCTAGATCTGTTCCAAATGATTGTTGTTGTTGTTGTTGTTGTTGTTGATCTACAGGTAAAAATCCTTTCATGATCGCCAGGACCCCTTGGAAACTGAAGTCATATCCATTAACTAACCCGGTCCCTTGTTGAGATAGTTTGTCGGAATCTGATGACCGACAACGTGTCATCTAAGTTTAAGCTGCAATGGTATGTGCGTTGGAGAGGGGGAAGGATGGAATACGTACGAGTGATCCATTCCCAGAATGCGCCCAACACTGGATCACCGGGGACCAGATGTTCATTCTTCATTGGCTGTGACATAAATATCAGATTAGTGGATCAAAAAAAGGGCAAAGTTGAGATAGAAGGATAGACTAACGTTAGGACCGTATCCACTCAATGCACGTTTCATCATGACCATCGAGATGTCATTCTTCAAGGGCCCAGAGTTGAGCTCGGCAGTGGGTAAGTTGATCGAGCAACGATTGTCGATCTGATGGGGCATCCCGAGCAGATGTCTCCCAAAACTTATTAGCCAACCTTAGTTCAGCGACGTCCTGGAAGGAACAGGTCTTGAGGTCCAGAGGGAGCGGTTGCTGTGGATCTAAATCCAAGCGTGGAGGAGACCTTATGGATGCAGTGATGGTATTCGAGCTTTCGGTAGACATGGGAATCGATGTGGTGTTTTGAGTCTCTGGTTGTGGTCGGTTGGTGGTGTGGTTGAGGGGATGCCATTCGATCCTGAGGCGAACGCCATCCGAGTAGGCCGTCTGACCTCTAGCTCCAAAGCTCGCTTCGCCCGGAGACTTGGATTCGAGAAACTCTAGATGGCCTTCACGGGAGATGCTGAGCAAGTTACAGCAGTATTCTAGCGATGAATTCGAGGCAGTCGTCCCTCCCAAGGTAGGCATGTGAGCGGCCACGATGGCCTGGCTCGGTCGACTGAACGGTTTCAGGAGTCGGGACGACAAGATGGTGTAATTGGGAAGCTGGACCTTTTCTCTCGGGGAAGTGGAGGGAGAAGAGCCTCGAGGAGCAATGGCTGATTTCCTGAAATTCGCCGCCACATTGGGGAATGAGGCTGGCGAAGTAGACGAAGATCCAGAGCCCGGAGGCAGATTGGTTCTCGTCCCAAACGGATTCAGAAGAGACCCATCGCCCCAATTCCTCGCGCTTTGGACGGGCGGATTGCCATCGACGATGTCCCAAATTCGGACCCTAGATGAGTCGGAGGAGAGGGTGGCGAGGAGGCCTTTCCTAGCTTTCGACCAGGTGACTGAGAGGATCTGGTTTGAGTGCTCGCCTTTGATCGAGCCTTCGGTCTTCCTACTGCCTCGAGCGCTGGTCGGATTGGGATCATCTTGCGAGAATTGGAGGACACATTCACTAGTCTTTCGGCTATCCCAGAGTTTCACACATCGATCGTCACCCCTGAAAAGGAAGAGTCAAGAAAGGGATAGCTAGGAAGTATCAGTTGATCAAGTCTTATGTCACTCTTCAAACAGAATCGAAATAGTTGATGGAAGTAGTAGCAGTTGATTTGAAGAGGGGGGGTGGGGAATGACCATGTAGCAAAGCGATAAGCAACCAGAGGATCTGCCTTGATGCCCAAGATCGAGCGGGCCGGCCATTGTGAGACTGGATTGAGTACGCCGGTGGCAAAGTCGGGATTGAGGGTATGATCGGTATTTTTGGTACCGGGAGAGCGTAGGTCGTAGAGCGCCATGAGTTTTGAGGAGCTGGCGGCCAGGAGAGAGGGCTGGTTGGAGGCAGGAGTGATGAGGATGAATTCGATGGCATGGACGGTTTCGGCATTGATGGCCTGTGCCAGGGCAAGCTGATCGGAGTGTGGGTCGGTGGCGGATGAGGTTGGATGAGGAGAGATGACGAGTTCGGGTGAGTATTGGTTGGTTATACAGGAGGGAGGTGCTGGGGAGGAAGGAGGCGGAAGAGAGTTCTTGATTGGAGGAGGGATGGGCTCGTGATTGTTGGAGGCGATGGCTTGGGAGAGGCCGAGGATGCGATCGAGGTCATAGATCTGGAGGCCATAGTCACGGGCCTTGTCGAGTGCGAGTGCGAGTAGCTTTCCACAGGGAGAGAAGGCGATGGAGTTACAGGGACGGGTGGATCTGCCGGTGGAGAAGCTGATGATCGGATGGGGCGAGTAGAGCTCTGGTTTTGAGGTGGGATGGTGTGCGTAGGGTAGGGTGACGAGGAAGGCCCTGCCGGTGGAAGTGCCAGCGGCGACGAGATCGAAACCCTGACGAGTGGTACTCCAATCGACGCACTGTGGGGATTGAGTGTGGTTAGCCGATGGTTTGAAGGAGGCAGTGGTTGCTTATGTACCTTGTATGAGTAGGGTAGGTCTGATCTGAATGAGATGGATCGATAGTTGATCTGTTGTTGTTCTGATACTTTCCAAGCTTGGTATGATCTGAGTTCAGAGTTTGAGACCACGAGGAACTTGCCAGTTGGATTGAGGGAAGGGTCCTGGAGTAGGGTGAACCTTCGAGATGGGCAGTTGTTGTTGTTGTTGTTGGTATTGTTATTGTTGTTGTTGTTGTTGTTGCTAGTTGTCTGTTGGTGTTGGTTTGTGTTGTTGTTGTTGATGTTGTTGTTGTTGTTGTTGTGTTGGTGGTGGTTCTTCTGAGGCATGCTTGGTTTTTTAAGTCACTCTGATCGAAAACAGTGCTCCTGATGGCCGGTCTTACAATCTGAAGAAATCTCCTGAGCATGATCAGCACCAAACCATTCACAAACATTTCGAATTATTTAGGAACCAGCCCTCCCAAAGACCAAGCCAAGTGATACAAAATGGAGGAGACCAAGGCTCAACAATCCCATGCAACAAACGAGGTGACAATCAGCCTGGAATCTTGCCAAGCACACCAAGAAACCCCGAAATGCAAATCAAAATACGCAAACACTGTCTTCTGCACCTCTTCCTCCAGCTCCTTCAGCCTTCCAACCCTGATCTTCTCCTCCACTCTTTCAAGGGGCCAGATGAATCCATAGTATTATGTATATCAGTCAGGGTGAACATAAAGCTAAGCTACAAAACATGTTCTGCACAAACAAGCTCATGAGTTGCTTAGAGTAGTGAATTATGCTTCTCCATTCTTGCCTGCCATTGGACTCTGGAGGCCCAAGTGAGTCTATATGTGACTTGAATCAAGTTAGAGTGTTCATCTTATCAAGTACTCTCATAATGTGTTTGGGGCCAGGTTATTCATGATTCAGTTTCTATCACACAGCAGAGGCACAAGTTTCCTAGCACCAGGAAAAAAAAAAGCTCACTTGATGACAAGTGACATCAGGCAAAGTTCAGCATGCTACCCACTATGTACCCAAGTACAGTGCCCTGGAGCACACAAAGTGTCAGTCTTAGAGATCCTCAAGAGTATCCAAAAAATCTGTTGAATGATAAACCACAAATAATTCATATCCAATAACTCTCTAATTGATATTAATGAAACCAAGAAAGTTATTTCATAAATACCTTCTTTCATAACATTCTAGATGGGGTTTCTCACTGGAATTACCCCCCCCCCAAATCGTACTCCTCCTAGGACTTTGTCATAACTCAAGATCCTTGAAGGTCAGTAGGAATAAAAACATAAAATATTCTGAAAAGTTGTAAAATAAAGATGAAAATAAATATTTGAAATCCAAGCATATTAAGTTCAGTGATTTACAGAAAAAGAAATTCAAGGGTTCCCCCTTACAAATGGATAAAATACAAAGAAACAAATCCCATGGTTTCCCCCCCCCCCCAACAACATTAAATGACAGAAAAAAATGACATGCCTTGAAGCTGTGCAACTACAACAAATTTTGAGAAAAAAAGGTGAGAAGGAAAAAAGAGGGACTTTATTATTTGACTTCCAAAAAATTGGAGAAATGACTACCAAACCCCGTTTTCCCCCAATCTTGGGAGTCAATCCTCCAAACCCATCAGTGGGTTTGGGAGTTGGACCCCCAATATGTTTAAACTATTTAAAAGCCCTGTAGGGGTTTGGAGTTGATTCTCCAAAACCAACCAGGTTTTTCAGGGCCAATGAACCAAAATGGCCCCAACAGTTGGGAGGGATCCACCCAGCCACTGAGAATACACTCTCAACAGCCTGGGGAGGAATCACATTGGTCGTTAAGAGTGTACACTCTCAACAACCAGCAGAAGAGATCAAGAGCCTTCAGAAGAGTACAAAGTGGTCTAACCTCCATTACCTTAGAGTAACCACATTGGTGTAGATGTAACTTGAGGAGTAGCAGAGTAGCTTACTCCCAGATTAGTGCTACTACTCCGACATTGGTGTGGTGTAAACCTGGGAGTAGCTGGGGTTGTGCATGTGTTGAGTGTGCAGATTGGCTCTTAATCCCGGGATTAGCAAGGAGTAACTTTACTCCTGCTTAGCTCAAATCCTACTCTGGGATTAGTTTAGTCTGATTAACTTGGACCCAATGCAGTTGATTGAGGGCTCCAACTAGCTTGGAGTAGTTACACTAATCCGGCCTTAATCCAGAAACCAATGTGGTTGCTTTTAGGCAGTTGACAGAGCCCACTGTCTTAAGAAAAAGATGGGGCTTCACATTGTAGTGGTTTCACCACTGACCAAATGTTTTTGGAGAGCAACAAATCAGAATTCAAGTCCAGTGTGATACTCAAATTGGCCCCCAGCTAGTGCTAACCAATTTTATACTGAGATTTTGCCTTGCAAGTCTTTGTAATTTGTAACTACTCAGACTTTTCATTGACGCAAGCCAGATCTTCCTACAAAAATAGCAAGCCTCAGATGCAAACTATTGTCTATTTTGATTGGGCCATACTGTATTCATGAAGCATGAGCGATAACAACAGAACAGAAGAGAAGAAGAGGATGTGAAACCATTCAACCAATCATTTGGTGAAGAATAGGTGCTCTCATTGAATTGCTTTTTTTGTTGTGAGAGAGTCTGTGCGGAGGTTAATCAGGTATGACCCCAGGAACAATCTCAAAATTGAATGTGAAGTTTGTAGTAAAAAAAAGAATATGAAGCGAGATCCGGCAGGTAGCTGTCAGCATACTTAAAAACTCAAATGGACAAGTCCCAGCCAAAATCGCAGAGTATATCATTAAGTAGCGTGAAGCAACGACTTGGAGATCCATTTTTAACACGATTTATCCTTGTATTTGTGCCCTGGATACAGATAATTGATAAGCTTCCGGAGATGTGGGCTGAGAAAGAATGCCTTACCTGGTCCCCCCTTACAACACCTAAAATAGTCCATCACTTTGACACCCTTGCACCCGGGCTCTAATGAAAGACGATGAATCAGTCGATGTCAGGGTATGGACACCATTGGAAATCCAATTCATCATCTCACCGTGAGTGTCAATGCAATTAGCATACTCCACAAGAGGAACCGATCCGCAGCCGCCGTAGATGTAATTTGGCGTCCCACAACTTTTTGTCGCTGTTGTTCAAAGGGTTTTGATCAGTCGGTAGATCGGTTTACTACGACTGAATCAGGACAAAGGTAGTGACTAACGAGTGCCGTTGCTACAACAATCCTTAAAATCCTCCTCTTTGATATCCTTACAATTCGGGGCTGATGAGAGGAGCATATAAATCAGAACGCAAGTCTCAATCGCAATTGGACAGATAATACTATACTATAAATTGAGGAATAGTCGGCTTACCAATTTGTTCAACGCAGTGCTCATAGCTGAAGTTCTTTAAACAGAAATCCATTGGGTCGGGGCTGTACGCGCCCTTCACCCCAGTGCTAAGGAGGAGGAGGGGAATAGTACAAAGACCAATCCACATTGTATGCGAATTTTTCGATAATGCTATAGTGTGACTCGATATCCAAGTAAGCAAAACTGTTTAGAATTTTTCTTTTTGGAAGTGACCTGGGAGCTGAAGAAGCTCTGACACCCCCGGGCTTTTATAGACGTTGATAGCTCGCTTCACCTGTGGCGAACATGGTGGGTACGTACTATGAAGAAGTCGGTGTGAGTCAAGCTCTTCGCAACGGCCATGTGATCAAGATATCAGTGGCTGATGGATTTGTGTGGCACCATTGCTTCATCGCCTCAGATGAATTTGTGTGGCACTGTTATTTGTCTGCTGGTTTCATACGGATTCTTGTGGCACAAATGTTCGTTTGCAAAGTCCGTCCGTCATGTTCTTTTTTGCTTAAGGAACCATGGGCGCATGTATACCACTGCAACTTGGAATAACGGTTCTTGAAAATCAGTTTTTCCAACCTCAAGTCAGAAGGTCTATTTTTCAGAGAACCTTTTGACCTGGAAGGCCTTTTCATATACCGCTGGAACTAACTGGTATGAAGTTTACTTTCTAAATGGTTTTTCCAACGAAGGTCAAATGGGCGTTGTGACCTGACTACGGGTTCAAGACATTCATTATCTATCTTGAAGAAAATTGTATAGTTGGTTTCCCGTAGCCTCGTGATAAACCATTCGGGGCGGTTCTGGGACTATGCATTAGAACGTCAGGTAAACTTGAAAAAAGGTGGATTGCATGGAAAGTTTCAGTAGACCAGGGCAAGACTTTCCATGAATTTCTTGCTCAATGCGCTGAGGTTTAGAGCACTGGCCATTGATTGCGTCAAATTGAAATAACCCCTATGAAGGAAGCCCCTGATCAACAAGTGTTATCTTGGTTAGACAGAAAATGGCAGCCATTATCACCAATGATCATTGGACATAATATGAAGGCATTCGAAAAATGGACTTGGGACAGGGTCTGTATGGGCAGGAGAATTTCTGATGCCTGCTAGTGCTATTTCGGTTTGTTCTTTTGCACACATTTCTCTGTTCAAAGGTGGAAGGCACATATGTAGGTTGTAGATCGCACTTGATGGAAAGAATATGTAGACTGGAATGAAACAGGACAAGTCAACAAAATACAAGATCGCAAGAAAAATAAAACTAAAAAAAAGTGAATCGCTCCGACAATGTAGATGTTGACTAGTCTGAGATAGTTCATGTTTTTTTTTTTTTTTCGTGTCAGAAAGGAAATGTAAGCAAAAGAGGAAGAGAAGAAACAAATAAAAGACATAGAAACAGGAATGGTAGGTAGGTAATACTACTAAACAGATGTATCAAGCCAACAGGAGACATTAAAAAAAGATGAGTGCATTGATGTTTGTAGACAAGCTAAAAAAAAGGTCATGATTGGGTAAGATAATGGCAAAATTGAGTACATCAGAAAAGAAAGAAGAAAAGTGATGAATGATCCAAAAGAAGCAGGGCCTAGTAAATCAAACACAAAGCTGGCTCGAATAGCAGCTACCGACATCCAACAGTACGAAAGCGATTCGGGAGCATTGGATGTCGGTAGCTGAGATGCGACTGTCTTTGTTATTTGCAATAAAGCAACTGAAACATAAATAATTAGAACAAATCATTTCTTGATGAGAGAGAATACTACATTAGGAAGGGGAAAAAAGGAGGTGGAGTTGGTAACAATCATCAGTGAATGTTTTGTTTAACAAGCGCA